GCCCTGAAAATATTATTATGTCCGCCGACAACGAGCAAATCTAATATTAGTAAACCATATTATTCGATACGTTGAACTCATATGTGTCTCTGTGTAGGTTTGTGGTTACAATCCATAAGTAGGTATATTTGCATTTGTCGGTTAGGAGTTTAACCATAGGTGTATACCAAAATATAAGTACCTACGAATTATAGTGAAGTGTAAATGATTTGCAAAAAGAAAATGTGAAACTGTATTATGATGAGAGTTATTCCGGCGGATATGATGGTATTGGAACGTGGTGATTGAATGGAATATTTTAACAGTTTCTTTTATGTGATCAAAAACCACGAAAAAATATAATATTATTGAATTTATTCTCTATATATTAACTAATTTAAATAATATATTGAAAACTGTATAAGAAATGTAAATAAGTAAAATGTTTTTACATAAATTATATAAATAAAAGAAAATTGCTCCAAAATCATCTAAATACAGATAATGATAATTGATAACTAATATGTAAGTTATCTCTGATAAAACAATAGATAGCTGAAATTTATCTAGATTAAAAATAAATAATATTTATTTCAAATTTATACTTTTAAGAATATTTAACTTCCTGCTATAGATGGGAGATAAAAAATAAAACATTTAAAACATTATATGGATGCAAAGGGTGCGAATCTGCATTTGCTATTGTAGCTTCGAATTTTTAACTAGAAGGGACTTTTACAGTTTTTTAAAAATGTCTATACTATGGATAAAATATTTTATTATTATTATTTTCATGATAATTTAATCTAAATAGTTACAAAAAAGATAATTATTTGTTTTATCAGAAAACCCTTCGGTATATATTATATTATATTATCTATATGCAAATATATGTTACATTTTTATTGTAAAAAATAAAAAACAAAGTAAAAGAAAAACAAAATATTATCTAGAAAAGTCTTAACACTAAAAACTAGTAGAAATTTAAATAATTTAGTTTATTTTATTAAAACACTTTAACATTATTATCAAATTGGTTATTGACATAAATAGTGAACTTCACATAAATAATACAATTGAATAATTGTTATTTATAATATTACAATAAATGAAAATAGGCTGATACTGATGATGGGTGTGTCACTTTATTAGGAGGGAAGTTGGAAAGGAGTCTACATATAAAAAGTAATTTAATTTTAATTAGGGAGCTCAATGATATGGCGGATGGTAGGGAAAAATGAAGAAACCATTTGTTGTAAATAAAATTTGTTAAAAACCAATTTCCGAATTGAAAAACAAAATAGTATATTTTCTATCCATACACAACAATAAACTATTTATAACGAAAAACGATTCTAAGCAAAGTATTATTTGTCTTTTTTTTCCCCTTGTTGATTGCCAGAAATCAACAAAAGTTATACAAAAATGTCCAGATTTTTTTTTCTATTTATTAACATACTAAAAGGAAAACTGAAAAATAACCGGCTCAATGCATCTACTAAATCAAAAATGCTACAAGAATGTTCCTATAAAGTTTTTGATTAGAACAAGATTTTAGGTAGAAAAGTTATTTATACACGCAAAAACAAAAAAAAAAAATTCGCCATAGTAAAATCAATGTATTTTTTATTTTACTCAAAATCTAAAATGATGCAAACACATATTTTATATTTAACTTCGTGATTCATGAATATAAAAATTAAAATATTTAATGCATACGAAAATATATATTTGTTAAGCGTTAGCGATTTGTGTATGATTTAAAACGTTTTTCCAATTGTTTAGAGTAAGAAAATATTAAAATAATAGTAATTACTCTGTTGCAGTAAATAAAAACATATACAGCTAATCGAAATAAATAAAGAATAATGCCACTTTATTATTATGATTAAAATTGCGAACGTTCAAAAAAATGTATAAGTTACATAATTTCGTATTTATAGTTACCGTGATATTATTATGTTGGTGTGCGTACGGTTAAAATATGTTAATATTAAATGCGTACGTCTTAAACATTTAAATTCAAAAATTACTAAGCGGAAAAAAAAAAAAAAGCCACCATACATATTATAATACATTTTAATAATAACAGGTATCTGTCGTGAAATTAATATATTTCAATTATTTAACCCTCTTGTACATATTACGTATAATATGTATAGCATACGAGAAGAAATAATAAGCATAATAAAATAAAATTGTTCTATTTTTGGAACATAAATATAATTACAATAATGAAACAAGAAGAACAATTTTAGCCTAAGTATACGGGGTGTCTCACAAAAAAAAATACTCATTGTAATATCTCCGGAGATAGTAAATATAATTAAATTTTGGTTTTTTTTTTTTTTTTTTTTATGTACCACTCACTAGGATAAGGACTACAAATAATTATGTTTCAGTTAATTTTTTATGTTTCGGTAAACAATTTTTAAAAATTTAACTATATTTTATTATTTTTGAAAAATTGTAGGTATCGAATTTTTATTTTCATTAAATTCGTGGTTTTTAATAATTTGTTAAAGTTCGGAGTAAATAACTGTGCAGTTAATTAATCGTAATAATAATAATCAATTAACGAATGCAATTACAGCCTGTTGCATAATTATAGGTACTTTACTGTGAAATTTAAAAAAATTATTAAAAATCAGGAATTTAATGGAAATAAAAAGTTGATACATCAAAATTTCCAAAAAATTAAACTCTATAACATGGTTATCTTGAAATTTTTTAAAAATAATAAAATAAAATGTTTAAAAAATAACTTTAAGATATACCCATTGTAATATTATCCGAAGATAATAAAGATAATCAAATTCTGTTTTTTTTTAAATATATATATATATATATTACTCACGGGTATAAGGACTATAAATATTTATATTGCATGTTATTTTTTAAGCTTTGATAGAAGACTTAAAAAAAAATTATTTTATTTTATTATTTTTATTAATTATAATTAACTACAAAATAAATTACAATTATTGTCAATTGTTTTTTGCTAAACATTTTTGAACATTATTATAGAGCCAGAAAAGTTTTATCCTGATAAATCGGAAAATAGTTTACGTGAATTGCCGTATCTTTAATGATTGTGTTCATCGATTTTGAAATTAAAACACTAATAAAAAAAACTACAACATTTTTCCTCCTCCCCGCTTTATATACGTCTTATGAAGAACCTTTTGTCAAGAATTTTTTCTGGATCAACCCAATTTTATTCACGTTACACAAAATCTCAAATATTTAAAATAGCTATAAATATAACTCAATAATCGCCAGAATGTTTTGATAATCACCCCTCCATGAAAATTTCTGGGAAATCGTAATTTTAAATAAAACTAAAGCGGGTTCCGGAGGTTTGGAACGATATTTATCAAAAAAATCTGTCAGCACCTCCCCCACATAAAAAAAAATAAATAAAATGCACACACACGCATATTATATGTTATTTGTTTATTTATTTATTTATGTTATCAATACCTCACAGGATAAATTAAAAAGTGTACAATATATTAAACGAAGGTACCATAATGTTGTATGTAGTGATTATAATGAAACATAAAAATTAGATAGATAAACTATAAACGACGTTAACAAATTAAAATTAATATCAAAATCCGTGAGTTAATTAGTGGAAAAGAGCCAGCGGCGTTAATAGCTATTAGCCGCATAATTATATTTTTCGGCGATATTACAAATGGTTGGCTTGAACGCGTGATAATATTATGAACTATTAAATTCACTAATTCGAGTGACTCGGGTGCAATCTGTTATACGGTTTATCAGTTTATATGTTAATTATAATTATAAGTAAAAATTATTGAAAAATATAAAAATAGTTACAAGTGTTTTTTAAAAGGAAAACGTTTAAAATAATATTATATGCTGTTTTAAAATTAAAATTTAACATAGGAAAAAATTAATAGAGATAAATGTTAATTTTCTTTTTTTTTTAGGTTAATATTGTATAATACGATTTATAAATAATATAAAGATACGATTTCTATGTTTTGAACGTTTTAATTTTACTAACACATTTTCAAAGATATATAATATGTGCGTTTGTACATGATCTAAAACAGGTTTATAAATAAAAATTGAATATTAAAATATTATTGAAAGTACACGCACACGACATCGATTTGTTCGCCAGCAGTGTTGTATTTAGTAAAAATTTAAAAATATCTAAGGATACGAGATAATTGCTGGAATCGTTATTTAGATGAAAATAAAAATAGGTACAATAGGTGTAAGTTTAACTATTTAGATAAAAATAAATAATCAGCAATTTTTTTTACAGAGAAAACAATATATATTGTCCATTTTACCTATCATAAAACTAAGTGCTTAAAATTGACCGGATATGATAAAGGTTTTTTATTAATTTAAAAACTTTGGTTCCGGGGGAAAAGGGCTTACGTCAATGTTTGTTTTTTTTTTTTTTTTTGATAATTTGGTCTAATGTAATTGTTTTCTCTATATTTTGTAGACTAAATTTCAAAAGTGTATGATGTGTTTTAAAAATGTAATTTTTTTGCACTTATCGATAACTATATGCAAAATTAACTTAACCCCTTCTTCCTTAAAACCGAAGGTAAATATATTAATACTATAGTTAGTACAGATTCAGTTTAATCAAATAATATATTAAGTTACTTTAATTACACGTTAAATTTATGTACGTCTAATTATTATACTTTTAGTTTAACTGATTAAATGTTATTAGTAAACGACCAATTATTGTTGTCCAGTTATGTTGGCTAAAAATTAGTTGGTTCAACTATTTTACTTTTAATTATTATTTAACTCAAACAACTAATTTCCCATCTGTCCGGATAATATATAAAATATAAAAATGTACACCTATCGGACGAATAATAATAAAACAAATAATATTTATCCGTCAGATGGCGTGATGGTCGGTAACCGAACGGCTATTACGTATACCCTGCTCACGGGGGCAGGCATGTGCGTCCGGTGCAGAGTCCTCTACACACACACACGCACACACACGCCGGCGGTGTTCGTCAATCACGGTTGTCTGTGTCATAACATCGTTCCGAAAACAATATTTTATAATATTATAATGCACGTAAATACGAGATAATCGCTGATCGAGTGTTGAAGTTTTGAAGAAAAGAAAGTATCCAAATAATGTAAAATTCCTTATTTGTTTTTTTTTTTAATTTTTTTTTTTTCATTGTTTTTTTCCGTTAACCGTTTGTTTGTTTGTTTATTATAGTACGCGGGTATACGTACACACGGTACACGATATTATACGTTTTAAAAATAAATAATATTACAGTGAAATGTGCTGATTGTACGAAACGGCGAGCTTAAAAAACGCCCGAGCAAACGAACGTACGCGCGATATATAATTGTCGTACCTGCAAACGTAAGTACAACCGGTGTATATTTATAATATTTATTATTTATTTCGTTAGGCCGCCGATTAGTGGAACCGCACGCGACACGAAGCGTATTTTGACACGCGGTTACTTTTTATAATAATATTATTTCAATTATTTGACCGTGAACGCGATAAATAACTTGCACTAATATTATTACAAACAAGTCGGATAGTGTTCAAATAATAATTGTACTAATAATAATAATGTATACGGGGAAAGAGCGACCCGTAACGAAACGTCCGCACTAACGTGACAAATAATAACATCGTAAACAAACAAAGGAGAAAACGAACACAAACATAAAACTAGTAACAATTCTCCGTTGTTATACTTATGCTATAACGTCACCGTTTAAACGCGCCGGTGCTTTGACGTTATATTAACAATGTGTGTGTTTCGGAGGGGAGGGGGAGGGAAGGATTTCGGTTAGGGTTTTCCGAATATTTTCTCCGATTTCGTAAAATGTCCACGTTTTAACGGGCCACGCATAGTTGTCTTTTCCGCGGATCTACTGTCCGATATCCGATTACGGGAAAATGGTCGATTTTACTGGGACGGATGTGACGTTTCAGACCGAAAAGCCCGCAGATATAACAGCGGGAATTGCGTTGGTGGGATTTCAATTGCATGAACGTACTATGGTTATTTATGTTTTTCGCTGTAGACACATTGGAAATCGGAATTGTCTGTTTAGTTTTTAATTCTCCGTATGATAATTACGTAAAATGCGAAATACTATTTAAATATATTTTTAATAAAAAGTATTAAGTCGGATTCAGTAAAATAATTGAATTTCTATTTCCAACATAGTCATTCTAGTAAAGACCCTAAGGATCATATTATAATTCATTTTCAAAATTGAAATCTAGCAAACACAATTTCTGCAGTTTGTTTTGGGATTAAGGTGAATCTAAATCTACCAAAATATATACCATCACCAATCTCCTTAAAACGTTTTATTACACAAGCACCAATTTTTATCAAATCAATAGTATTTTATCAATTTACCACCTAACTAATTTACCCCGCAACACGTTTACAAATCGAATAAATTTGTTTGTGAATTTTAATGGGTTTTTTTTTTTTTTTTTTTGATGCATGCAGTAAACTTCATTAATTGTGTTAAATTCTTAAATATTATAAAGTTACACAGAACGAACGTGTTCTAGTTCGCATTAGTGTGAAACATCCGCGCATGATGTAGTCAGGTATACCTACACCGAGTAACAGATAATTATTATTATTAAGTATTTAACTACTTTCCAAATAGGTACGAATAACTTTTTTTTTTCTGATTATATTTTCCAAATTAAATCAAAATAAGTGAAATACTTTACGAACAAATAATAAAAGATAAACAATCAAATTTTATCGTTTTTATTGAATTGCGAAACACGTGTGTCTATGTCAAAAAAAAAAAATACTGTATAGGCAACGTTATATTATTTTGTGTACACTGTACAACATAATTGTTTAGAGAAAAATAAAATTAAAAAAAAAAAAAATACTTAACCTTTCTCTAGATAATATACAGCGGCACAGAAACGAAGAACGCTGATTAGGTTTTTTTTCTCTATAATGAATCTATTTCGTATACTTGTCGGGTTTTGATCGGTTTTTTTTTTTCTACGTTTATGTCGCGGTGGAAGAAACGTATTTCGGCGGCATCCTTTGGTGAACGCACGTGCATTCCAATATTATTCTATAATACCTATACGATTATCTTTATTGAATTCATTAATAATAATCGTTACAGGTACATGCGGTTTCGAGTGTAATAATAATATACGTATTTTATAATGCTAATTACTCGCCCAAAATCCTAAACTTTTCGAAAATGTACACTATAATCACTATTACGGCAGGGACGTGTTTAAGGGTTGGAGGAGGCCTTTGACCCGGGTGGCTCATTTCAAGGGGGATGTTATAATTTATTAAGACGCGGTGAAATAGGTTGTAATTATATATATATATATATAATATAATATATTGAATCTATCCCACAGCTTACACTCACTCAACGGGGCTTCAAATAATGTGTTTTAGAGTTGACAAAGTGATGCGCAGTACAAAATGTATAGAGTATACAGCTCAAAATGTCAGTGTAGTAAAAAAAAAAAAATAGTCCATAATTTTCAGCTAAAAGCACTACAATAAGAACGCTTGAAAATGTAAATGTGTCTCTGTAGTACGGTGTATGAATAATATGATTATTATATTATTATCAGGGCTTGGGACTTACGCACTTGAAATGCACGAAAAGTGACCAAAAACTTAAAAAGAAGCCCTGAAATAGTACAATGTTTTTAAAAGACCCACCACTAACGGCTCTAACTTATGAAATACAATTTCCCAATGCTATACAAAAATGTTTGACACACGATTTTAAATAAAACAGTAAATATTTATAAAAAAAAAATATATTTTGTGTTAGTCGTTTTTTTAGAGTTAATAAATCCAATTTAATGGCTAGAGCCGTTATGGAAGGCGTAGGAATGTGACACCCCTTGAGCGCTCTGTCGCTTTTTAAAATATTTTTCAAGACTCTTTTAGCGTTTTTATGCGGATTTAGAATTCATGAATTCCCCTAGCCCTGTTTATTATCGTCACGCCGACGACAAGAGAGAGACAAAATATGTACCATTATTCCTCTACCACGATTACAAAGCGCGATAACATTATTATTATGACTTGTTAGGAAAATCGTTTGCGATTGACGCTTCCGGTTTTCGAGTTGCGTAATAATGTGCGCGTGGCGTCCTCTTCACTCCCCGGCGACGTATTTAAAAACCTTATCCAAATTCGACTCGACCGGTGTTGGTTTTAGGTTTACACTCGGGACGAGCACCGTTCACAAGGTAGGGGAGAGAGATTTGGGATTATAACACCCCTTCGATACTATGTGAGTATTTATTTGGGAATGACATATTAAAACGATATATTGCTGCCAAATATCTAAATAATAAAGAAAAGCTCGATGTGTGGAATATGAGAGTTGTAAGCTTTCATATTGTTTATTACTTATGCTTCCGCTCCAGTCAAACATTCCTAGGCACGCCACCGCTTTGTGGCACTCGAGATTTCCTCGGAGCGTCATCGGATTTGGATCGACACGACGATTAGGTTATTTCATGTAAAACTGCTCAAAGTCAACTCGACGGACGTTTCAGCTCGGGACATTTTAAATGCGTAATCGCAATAATTAATACCAAATATTACGATTGCGACGGCGGCGCAATAATAATGATGATAATCGTGTTTCGGAGATCTCGCAGTTTCTTTTTTTTTTTTTTCGAGTATACTTACGTCTTACATATTATAATAATATAGTGTATTTAGTACCGTATGTATAGTGGATCTGCGGCGGGTTATCGCGGCAATAACATCTTTCGGACCGAAGTGGCCGCTCGTTTCGTATTATGTATACCTACGTATAGTGGTCGTATTATTATATACAGGGTGATCAGAATTTTGTGTTACATCAATTTCCTCATACAATTATACATAAACCATAGACAAATCTTACGCTGTTAAATAACCGTATTCATCGGTATTATCAAAAATTATACGTGGATTTAAAATGTTCGGACAACCCGGTCGGGAAGATCGGCTTTGCAAATTCAAAAACGCGTGCGTGCGCTATGCACAGTTTAAAAAATCTTAAAAATCACTCTCGGGCAACAGGTTTTTAGACCGCTGAAATTCACAAAAAAAAAAAAATAAATAAAAATATATATCTTCAAATGATGTTTGCAAAACAAAACTGTAGATTCTCGTTAGGAACTGTGTACGTTTCACTGTGGAACACGACATTTCCACCGTACACTTCACTCTATATTTTTTGTTCATCTATGCGGGGAAAATACTATAGTATACGGTTCTGATCACCCTGTATGTATGTAACATCGTCGCCGTCGTCGTCGTATCGAATGTCTCCTGGACCCGGCGTGTAGTCGTACTACGGTTACACGCACTACTATATACACCTTTTAACAGGTGGACAGGTGGGCCCATAACGCGGCGGCGGCGGCGGCTGTGGCGGCGATGACCCGGTCCGCGTTACGAGTATGTGGAATTCGAACGAACCGGGTCGGAAAAAAATAATGTAAACCGAGATTTTTATTCCGAACGCGCGCCACGCCCGCCCATCCCCCCCCGCCTCCCTACACAGAAGGGCACAATATAAATAAATATAAAATATATATATATATATATACCTATATAGATTATACAATAATAATAAAAATAAAAAAAAAAATAAAAAAAAATGATAATAATAATAAAAACCGCAAAACGACTTGTACACGCGGCGGCGGTGGCGTCGTTGTCACAACCTACCGGTATATTATCACGCGCAAGCCTACACGGGTATCTATACCGGCGGCGCGGCGGCCGCGGTACTGCGCTGTTATACACACGCCACGCCGCGAGTGCGCGCCGGACGCGCGGGAATCGCTCAGTTGCGCGCCACCGCCGCGTCTTCTCGCGTACACCCGACGATCATCCGGTCGGAGGGTCGTGCGCGTGCGTACGACACGCGGCGATAATCCCTGTAATTACCGCGTCTCCGAGAAGATGCCCCGGCGTACCGCGCTCGTACCCGTGTACCTGTACCTGTAATCACGTGCGATACGGTTTTGTGACCGCGGCGACCGCGTCACCGCACGGTCCGGTCCGCCGTCGGCCGCGGCGATACGGTCGGCCGGACGTTCGGTCCGCGCTCCGCCGCCGCGGCCGGGAGCGTCCGTCAGCGGATCACGGGGGGCGCGCGCGCACGCGCATGCCGCGCGCGCGCGCCCGCAGACGGCGTAACATTATTGCCGGGCGTACACCACAACGACCGCGTCATTAGCTCCGGAGAGACGACGGACGGCCGCGCGGCGTCACCCGACAACAAAGCGGAATACCTCTAACGCACCCTCGGCGCGGACGGACGGTCGGAGCACGGCGTGCGCGTACAATACCATCCCACAACGCGCGATCCGAAGTGCCCGTACCCGTGGCGGACCGCGACTTCGGCGGCGAAGACGGCGCGGCGTGACGAGGAGATTCCCGGCTGCGGCGGCCGCAAGACGCATGAATAGAACGCCCGGTTCCTGTGTGCGGCTGCGGCCCGGGTGTTGTGAGAACCGACGACGAAGACGATTTTCGTTATTATTGTACTATCTTATATATATATATATATATGTATATATACATATATATGGGTACTTTTTCCTCGCCGTTTTACGTCGTAAATATTATTATAGATAATAGAATATACGCTATACGATCGGCCATCCGACTCGGGATCCGTATTTCTTTTTTTCCTCTCGCTCTCCCAATACTGTACGTTATTTACAAAAAAAAAAAAAAGAAATATAATTATCTATATTTGGTGTGTTATGTCTATTTTTATGTATGGAAACTAAACTATACGCGGACACAATGGGGGGCAAAAGAGAAGACGAAGAAAAATATATGAGAATAGGTTTACTAATTGCTTTTGAAATATTGCGGTAATGAAGGAGGACGCTGTATGGCTTGGTGTAGCACCAAGAAAGTCAACAACAATTGGAGTATTTGAAACGTGGTGCTGGAAAAGAGCTCTGCGAATCGCATGGACAGAGAGAATAATGAATTCGCGAGATAGACACGCCGAAGTCAATATTGAACACGTTTAGGGGAAATAAAAATAAGTCGTATAGGACATTAGAGAACAACAAAGAACAACGTCTGAGTGTGGACGATGATCGAAAGAAGAATCGATAGAAAGACTAAGACGCCGTCTGCAAAGCAAGAGACGGAAAACGCCGAAATAAATACATGTACAAAGTTTAAAAGAGAAGTAAGCGATAGGGATAGATGATGAAGTATCAATCAATTTTAGGATAGATAAAATAAAAAGGAGAATGCTAATAAATATCTAGCTAGAGCCGTATGACTATTAATGAGAAAATGTTACGAAAATCTGAAGAAACAAGATGCTAATAGGCACTAAAAACTTTATAACAAAGAAAGTCCAAAACGTTAGGATACACGATTCACCACAAGTTGAATAGTTTGTAGAAATTGTAAAAGAAGAAACGTTATTACAGTCTTTTGTAACATTGCGTTTTGGTGGTAGCCAAGGGAACCCAAATTCAAAAATATGAAAAAATGCAAAAAACAAATCTCCACGTAAAAGCAATTGAAATATTTAAAAAATCCGACTTGAAGATATTCGAACCAGGTGTATCGTCGTATATTTTATTGTTATACCTACATTTTTTTTTTTTGGAAATACAGCTGGTTGTCTACAAAAATTGTTCAAACAAAATGTACCACGGGGTAGTGACCCCCAAATGTTTTCATTAAATACGTACAGCGTGGTGTGAATGATTCAGCGGATTTTTTAATTACCAAATCGAAAAAGTTTTTTCCCAGAAAAAACCACATCTCGGCAAAGCGAAATAGCATCCTGTTTTAAATCTGAAAGTAAAAATAATAATTATCCTGCGACGACGCCAAACGAAACCGCTACTCGTTCTGTGTTTCCGTGAAACGTGCGCGCGCGTATACGCATTACAGCTACACGGTAGATGCCTACGTAAAATATTACGTTATTTCTGGCGATGGCAAAACATCGGTCTGCAGTGTGCCCATAGTACTTGAGCTGTAATTGATCGATTAAACACGTATCGAGTTTCCTGTATACGCGTTTTCTACCGAATTTTATTATTACAGGCGTATTCGTCGTGTTACCGGCATTCTAAACACATTTCTCCCCGCAGTCACTACGTATACAGAGTGAACAACATAACGTAAGCCACTCATTATCTCGCGAAATATTATCAAGCAACTCTGAAACATTACCGTTGTTCATCGTCACCCTTATTCGTGGGAGTGAGAGCACTGTACTTACTTTTGATTTTTAAATAGCAACCGATTTTAATTGGATCAAATTCCAATTTATGGATTTAAAAACCTCGGTCGTGTAGTATTTCAGAGCTGTTTGTCAACATTTCCCAGATAATGATTGTCTTACGTTATGTTGACCACCCTGTACACTAATGATCGCGAGCTGCGCACCACACACAAGACAATGAATAATATTCTCGTGTATATAGAATGCACTCGAACGTTTTTATTTTACTTTTTTCTTTTTTTTTTTTTTTACTGCATCTGTGACGTACCTACTCGTATTTATTTGTGTATAGGTACTCAAAGCTACAAATCCTTGAAATATAGAAATACATAACGAATACAGTAAATACGGAATTTTATTATTATTTTTTTTTTTTTTCTAACACTCCAGTAATCCGTTTGATTCACGGTAATAACGCGCAACACCACGCCGTAATATGACTATTGAACGGATATTTAGCTATTAAATCCTAAATTAATATACGAAGAACGCCCCCGCCGATAGAGATCTATTATAATATATCACAACGACGACGACGCAACGCGTCCCACGGTAATTTTCTTTCGGGATTTCTTGTACCGATGATTTTCTTACTCGTTTAATATACCCGCGTTAAGCTACTCGACCGCCTTTTTGTTATTATTATTATTATTATTTTTTTTTTTTTCTAATCTATCCACCTACGAACGAATTTCAAACGAGTCACGTGGGCCACGTAGTGGCGGGGAAAAACTATAATATACGAGCGATTTGAACGTCTACCTACCTAGTCATTTCTTTGCAAGTTAAACATTGATTTTTGTACGCACGCAACCATCTATGATACATCTTTCGTCCCAGAGAAGAAGGAACAGGGCCGTAGCAATGTTCTTTAGCGCTCCTGATCATTTCCGCCCTTGTACAATTTGTTTTAACCCTTTCCGCCTTCGTCCACGCATGCACACTTATAAACGTTTCTTTTTTATTTTCATTATTATAATAATGATATTTCATAAGAAAATAAACGCTACCAATTTATTATAACTTTATATAATAATTTGAAAAGAAATTTAACTTGTATACATTTTTAAAATGTCAACTTTTCGTGGTTTTTTAGTAGCGTATTCATCAATAACATTTTCAAAGTTGATTTTTTTCAACCAATCCACGTTAAATCGACATAATACCCATATTCGCCTAATTTGGTCCTATTACATTATAGACCTTATTAGATAGTGAATTTTCAGTTTACTAAAACTTCTTTCACAAATCGCAGTTGTCACCGGTACAATTGAAAATATCCTGAATACATTTTAGCTATAGTTATTATGCCATTCGATTGCTTAACAGTTTTTAAAATTTAATTTGCTTGTATTGAAAACTATACAAAATTGACTCGAGCCCTTTTTCCCTGGAACCAAAGATGATATAAGTTGTGTGCACTGTTGATGGTGTATACGTCATAATAATATTATGTTGTCGGCCGCGATGGAATGCGCGTCGGCCGTTCGCGGTCGTCAATATTTCAGTCATGGCTGCGGCCGGTAGGTACGTACCTACAACACGATGAACGTGAAAAAGCGCACACGACATACACACACATACATCCATCGTCGATCTACTCGTAATATTATTATTATAAAAAACGTTTCGACATATTATTATTTTGTTAAAAAAAAACCACTTTATCTGAAACCGTGAGTCGACATTTATTGGTACCTGCAACGACTACGGGATACGAGGGGTTCTTGCATTTTTAGCACGTAGGTACCTTTATAATTTCAAATGAAAAACATAAAGTGTATTATTTTTGACATAATAGCAGTGATGGGATACACACACTTTTTCCCGGGTGATAAGAAATAAAGTATAACGCCCGGCAGATCGAGATCCAAGTATACCAACTTCAAAAAATAAAAATCCAAACTTCAAACCTGATATTGCTCCAAGAAAGTTAATGTCCTAAGTGTAAACCTAAAACCTATAACCTTAAGTGGTTGGAAAACTGCGTTAGGTATAAATAAACATAGGAGTAAAAGACAAAAGCTGCCTCAGGTGAGTTACATTTTGAAGTAGAAAAGTCGATAATCTTATTTATCATAGATCCCATTAATCATCAATTCGTTGGTATTAAATTTGGAACGATACTAAATTCAAATTTTAATAGTCGGTACTTTTAGATTCTGAGTGAAACGAAGAATGTATTGGTTTTACTATGATGTGATGTCTGTAAACTATTTTTCTACTAAAAGTCTTGATCCGATTAAAAATTATTTCTTGTAAAATTTTGGTTCTGGTTGGTGCATTTTAAAGATCATTGTTTAATTTTCCTTGTAGTTTCATTAATAAGATTTGAAAGGCTGTAAATTTTGGTAAAACGTTTGTTGATTTCTGAGTTACCTTGGCAACAAAGAGAAATACGGCCAATACTCATAATGGTTTTTCATTAACAATGCTTTTTCCCCCGTGTACAAAATGTAAACTAAATCTCTATACATCCCCCGTTCCAAACTTCCCTTCTAAAACAGTGACACACCCATCAGTAGTATCAGCCTTTTTACTTTCGAGGTTATATTTCTTAACGTCCGGGGAGAAGTGATATTTGCCCAGCAGCGACAAGGCGACGCATTTTATACTATAAACTATTATTATTATCATATAGCGGTTTAACGCCTACTAGATATATAATAATTATAAAGGTCCAAATATATCGAAGACTATCTTCCGACGATGGCTTATATATATATATGTGTTATTATCTTCTGATGGCGGTTTCTCACTTGTTGTTTGTCTGAGTCGTCGTCGAACAGATTATTTATACCTATATGTGTACTACAGACGAAACACGTCCTAAGAGCATCTCCCCTCAGGGCTTATTGTATAGGTATTGCGGCTACTCCTCCTTTCGGGACTACCGGGCGTAACTTACTATACAATATAAACGGCAGTACAGGTAGCCACCGTCATAATTCAGCCACCGGAAACAATTAGTATTATTATTATTATTTTTTTTTTTTTTTTTTATAATAATATACTGTTATAAAGTACTATAGATACTAACGCGCGCGGTAGCCAGTCAGGGATTTATAGCAAAAATATTAGAAACAATAAATTATTAATACGCTACACGTTAATAGTATATTAATTGAACAGAAAATGCTCTCATAATATTATTGTGTTATTGGAATAAAACCAAACGATAAAACGAGTTTTTTCTTCGTCTCTTTTTTTTTTTTTTTTTTTTTAGTTATATATATGCTCATCCCTCGACTGTTAGTAACGCGGCATTATAAAAATACTAAATTTATTTTAGTCGTATAGGTAACCATATTATTCACTATAGGTCATGTTGTAACAATTTGTATGGTTAGAAACCACGTTTATGTATTTTTTTCTTTTTATACATACAATTTCATTTCGGTTCCTATTCTTGTATATTTTTGTCATTGTATAGGTACCGCGACCCAATACGTGCATGAGATAACAACGTATGGAATAATAATCAACCGTAATAAAAAGTGTCCCATTCGCGGTGCGCTGCAGTATACACATTCAATATTATATTATTATTTGAAAAAACTTTCACCGGCGGTGGTCGTTCAGGGAAAAAAAGAAAAAAAACATTCACCTCATGTGCAGCTAGTGTTGCTTTCTATTGTTGACCGCCGGTGACCACTGTACATATTATTATTATTATTATTATATAGGTTCGCGCGTTCAAATCGCTATAATAAAGGTACTAGCTTTTTAGAAGTTTTCACCGAGCCGCTTAGGTACCTATAATATTTACACGAATATTATTTTTTTTTTTTTTTTTTTTTTTTTTTTTTTTACTTATTATTTTGTTCATTTTGTTCTGTAGATTCAATCGAAAAAAGGGTACCGTGGCCAGAAAGTCCTGTCCCACGCTGTGGCATAGAATATATTTTTTTATTATTTATTTATTATACCTAATAACTGCAGCAACAATATAATAATAATATCTACATCACTACAGAACCACTGGACCGCATATCGTATTTCCTTTTTTTTCTGCACCGTTCGAATTTACATAAAAGAAAATAAATGTGACGTAGGTATAGTATTATCGCGCCATACATCATATTAATTTCCATTACTATTATATTATTATTAAGTATTAATTCGCATTCCGGAAGCCGCGTTACCCTTAATATAACATTTAAATAATAATACATCATAAACGTATTATTTAATAATAGCCTTTGTTTTAGATTCGGAGCGTAGCGAAGGATCTATTTTTATTTGTATTTATTTGCTGGAAAAAAAATGCAATGAACAAGAGTAAATCTTTGTATATACGTCAAACATTTTATATTTTATTTTCCTCGGTATTTCGTTAAGGAGCGAGCACACATTCAATTAAACCATCAAGTTCAGTTAAATTTTTTAACACGTGTGTATATCACTAAGCGCATACTACATTCATTTCGGTTTTCTAATATTCCATCCGCGTCAGTTTAGCCGATGTTCATCATATCTCGACAAACAAAATTAACTAAAAACGGGCATAAAAAAACATTTGATTTAAGGTGACAAAGGTTAAAGTCAAAATCATAATAACATTCAGAATATGACTGAACTGGGCCGAACGGATCCAGTGCTTAGAATCATTGTAAAATGAAAACTACATCTTAGGTCAATATTTCAACAATTGCTTAACGATTCTGAGTTGCAATACGAATAAATAAATAATAATTTTGAGCAATGTTCGGTTATACTACTTCCTGGGAAAATCAAAAAATGACTTCCTCGATGTACCAACCGGCTCCAAAATGCTACACAAAACTCACTTATCATTTTTTGATTAGAGCAGGATTTCTAGTAAAAAAGTTGTGAACAGATAAAAATCAAAAACAACAGAAAAAATCCATACACACATTATGGTAAGACCAATACATTTCTCGCTGCGCTTAGAATCTAAAAAATATAAATACGAGTATATGGAAAACTTTTAAACATATTACTTTTACGGCTCTCTGAAAACGGATCATTAAGCCCTGTCAGTGTACTCGCTCCTTTAGTAATATTTATGTATGGTTATAGGAATTATCGCCATGTAATTTAACTGCATTTATATTATAAAAAAAAAAAAAAACAATTAAAAATATCCGATGAGTTTTTGAATTCGTAAAGTATGTACGATATATTATTTTATCGGTGCTGTCGTAAAACAATTAAAATCATAATGTTATTATTATTATCATCCCGTAACAATCGTAATAAATAAATGTGTGTATACACGATTCTTTATGGACATCACAATTTACAAGTGTCACTGCTTTAGTATAGACTATATTTCGTTAAAAAAAATATCTAAAATTATACAATATCATTAATATTCTTTCGACTTAAAATTATTACATGTGACAACATCATTTCCATTAACTCGTATACTTTACATAATATATTTTATAATATTAAATTCGTATAGTATAGGTAATTACACGAATATATATAAAAATAGGAAACCGAGTGGTTAACATTTTATTTAATGTGAGTTTACAATATCTGATGAAACATCGGCCATTAGCACGTTTCCGTTTGATCGTTTCTACATTACATAGATTCCTATTTGTGGTGGGAAAAATCTGGATTTGCTGAAGTTCCATAATCCGTAATTTCGAAATCCGAAATCAAAAATATATTTAAAATCTGAGTTTTAGATTTTAGATTCTCTTAAGCGAAAACTAATCATATAATTATTAAATTATTTAGTACAATTATAATATAATATACAAATAAAATTAATTATTAAATAATGATAAAAAAAAATATGCGTGAAAGGTGTCCGTAGGCTGAGTTATAAACAATTTTTTTTAAAAAAACTATTTAATATACATTTTAGATTACGAGCGTAATGGGGAATCTATACACAAATATATATAATAGATTTAAAAAAAAAATAAAATCGAATTTTTCTAAAATCTAAAATTAGAATTTTCTGATAAATTGGATTTATATCAACTAATTCCTATTTAGTTTTCAAAGATAAAAAGTGATAAATGTAGTCTATATTATAGTAGTCAATAGTTTTATTTTTCGTCGATAACAAATCTCCAATCGGTATTGTTACTTTTTCAAATTATTATTATTCCCTTCGTCTATATTGTATTGTACAAAATTATAAAATTACAAGTTCATTACTTGCATGTATAATACCGGTTTTTTTTTTGTTTTTCTGCGGTCACAAAATAAAATCGATACCTACCCGAATTATTAGTGTTGCTTTACTTTCACCATCGATGCGGAAAAATTGCGCCGCTCGAATAATGTAATCAGCGTTCGTATTGCAGGACTTTTACGTCCGATGAGTTTTTTTTTTTTTTTTTTTACCACTCTACCTACATACCGAGAGAACCTTCATACCCTTCAGAACCCTCCATAGTATTATAATAAATTATTATTAAAAATGAGTTCGCGCCGAGTTTATTGCATAATTTATTATTCCCGATGTCATAATTCGACACTTTTATTGTGCATTTGAATGCTGTAAATCGTCGATCGCCGTCTATGTATATATATATACTATATAAATGTCAAACAATAGTACTGCGGTAAAATATACGAGCGCCTCTAAATTTTTTCTGTAAAAACAAAAACGAAAAAAAAAAAAATGAAACTTTCATACGACTACATGCGTTCGTGGAAAACCGTGTTTAAAATAATGATGACGTATTCTAATCACGGCGTATATTATATATAAGAGCACCGTATTATACACCACACCCTTGAAAGCGGCTAAAAGACTTGCCGAGGATTTTAGGAGAATTTCCGTCAAGTCTTTGCACCGCGTAACAATATTACACTTATAAGTCTATTGTCTATTCGTATATACACCGGATTCCTGCTCGCGAGTATCTGACGGTCTACGTCAACGTCGTCTATACGTCCAAACGGTGTGTGTAATTTGTATTCCGAGTGTAACTAACACATCACGCATTGTTTAACGAACATCGCGTCGTGTTATCAACGGAATACGAGCCAACGAATCTGTTCGGCACGTCATCAGTGCACGGACAGGTCTTTCGGATAATACGCCTCTAAAAATGCTCTTCACGAACCGAAAATCGAAAATTCCGCATGGATCGTCATAACCTAAATGATAACAGAGCCGAAAGTACCATAAATATACTACTGCCTTTTCGACTAAACCAATGTAAAAAAAACGTTCAAGGAGCTCTGTCACTAACGTCAAACTTTCTCAGTCTATTTTTTATTATTTATTTTTCAAAATTATGGACAAAGTCCAAGTACAGGATGGTAGATAATAACAAAAATCATAAGTAATGTAAAGAGAAAAAAAAAGAGATCGAGGTTAGCTGAACAAGGGAGGTAGACCACAGAGATATGAAGTAGGAATTTAAAAGAAATATGAGAGACGTAAAAGGGAATTAGAGAACGGGTATAACGGGAAAGAGCATGGAAATTAATTTTCGCGAGTAAGAAAAGAGAATCAATTTGATTGAATTGGAGTTTGGTAACAAATAAATGGTTAGCCCTTAATATAGACATATTCTTCACAATACGTTAAATAACCAAATGTTATAAACTATAATAGTAGAATACGTTAAAATATACATAGGATTTTCGGAATTTTAGTTGATACTCAAATTTTCAATGATATATTTTTTTTTTTTTTTTAAAAAAAAATTTATTAAAAACTTTTTGGAATAATGTATTTTAAAATGTCCATATTTGTTTATATTCACATAGCTCGTATTTTTTTCACCGTTATTTTTGAGAGCATAATAACTTCCCAATTTTGATTTTATATTAACCTATATTAAAAATGTCATAAGTAGAACAAAAGTTTCAGTTTAAATACATTTTAGTAGTGAAATTTCGTCAGGTTTATTATACTTGTTGTATAATTACTTTAGACTGTATACAAATATGTATAATAAATGGGTGTGAACGGTAGATCTTAATTACATCTAATATACACAATGCACATAGAAATACATTATTTTTTGAAAAAAAAATCATATTTTGGTAGCCATAATTGAAAATAGCACGTAGTTCTGACCAAATAACAGCCGACATCGTACCGAATAAAATACATATATGGGACCAAAAAGGGCCCGACCGGACAAACGAACTATATCTATGCGTACAACGGCTTGTAATCCGTGAAATTTCCTCATCGTTGTCCGAATGCATACATAGTTATACGACGAGTGAGTGCAGATGCTGGGTGCCGTGTAAATATTTTGTTGAGGGGTCGAGGGGGACCCCAGAAGGCAAAAGCGAAACAACCGGTCCGGCGGAGCAGACCACCCAACGGAGCCCAAGGTCGACGATAATTACGGGCCGCTATTTAGGTAAAAAAAAAACTGAAAAAAAAATATAAAGAGGGGAAGAAATAATATTCTGTATGTATGTACATATACACATACATACATACATACATACAAGTATACACGGCGTATAGTTAAGAGGTAAAAACAATAACAAAATCTGGTGGCCAGATGAATATAGAATATGTATGTACAGAAGATGCTGTGTATAAATATTTATAAATATACGTTGGAAATTTACTATATTATAATATTATGATGCGTGTATACGGTAGCCGCGGTGAACAAAATGTTAATCACAAGGTAAACACACTATATATATTATTGGAATTTAAAAAAGAGCTATTTTTTATTTTTTTTTTTTTTTGAATGAAACTCCGCGAGTAAAATAATATTAGACTGCTGCATGTGCACATAAACCAGATTCAAATGAATTCTAAAAAAAAAAAAAACCCGATATTATTATTACGATCCGCAGCGCGTAGCACGAGCTAAAATCCATTATAAAATATTATGTATCGGGTGTAATTTTCATCACTCCGACTATATAATAATTTGTACCATAACAATATCGTTGCCCTGTATAAACGCCACTCATTAATAATACATTATTATACTTCGCCGCGATATAGCGCCCCGCCGTATCAACAAACGATCCCGCGGCCATCGGAATGGATTTTGCAAATTAAAAAATTCTCTCACCGTTATAATATTTGATGTTTTTTTTTTTTTTTTTTTTTTATGAGCCGGCACTTTAATATTTATATATGTGAAAAAGTTTCGAGTAAATTCAATTTTCCCTCCTTCCCAAAATAAAAATAAATCATTATAAAATAGTATCATTTAATAAGTATAAGTTTGTTCAATCCTCCGCCTCCTATTGGCATTTTATAAATTCCAAGTGTACCGAAAAAGCTATTAGTTATACTAAAATTAGTTTTTTAAAATATAAAAAAATATTGTTTACATTAAAAACTGATAACCCGTTAGTCATTAACTTTGTTTATTTTATAATGTTAATCTTCTACACTGAAATGTTAAATCGTCGTACAGTCGTGATTGCGTTCTGGCGTATTTCATGGTATTTCATTTCAAAACTAACGTTTTTGGTGTAAAATAATCAGACACGTACGCAAAAAAAAAAAATTTGGAGGGGAGGTTCATTAAAAATGTACAATTACACAACTATTAATTTTCGGGGGTGGAGGAGGGTTCCCCCCCGACCCTGAATACGTGCCTGAAAATAATCACACCCATGTAAAATTAGTCGCGTATAAATTAATAATTGTTTTTAAGTTATAAAAAAATGCAGGCCATAAATAAAAGTTTTAAACAATGATATTAAATTTAAATCGATAATATTCTTCTTTTCATTATTGATGTAACAATATACACAAATACAAATTATAAACTAAATTTTAATTGTTGTAATATAGAGGCAATTATTTTACTGGATTGTATTTAAGTCCCTACTAAAATTATTCTGCACACCCCGCGAAAAATTCCCGCGCACGCCTACGACGACAGTTCATGGATTCATGATAAAAAATATTAAAAATGGACCACTCTATACAGCCGACCGTGTTGCTCGTAAACGATGTAAAATTATTAATGTTTTATTTAGTATCGAAAATCAAAATTATTTATTATACCGTATTACGTTGTGTATAAGGTTAGATAATAATTGGGTTGTGTACAACGTCATAACAGTAATTAATTTTTATTTTACGAGTTTTATATTATATCGTTCGATTGGCGTTAATTCAACTGGCGACCGTTTCGAAAAAATAAATTACACTCGAATAATAATAATAATAATTACTATTGTTTGCTACATCAATATTCTATTATGTGGCGTATAGACTTCAAAACATATCATTATTAAATGATCACGAATGCAGAAAATAATATTATATATTAACTTTTTTTTACAATAATGTAATATAGAGATTAAATAGATTTCTGTTGGGTGCATAGTGAACGTTTTTTTTATTTATTTATTTTATTTTATTAGTAATATATCATTTTTTTTACGTCTACGCGAATCCAACTCAAAAATGCAATAACTCAAATTATATTATGATAAAATAAATTGGTACAACGTACGATTGAAGATAATGCGTCATCAGTATTATATTGTATGAATATTATATTATACAAACGGTGGCTGTTTGTTATAATAATAATTCCACTAAAAAATTAATATTAAGACTGAAATTCAAAGATACGTTATCTGCGCATTCTAGTAGTTCTTATATGATAATAATTTTGGAATTTATAAAAACAAAGCATTTGATTCAAATATTATAATATTTATTGTTTCATTTTTCACTTATTTCGCTTTAGATTGCATGTTTTATATTCCAGTTATGAGTACCGGAATTGTGTAGTATTTTTCATTTTGACAGTGGACATTTTTGGAGAGACGATTAAAACACAATATTTATTCTAAACTGAGTGAGTTGACGTTTAAATATTAAGTTTTTTGTCAAATTAGGTGTAGATACTAATATGGTGTTCTAGTTTAATATATGCATTATCAGTGGCGTATTAAGATATTTCACCACCCCTCCTCCCTCCGTCCTCCCTATTATAAAATATAAACAAATAATTTAAACAATTCAGCGTTTAAAACTTATTAGCAATAATAAAACAAAAATGTAAAACATTTTTCTTTACCAATACACACTGAATCACTAAATGCAGAAAGAGCACGTGTGTTCATATTCTCTAAAACGACAAAAATATTTAACATCTGTGTCAAAAATTAAAACTTCATGCTAATAACTAATGTAAACGCATTAGATATTATAATCTATACGATTCTACGGTAATGTTATGAAATACTATAAAGCTCTAGATTCATTTACTTCAGAAGGTTAATTAATTGTCTTTCTTGAAAATATGTATACATATATTTTGTTTGCATTATTATATTTATATTTTCATTAACTAACTTTCTTTAGCTCCCGTGTTGAAAACTGCTGTGTACGCCTCTATGTAAGAAGTAGACTAATATATAAGTGATATATCTATATATAAACTCAATATACAAAGTTTACCCTGTTTATTTTTTTAAATTCATGTCTATAATAAGACAAAAACAGATTTGTATTCTGGTTAAGTACAAGTACTCGTATAATTTCTAATAACATTATTGCTCGTTTTATAAACCTCCTCGAAACTCGCGGTTATATTACAATAATGTTAACACAAGAGTATTTTAGATTTTTCTTTCGGGATTATAATATAATGTTGGTACTCAAGAACTATCGACAAATTGTTATTTAACTGCGGTACAACGCACGAGTCATCTCTGTAAAAACCGCGGGTGTTATTCTCAATCATACACGAGTATAGATTCAATATAATGGTTCGGGTGTATTAAAATACTTTTGAGATGTTTCCAATCACGACGTATTTGTATAAATTAAAAAAAAAAAAAAAAGATAATTATGAACAGATATATGAAAAAAAAAATCCGGTCGGTTGTTAATGTATAGGTAATTAATGACATATTATTTACCTACATATATATATATATATAAATAAAAACCATCACGTACCTATACATGGAACTATATCGTATCATTAGTGAGTGCTTATTATAAATCGCTTCGAAACAATATTAATGTTATGTATAACTATTAACATCTGAAAAAAAAAAAAAAAAATTTGTTTAATATTTCCATATACTTGTCTACGGTATATTTTGTTCTACGCATTCAGGTGTCATTACGTAATTAGGTCGTGTAAACGCGTCCGTCCGAATAGATAATACGGCAGTATTATAGAGTAGACATATTAGTAGCAGTAGAAGTGAGTAGTCGTGTTTTTTAGCTAATGCCCTGAGGTTTTTAAAAAAAACAATACTTTTTATCAGTATATTACCATGTAGGTATAGTTTGGCTACACATATATAGGTATTATATTATATACGATTTTAATGCGCTTGATCATAAATCATAAAACATTAGTGCCAAGTACGTACATCGTATATAGGTACGTCGGTTGTAACGCGTAAAAGTCTCCCTAAATATCGCTTTTTATGGATAAGTTTACTTGCCCGTATTTTCAATACGAATCCAAACATTATATATTATTATTATATCGCAGCAGTAATAACTCAAAAGAATTTGACGAGAATTAATTTTTTTTTTTTTTTCAAATCAGGTTTATCATTATTATTATTGCACAACGCGCGATTTAGTTAGTCTGGTACCTATACAAAAAAAATGATTAACATTTGTAAATCGTAAATAACATTATATACCTGCCTAGTATATACTTATAGAACGTAAAAATGTCCTCGGCAATAAATAAATCACGTTTAGCTATATACAGTCGTTAATAATAACCGATGCGAATGTTTTATCAATCATGAAACCATTACGCGAATCTATCGATTCCAACAAAAGTACTATTAGAATAATGTTAAAGTGTTATACGGCAATGATGATGTATTTCGACACGTCAAAATTGGCATCATAGCATATTATCATTACAGGATGCGGCAAAACGGTTCTCCCGAATATAAAAATATAACGAATGGAACCGATATTTTCGAAAAAAATAAAATAAAAACATGCTGCTGCGATTTCTCGCCTTATACGGTATCCGATATTTGTGGCTGATGTAAATAAGCAAATATATGCTTTTTTCAGATGCTCCCCTAAAAAAACAAAAAACCGTCGACTGGCAGATCAAAAAAATAAAATAAAATAAAATAAAGTGTCTTTTACAGACATAAAACGACTAAAATCTTAACTTTTGATGGCAATTTCGAATTTGTTTAGCCTAAACTGTATAAGACAAATTGATTTTGGATTTCTTATTGTACAGTTCCTTTCCGAGGTTTTTTCCGTTTTCTAAAAAAAGAAAACGTATGTTTGGAACATGTGAGTTTTAATTCTTGCCTACTCAATTATAAAGTATGGACGAGTTTTACGCGTTCTGATTCATTATTTATAATTTTTTGTGAATCGCATTATTTGTAGGTTTTTAATATTATTATTGTAAGAGGAAATAATTGTTTAAAGCACGTTCCCACGACGAATGCTTCTGCTCGGGGACCCCCGTAGATTCGTTACCACGCGCTGCAGACGTGGCGCGAGGCAGCTGAACTCGCCCGAGTTTTTATTATTGAAGTTAACGTAGTCTTTAGGGAGAGAGTAAAAAAGAAAAAAAATATTTTTAAATTTTCGTCGGTTTGTCAACCGTTTTGACGCGTTCCCACGTACCAATACGCACACCAACACCGTTTTGGTACTATAAAACACTTCCGCCGTTATCGCGTATTATCTCTAATCTCGAGCAGCTATAATTATTCCAAGTACACGATTAATAATATTTACTTTATAGTTTATAGAGCCAACAAGCATATTATCCAATGTTACGTTGACTATCGAAAAGTATCATGTATTGTATACGAGTAAATAAGAAAATAATATAGAACCGAACCACTCAATTATAGGCAAATCGATTTTAACTCGAGCGTCGATTTCTTTTGTTTTGATCGGTATCTTATTGGGTGAAATATTATGGTTACAAGAAGTATATTACGCTTCAACGGCTAAAGGAAGTCTATAAAGTGCGTTTAAAATGTTATGAATGAAGTAAAACAGTTTTTTTTTTTTTTTTTAGATATTTTCCGTCTTCCGAACAGTAGGCCGTCATCTGCGATGATGTGCTGTTCACCGGCCACGACTTCCTCATTATCTCCTCGTCGTGTGATAATGATGTACAATAAATAGTCGCTGCTGAAGATTCTCTTACACGTTAAACGACCGGGAAAAAAATCGGGTGTGTATTTAAAAAAAATATTTTATATTATTATGAACGTTTAAGTGTATTGTGGCGTGTAAGTCACAGGTGCGACAAAACGCCATGTGACGGTCTGAGGGCTGTATGAAGGGTCACCTCATCTGGACCGAAATCTGATAGTACACATTATGGCCAGAATTTTTTTTTTTCTGTTAAAACGCTTGGCATAATCGATTTCCGCCCCGTATCTCGTTACTCTCGAATACCAAATCAACTTTCGGTAAAGCGAAAAATATAACAGTGCATCCTGGATCACCGGCCCGGTAATAATCGTCGTTTATTACCTATATACGATGGTCGATGACGGCTAAATCCAGTAGGCACGATAATAATATCGTATATGCCTACCTCGGTCGTCCGGATAGAGTCGTGTTTTATAAAACTGGTTAGCGAGGATCGCCGTCGGTCCGAGTGGCCGAGAAAAAGGGTAGGTAGGTATATTAAGAATACAGTCGCGCAATGTCGATCGGGTCACGTGTTTTATACTTGTATTATTATTATTAATATTACGAGTGTATAAACCGGAGGAAACGCGTGGCTCGGCTCTATAAATCACGTGGTGGTCAACGGTTTTTTTTTCTGCCCGCGTATTGTTGACCTTTTAATTGGACGGCCGCGCGTCAACAGCCTTCCGTCTGGAGACATCATCATAAATGCGCGTAAAAACGATTTTACCGCCGTCGAGAAACCTGTAATAATCGACGACAACGTCATTTCCATAAACGTTAGCGTTATTCTTTCGCGTATAAGATACCTGTTGTACCTATACCTGTATACGTGATGCGTGCGTTATTCTGTACATGACGAGCGGGTCGCAGAGAAAAAAAAATATACGACAGCCCAGCCACTCTCCCCCGCTGGCTCCCGGGTAGTACCTATATTGAAGTTTTTTTTTTAACGCGACTTCCAGAAGCACGTCGTCTTTTAAACTTACTCTTTTACATCGACTGTACAGCATACAAAATGTAATAGAGGAGACGCTGCAGCGCACACGATTCTATATAAAAATTATAAATTCACAATAAACTGCTGTTGTATGATAGTATTATAGTTGTACTACTACGCTACCGCAACCGTATAGTATAACATAGTAGTCGGGAAAAAAAAAACGTGAACATATTGATTAAAATAAAAAAATAAAAAATAGTTTTTCAATAATTGTATAGTTTTATATTACCTATCGCGTGATTACGATGTTTTAAGGCTGTTTTGAGTTTCAAAGTAGTTAGGTTGTACAGTGTATACTCGTATATCTCGCGATCAAACTATACGCGGTAGTTTTCCGTACCTGCCTACCTGTCTGTATTAAAACTTTTTTTTTTAATTAAACGTAATAGTATTATTATTATTTTATGGCGCTTTCCACTTTTAATTAACGAACAGGATCATAATTATAAGGTGTATAGTATATATACATTATATACATATGTGTAGTGTTCGGCATAAACGAATAATAATTTTTAGAATAAAACTAAGGTGTATAATATGTACGTAAATTATATTATGCCGTGTATTTCACTCGAACGATAACATAAAATATTTAATGCATATATTTAACATAAATATGAAATCGAATCGAAATGGGTTTCTTTTATTTTCTTATCGAAAGATCGGGAAAACCAAATATACGTCAATTTAAGCCAATTTTCAAAACTTTGACCCTTGTGGTACGCTATAAAACATATATTTCCTTAAATAAAACAGTCTATTTTTTAGCAGAGTCCTAAACAGTCCAATTTTGTTTTCCAAGTGACTTTGATTAAAATACAAATTCTTTTTATATCTAAAAATTACAAAAAAATCTAACAGTCATCTAAAATGTATTAAAAATGATGATTTTTTTTTGAATTGGAAAATTTTACTTTAAAAATGAAGAAATTCGAATTCTGTTTTATGGCGTAAAAAATCATAAAATTGCATGCGTTAATTTATAAAATTGTATCACAGGAAAAATTTAGAAAAAAGAAAATTGTATAAATTAAAGTTGCTTGGACATTGTAATTCGTAGGATTATTTTGAACCTGGTACTAAAAATAAATGTTTCCATTTAAAAAAATTAAAGTTTTATTGAACAAACTCAAGGGTTAGAATACCCAAATTGGCTTTAAAAATGTACTTTTTGGTATCCCACACTTTCCTACAAATAGCTATAGTCAATTTAAATCTATCCCGTTGAAATATATCATGTTACCATAATTTAACTGAAGCACACTGTATAATACTTACACTCTCAAATTAAAACGTTTAAAAGCGAAGAAGAAAAAATATGTGATTTACTCGTTTAATCTCTGCATAAATAAAAAGTTTTTATCATTATTAATTCGTATAGAGGTATATAATGTATACGCCATAAAACTATTTAAAATATTTACTATTTTTAATTTTTTTTTTTTTTTTTATTATGATAGGCAAACTATTAAAATAATCTACTTTGATTTGACGTTAATCCACATAAACTAACCTATAATTCATATTATTATTGCGGTACGTCAAACAATAATTTGTCATTGACATTATATTAGTTTATCGTAGCTAACATAAGTTTTTTAAGGCATATGAGGCCAAAACTAAACTTTTAAAAATTATACTTCAATCCGTTTTTAGAATTTAATACGAGTTTAATTATCTTAAAAGCATCTATTATGGCTAGACTATAAAAAAAATTACTCAAAAGCAAATTGAATAATGCCATTTTCGAGTGGTCTATAGATATATAATATTATTTATCGTAGAATATAATATATACTAATAAATAATATGTAATCATGATGACGTGCGATTAAAAAACTTGAATTTTGTTCAAAATGTGGTATGTATGCACTACACGCACTTGAAGTACAATATGTTCTATTCGAGTCACTGATTCGTTTGTTTTATTTTGAAAAGATATATTGTCTTTTTGAACGAACGCTCTTTAAAAATTATATTTTTAACGTTTTAGATTCTCAGTTTAACAAAGAAGCTATTATAGTTTTACAATAATTTGTTTTTATTATTATTATTTTTTTTTTCTCTGGAAAATTACTTATACGATTAGTAAAATTGATTAGGTTCGTTCATGCCATACCTCGAAAGATGACCTTCTACTGACAGTACTTTATATGAAATATTTTTCGAAATCCCCAATAATTTGTCCAAAAAATAGCAAATACAAGTAATCAGTGGGAAATAGAGTTTAATTTATACTGTTATCCGTTTAAAAACGAACGGTCGTATAACAGTTTGTATTTGAATATATAAATTTGTTTCTTTTTTTTTTTTACATTATCCATACTCACATTTTATGTTATACGGTACGGGTATATAATAATTTACAATTACTTTTTGTGTATCCATTAGTTGATCAATATTACGTGTGTTTGCCAACACGGCTATAATATATTATATTGTACGAAATAATACATTTTACAATAATATATAATACACATGTTATAACACGAACCCAACGTGCGGATACAAGAGAAGATCGACTTACTATTCAGTATAGCGTACCGATGTACGGTGGTCGTGGTCGTGTTATTTTAGATTTTGAAAAATCATAAAAAATTACGAGCAAATTTCCGTGGCTTATCCATAATCCATAGTTAAGTTTACACTAAATTTCGTATTAATATAATGTTATTAAAATGTAATTGTGTGTATATAAATGCACGGGCATAAAAAAAAACAACAATATTTTTGATTTTTTTTTTTTTTAAATGTAATGAAGTAGGTGTGTAAATAATACAGTATAATAAAAAATATTAAAATTTCTTAAAAGTACATACCTAACTTAACCACTGTGATGGAAAAACGTAAACGTATATAAATAAATATTATGAAATTAATTCAATTTTCCGTATATACGTTGATTCAATCTTAAATAGAAAACTATAAAATTAAGCTAGATTTGATATTTTTATACATGATTAATTTGAAATTGTGTATTGCAATTCAAAATTTAAATCGAAATTGTACAGTTTCCTTTCTAAACAACAGATACGTGCCTCGCTGCGCTCAGAATCTAAAACAATAATAATAGTACGTTTAGGTTCTCCGCCGACGGCGGCGCTGATGATTCCCGTCGGCAAAACGTCAGTTTACCAAGGTATCTATAACATTGTTGTTATAAAATTATAAACATCTCGCAGTTCGATACTACCGCAGAAACCGAATCTCGGACTGCAGAAAAGGTGCATATTATTATATTATTATAATATATTATATCGTGCATATTGTAAACCGCGCTGACTAACCACCTGACACGGAGCATGTGTTGTATGTATACCTATAAGTATTAAAGTTATGCATTAATGTATAGCGCACACGCGGAAAACTGGTTACCGATATTATATGTTATTATACCTACATCCACAGCTACACATATACATGTACATGTATTACGGTGGTAGACCTTTAACTTTATATTTGTATATACAGGGTGTTGTGTTCATGAGTTCTGTTTTTTTTTTCCAACGGAATGGTTTAAACGTTATTTTAAGGCGGTAGAAAGCGATTGGGTTTTTCATATGCATGTAGACCAATAATAAACTATAGCAATAAACTTACTTCTAGTACCTAGTCCAGTTTCTGTTCTGAAAAATGATTTGCATACTTTTTTCCTATGTTTAGTAAACAACATTTTTAGTTTTTTCTTTTTGTGACATTTTACAAAATTATTTCAAACATAACTCAATTTAAACACAAATTCGATTAGATGGTATTTTTTTTTTTAAATCGTTTAAAACCGATTATAAATCTTTTCAAAGAGTATTTTAATAAGACTATTTAAATATCTAAAGTTATATAGGTTGTATGGCGTAGGGGTAAAGATTGAAAAAAGTATTAAAATAAAAGCTTAAAAGACTGGAGTTTTTTAAGTCTAACGAATAAAAAAAAAATTAAATAAAAACAAAAATTTAATTTAATTTTTAATCCTCGGGGAAAATCACTGGATCGTGACAAAAGGATCACTCTGTAGATTTTATGTTCCGCGAATTCTTTTCGCTCTAAAATCAGGTACCTATCTAATAGATCGATTAAAGAGATATAATTCGAACGTAGACGATTATCCGTTTACTCGCATATATGCAAATAACCGTACCTACCTTGATAGTTTACCAATGGAAAATTAATAGCCGCGAACGTTCGTTAGGTATATTCGAAAACGCCAGTCGTTTTATAGGATTGCGTAATGTAGGTAGTGATAATTATTTTTTAAGTGCAGATTTCTGCAGTGCTGGTATACCGTTTTCAAAATAATATATTAATAATAGCGTATTTTAAAATTACGTCGAGTTATACGCGTACGTATATCACGATAATAAAATAGGTATGTCACTTTCAACAATTTATAGAAATCGAACGATGTGATTTTCTGCCGCGCGAGTATCCACAGTGCAGTAAATTATTCGTATCTTCTTTCACTTTATGAAAAAAAATACCTAGCGACCTATAACAATGAAAAGAAATCAGTTTTTAATTATTATTATAATGCATTTAGCTGACGGTATAAGACTTCCATCATCATCCCACGGGAGTTTTCGTATATTTCGCGTTTAATTAAATTCTTAATTATTTCAAAATCGTTTTAAGTGTATAGGTAGACAGGTATACGAGAAAAAAATTCATAGTGATCAGATACAAAGATATTATAAAGGTTAATTTTTTTCTTTAAATTGAATTCTCTTGTTTTATGTTATTATACCAACCGTATATACAGTTATTCCGAATTAAAAGTTATAATGCATAATATTATCCGCGATAATAGAACATAATAATAATGTAACAGCTTCAGGCTTTAGTACCGAAATAAAGACATAGAGAATATGTTACAAGTACTGTAAAATGATTTATAAGTTTAATTTATACATTTATACTTGTACGTTATTATAGTTATTGTTAAAAAAAAAAAAAAAATATAATTATTTCCGATTCATCTATCTGTAAAATAATATCATTGATATTGTTTGAAATATATTATTTATTTCCGTGCAATATTATATACTATGCGAATAATCTAAAATAATAATAATATCTATAATCGGATTATTGAAATAGTGTGTAATATTGAGAATAAAAAGTAATTAAGACAAATTATTGATAGTATATTTAATTATACTCGATTATGACAATATAAAGTATTAAAAAAATTCCGGACGTACTTTGCAGTTCGCGCCATGTGTAAGCCACTGTTCTAGGTGGGAAATTGGAATGGTGTAATGTGGGCTGTAGGGTGATCAAGTTTATACACTGTAGAGCAACGATAAAAATCGTTGAAATCAAAAACGATTCCAAACGGAGCCATTTAGTCGTTATGTTACTAATCGGAAAAGTGTTTTTCGAGGGAAAAAAAACACGTCTCAGTTTCTTATTCGCTGCACTCGGAGTCTGAAGTATGTTATATTGAAACAATTCATACCTGAACACTAGTATAACAATATAATAAGAAAAACTAACGCACTATGCATGTATAGTAATATTCGTCGGAGCGTTTTCTTTCTATTCCCGTAAATAGTATTTTTAACCGTTCAAATATATTTTCAAAACGTTTATTGTTATACAAAATTGTTACGAACAATAATGATTACTGTTTATTAAAATTTGTACAACTCATTTTAATATTAAACACACAGGCAGTCAATGTAACGAAATATACCGCTATATAATACAAATTTGTAAGTAGGTATAATAATATTTATGTTTTATATACCTACGCGTATAATTGAATAGCACAAGACTATAAATAATAGCGAACTATAGTACATCAAACATTGAAATTATCGTTGATTCAATAAAACTTAATGTTTACGACACCTGCGGTAATAGACCGAGAGAAAAAAAAAACAATTTTTTTACGCTAAACATTCTGTTTAAATGTATATAAATATGTTTGAATAGGTGTGTGCACAGCGTATAATAAAAATTATTTTTAATATATTATATTATTCGACGTTCCTTTTGATATGGCTGGTATTTTAAGATTTTGCGGGTTATGAGGTATTAAAATTCGAATATTTTGACATATTAAAGTTCATATTTGCATACAAGTAAAAATAAAGGTAAATTTTCAATTTGTACCGAGTTAAAATTTCGATTCACTGTTTTTTTTCTAGCCAATTTGCTTCAATGAAAAAAAATTAGAATTCCAATATGTAATAAGTATATCGTATAAAAAATAAATAAATAAAAAAAAAAGACAAAGGCGTGACCCTAAGTAACCGTTGAATATTTTAAATCGATTTACATCATAATACGAATTGCGCTTATAGTTTTTTTAGATTTTGAGCCCAGTATCCTCATTGTGTATTGGTTTTATTATGACGTGTGTTTTTCTGTTTGTAAACCACTTTTCTATAAGAAATATTGCTCGAATTTTAAAATGAGCCATCTTTTCTCAAAATATTCTTTTCTCTTCGTCGATATAGGGAGTTAGTTATCATTTTAAGGGGGTCATTTTTTGATTTTCCTTGTGTTTTTCTTAATAACTCACTAAAACCGGAAAACAAATAAGAAAACCTGATATGTTTACAAATTTCATTATTTTCGATTTCTTTTTTTTTTTTTTTGTGATTTGGTTTAACATTTTTGTAGAAACTTGCAATTTTCACATTATAATTGTTCAAAACATTTTGATGATTTTCAGTTATTTATAGGCATTTGACATTTAAATCGTGAAAATCACGACATTTCAAAAATGTTAAGCTGGACTTCGCTCAGAATAGTATTCCGTTAGCAACGATTTATCAGATACAAATTATACAATGCAAAGTAACCCAACGTTTCACCTAAAACGACAGTGGCACACCCATTAGCAGTATTAGCTCTTTTTTTTGTTTATAGGTTTTCCGGTATTGGACGAACGGAAATATCAATAAACATTTCCGTTCGTAATACTCGGATCGGATATTACATATTATAATATTGTATCCTGAAATTCTTATTGACACGTCGCTCGTCGCGGTTGTCGTGCAGTATTTTACAATGTGTACCTATACCTATTCCACGGATCAATGAATTGTAATAGGTATATTGATTTCCATTGGCGATTATCGATTTAAAAAACAAAAAAAAAACCATTATTACCGCGTGCGGAAACGTTTGCGGTTAATCCCATGAACCAGCCGTCGGGTGTCTTTTATAATATTATTATTATTTATCGATATCATGCGCTCGGGCCGTATCGACCACTCCGTATTCTATTTCTCATATTGTTCGCCCACGCCGCCGTGGCCCGCACTTATTTGCATTACACTAATACAGGGTGATACATATAATATAAGTTCGAGTACGTGTCACGAACTGACGAGATAATCAACAAAAGATTTCGTGTGTATAGGGATACAATTAATTTTAGTGGTTTTCAATTGTTGTATATAGATACAAGCACGTATATAGAAAACATAGTTTTTTAGGTAGTTTTTTAGGTTTCGAAAAAAGATTCATAGACAAAGAAATAAATACGATGTGTTTTTTTACTGTTTTTTGGTGTACATAGGTATAGAATATTATAAAATATTGATTTTCAAATAGCGACCCGTATTTTTAAACCCCGATTTGAAAAAATAATATATTTTTCAAGAAAAAAAATGTGCAGTTTATATCATAGCAGTTTTAAGCCGGGTTAGTTATTAGAGCAATAAATATTTAGTAGTATTCGTATAGACTTATAGGGATAGTAGAAATATTGTCTCTTTTCGATTTTTCAAATGCCAGTAGGGTCGGACTATAAACCCGAACCGCTAGTTCGGGATAGTGGACTGGTATATTTATAGTTATCGGGCCCTTTATTTTTGTCCATTTATGATTACACTTATCCGTAATGAAATAAAAAGCCAAAAAGACATGAAAACTTCAAACATCTATTTATAACTCATAAAACTGTAGTATATTTCGAAAATGGAACTATTTTTAATCTGCGCGCTATAAGTATTTGATGGAAATTTTAAGTTTCTACGATTATTTTTCACTGGATTATGCGTATAACAAAACATTTAAATTAAAACAACAGAAATCGCTATTGCGAAAATATTCTCGTTTTCTCACTCAGTCGTTTAGAAAACTAAATAAAATCGAAAAATACCTAAACGCACCTACTAGACAAAATGTTCACCCCTAAATAAATTACCCCTGATGCTGATGATTGGAGCATAATGTCTGGTAGAAAAACTGTTATACACATCATAATAAAATCAATATCATACCTCACTGTACTACACGGCACTGAAAACTGAAAAAGTTGAAATGGAATATGAAGTCTTTCGAGTTTTTTACTTTAACCTTTCCAATTTTTTTCCAAACCGCAAAATAGACCTTTTCGACCCAGTTCGACACTGCATGCCAGTTTGTAAACGTCGATATATGTAACGTGTTATGGAATAAAGGTGAATTATGAAAAATACTATGGTAAAATAGAATAGCAAAAACGATTTGATATAGGTTTCCGGTGACCGGGAATGTGCGTATAAGTACAAAAATCATAACATGTTTTCGTTCGTATAACATAGTGTAGCATTATTCTATCAATCGACGGTTCGTGTTAAAAAAATCACCCTGTATCGATCGTATTCTGCAGGCGGGTAAGGTAAGCGATAATAAGGTACGGGGATACATTATATTATAATAGCACGTGTTTTTGTCGGACTCCGGTTCCCCGGGCGCCTCGGCCGCCGCCTGGTACCGTACGAAGCCGACATTACCCGGAAGTGTCCGACAAGTCGCTGACCGCCGGCCGCGCCGTGTGTCGTGTGTTATGTAAAGTCATATGAAACCTGCCGAAAAAAAAAAAAATAAAATAAAAAATAGTAGGTAATAACAATAAAACGGTTCTGGATAATATCGGAACGCACGGGTATCTCGGTCTCCCCGCCCGTCCGCAGTCTGTCCGCTATACAATATTATAATATATCTATACTTCTGCGAATATAATAATAACGATAATGATAATATCATTACGATATTATAGAGTGGCGTGTGTGTGTGTGTGTGTGCGTGGGTGGACCTTGTAAGTTTTCACGCGCGCGCCACACGCCACACGCCGCCGAGAGAGTATTTTATCAACGAGCACACGACAACCGGCAGCGCCGCCGCCGCCGCGGCCGCAGTCACCGTTTTCCTTCCGTCGCGCGCGCGCGTCTCCTCGCCCCGAAGACCGCGACGTCCGACGACGAGTCTTTTTCACGTTGTTTTTTTTTTTTTTCATTTCTCACACATCGTTCGCGTGTCAACGGCGATTTAAAACGAAAATACGTCCCGTGGTCGGTGTCGTGTTCGCGTACCTACGCGTGAGCGCGGTTTTTTTTTCCCCCCGTCGTTTCCGATTCTGTGGGAAATACGGCGACGGCCCCACATCGTCGGCCGCCCATTATTATCGTCGTGCTACGTGAATCGCCTCGTCGTCCCACACTTGTAGTCCGCCGTTCGCGTGATATCCGCCTGCCACGGACATGCGATGCTTATTATTGACGGCGGACCGATCTCGCGGTTTGCCCGTCGCCTTTGCTCAAGTATGAAACCGTTTTTATAATATTATAATACGCACGTTTACGCCATTATTTTTGTAATCGCCATTAGGCGTCGTGTTCCGGCGATGCAAAGCGTTGAGCGACCCGGTTACCGTGGTTTTTAGCGAACAAACGTATGTTTGGCGGTATCATTTACACTGCAATCGTTTGATAACCGAATGGCCGGAATCGGCAAACAACTATACTGTACGGTAAACAAAACGTTTTGACGGCGTTTCAACCAAATTAGCAAACAATGCGACAAACTGTTCGCCGAAAACTTCATCGTCAAAACACGCGTATAGCCGTAAATTGGGGTATGCGATCAATGTAACTGCGCTGAACCTTTAAAATGCCCAGGGGGGGGGGTTGGCATTTTCTGTCGGTTCGACACTTGAAACATGTACACGAAAAGTACGGCGGGACAAAAACGATCGTCAGATATCGCGTTTTTGAGCATATAAAAGACGAAAATGCAGAGTTGACGAATTTTTCGCAGCTTATTATTAACAACTTTGCTTATTTAAAAGCTCAAAAAGTCAAACCTTTACCTGTATAATAATTATACTATTATATACAATACGACATAATGAAAAAAAAAAATTGTCTACAAATGATCGCATAATTCATAATTTATATTGTATGCGTGCGTCCGCCGTAGATTGGTCACGTCTGCGAAAGAGCTATATAGTGTGGGTTTTTAATTTATACTAGATTTACCTTATATGGGTACCCATTGACAAAATTCTTCCATAAAATTATCATTATCATTTCAATTTCATTATCACATTTCAATCTACTGATGCTTACCAACTACCATTTACTAGCTGCGGCACCGAATATTATTATTTATATTTAGTTTTTAAAATCTGCTGGAATAGCTACCTTTAATTGTTTTCACTGTTAATAGTTGATTGAAATCTAAAACAAAAACAGTTTTTTTTTTAAAAAAATATTGATAAAAACAAATGTTTACAAATAAATTTTGGGACCGAAGATTCCCGTGGTTTAAAAATTATTCTGAAAGACTCAATCTCTCCAAATTCCATCCAAATATCCGCCTATGACGTCCGCGGTGTTGCTTGTATGCCGTTTCAAAGATTCCAAACGTTATTTACTTATAATAAGATTAACAATGTTTTAATTAATATATATTTAGTATGTCAATTTTTTTTTTTTTTTTCAATATCGTTTAACATTATAACATATGCAGGTACCGTAACACCTACGTAATACGCGTTTAATTATATCGCGCGGCATAATAAAGGCGAAATAACTAATGTGATTAAAAAACGCATAAATATCGAACCGTCGATTCGAATATAACCTGCTACAAATATTATTATATACGGCTATAATTAATATTATGATACCTCGTTGTGCAGTTACTTGTCGAAAACTACAGCTTTACTGCTTTTTTTTCAAAAAATATTTTACGTTCAATAATAAACAACCTGTATATATTATAATCCAAGTCGATTCAAAATTTATGTCACAACTATTTTATCATGTAAATATTCAAAATAGAGAAAAGTATATAATTCAAAAGTTTTTCAATTTATAAACATCTAAAATAATTTTTTTTTTCTACTGCCTTTTTATGGTGGTTTTGGAGGTCGACTTTTGAAATTCAAATGAGAATCTGTATTCAAAATTCCATAAATAGATGGAACGTTAGTTAAAGAAAATGTTGGTGTTGACATTTTTGATTTCCGTTAATCGTTGAACGAGATATATTCTTTATTCACTTTTTAGTTTAGGCAGGGAAAGAGTAGTGGAACACTATTCAAACGCCGCGTACCGTGCCGTGCCACCGAACAAAAGAGCAATAGTCTGCACATTTTGTTATAATATAATATTCGTTTTATATTTCAACGGATTTTAAAGGCCATTTAGTTTGTTTTACGTGAACGTACGTTTTTTCTACACACTGCCCGTTGGCAAAAACCGACGAAAAACTTAACACGGACGACCCGAGTGAACGGTACGTTTTATGGGCGAGTTAAATAGGTTCTGTAGAACATAAACAAGATTTTCTATATTATGATTTAATAATATAGTCCATAATAGGTAACTAGGTACACTACATATTCCCTCGACTATAAATTTACTATTATCGCCAAACCCCTAAAATCCTGCTCTGTACCAACGAGAAATATACTATAATATGGCATGTTGTGCCATTATAATGTCATCGGTTCGTTCAAAACGCACAAAAACCGATCTAAATTTAACAAAAGTAACGGTTCTTGTGTCAAAAAGTAAAATTTTCATTGAATCGTGAGTGTTTTGGTGCTGAACCCCATTTAATCCGTACAAAAAAATTTGATTCTAGCCTACTCGCTTAGAACACTCAAACCACTGATTTCTACACTATAATTATTATAATGATAATAAATTGTTTTAATATTTTCCCTTGATTGTATACATTTTACATTAATCATACGAAAACTTCAAGTCGATAGTATTTACTTGTTTTTTTTTTTTTTTTTTAAAAAAAAATATATATTTACAAATTATTTGCCATTTTAGGTGATTTTTATTCTGAATACCTAATAAAAAGGTCGACTGGCGTATATTATAATATTCTCATTATTTGATCCGGAAGGTTTATTTTAATCGTTAACATTTTTCATGATAGAAATATAAATTTTTTTTTTCAACGGAAAATATTTCGATTATTATAGGTAGGTAATATTATTATATAATGTATGTATTATCCAACAATTTTGGCATTCTATAAAATAGGTATTTTTTAAAAAAAAAAATGTTTGCACTCAACGACTATCCAGTGTATAATATACACTATATATATTAGGTGCATGTAACTTAATAATAAGTCTTGGAGATAGATATTATATTATGCAAGATAATGGAATTAATTATGCTTTAACGGTAACACTACGGTTACATGGTTTATTATACTGTTACTGTATTACGAAAATTTGTTAATATTATTTTAGATTTAATAATATTTATGTTAAATCTTTGCGAAACGACCACCGCATAATGATGGGTACCTATCTCAGTAATATCCGTGTTACCCGCAGAGTAATTAATTCCGGTATCTCGATTCGCGATGTGCATAATACGTATTTAAACATTCTGTATATATTTATTGCAGAGCCGCTACAAACATACTATTAAATTATATTTTAGCTTATATTATTATAATTTATAATATATTCATGCGAATATTTTATCGGCTGACTTCTATACATTAAATCAAATTATATAAGGTATAGGTACTACAAAAAAGAAATAAAGTAGGTATATATTAAATAGCAATTATATAAATATTTATTTAAGAATAATATTATAAATTCATGCACAATATATATATATTTTATATCTACTACGGATTTATACATCGTATTATTATTGAACTGGCTGCGAACTCGTATCACGGGAGCCCGCTGCAGGATAAGGTTTTAGAAGTATAATAAAGTATACAATAAAAAACGAAATTACCGTCGTAGATATTTTTTTTAATAAACTATTAAAAAATATAAACGCATATCTAGGAAATATTTTTTATTATTTTTTTTTTTTTTTTAAATATCAACAATTCGAGGGATTAATGCAATATAGTAAATAAACAACAAAGTATGCATAAATCAGCGAGAAATGTAGAAGAAAAATCCAGTAATAAATTATCTCTAGTTCTCTGCAATCATTTGAAACTGAAATGTATGTACAACAAAAAAAAAATCTAAGGAAATTCCAGAAATCACCCCTGATCGGAAAAAGATTTCTGGTAATGAATACATTGATTTTACAATAATCATTATTTTTTGAACAACTTTTCTTCTAGAAATTTTGCTCTGATTTTCAAGTGTAACACTTTTTTTAAAAAAAAAACATGACTGGAGTGGTGTTATAAGAATATTACCACCACTTTTAATTTTCATAGTGAATGAAGTATATTATTTTCAAACCGTAAATATTACGGCCTTTTAAAACATGTATAATCGAATTCCGTTCAGAATCATTTTTCGTTAGCAGTGATATACGTTGTGTGCGTATATACATTAAATTTCCCCTCTACCTTCCCAATTTCTTACCTAGAACAGTGGTCCACCCACGTGTGAAGTGTGTCCGTTTATTCTTATTTTTTTTGTTTCCGAGGTAATAACCAATGGGCAATTTCCTTTCGTTTAAAATACTTAAATGTTCTTTTAGTGTTATACTAAAAACGTTCAGTGCTTGAATAGTTTAATGTATTACACAGTATAAGCATTAAGCATAAAACATATTATGTTATAATATCGTCTAAATTAAATAACAATACATGTTTGTTTACACCATCCGCATCTCATCAAAGTAACTCAGAAACAAATTTTAAAAATTCAATTTTTATAAAATTTTTATAATTTTTAATAAAATCGATATTAAAGCGTGAACCACTTTAGGGGTTGAAGTTCGAGATAAAAAGTAAATTTTTGAAATTATTTAAACAATGTTAAAAACCCCATGAATCGGTACAAATATATAGGTTTTAAATTTATTTCTTAGTTACAGAATCTTGATTTTTCTTTGAAATGTATTAGATGTATTAAATGTAGTATAGGAAAAAAAAACTGCTACTTGATTGCACATAAGGTAGACGAAACACCGGACTATTATGTACGAATTGTATTTTTTTATGGGATTCGAGTAAACTAGGCAAAGGGTGGTTTATGTCGGGAATTTAAAATATCTAGGTATATTAGTAAATAGGTACTTTCAAAAACGATGCTAAAACTGCTAAAAATAAAAAATTACACGGTTTTAAAATAAAAATATTGTTACAAAATTATCGAAAATATAGGTACGTATAGTACTGTATAAGATATAATACTTTTGTTCGCGTAAATAAATATAATTTAAGTTTATAGTTACAGATTCGCAATTGTACGGTATATGTGAGTAACGAGTTTATTGTGAAATATACACATCCGAATATAGGAATAGGTATGAGTTATACACTATTAACGTAAAAGTATTGTAAATGGAATGCCATTCATTAAACAGAACACTCTTACAAATCTATAATTTATTATTCACTCGATTTCACGTTCTTCACAGTTTCATCAGGTGTACCTACTTGCCAATCTTAATGTAAAATACGAATTTTAAAATATTGCTTAACTTTTATGATCATAATATTATATTATATCGGGACTTAAAAAAATGCATTATATACATATATATATTTGAATTATCACGTTTAATTACATTGCATGATAATAATAATAAGAAAAACGACATCGTAAAATTCTGAGTGTTTTTTTTTCATATTTTCAATCGTAATAATAAGTAATAATATATGATTACCTATCCGTAATAATAACATTATAATATTATGGGAGACCTAACCTATATTATTATTAAAAATCAAATTATAAAAAACAGAGCAGCGTAATTTTTTTCTATCATGATGTAGTGTTTTCCCGGGATAATTTAGAGTATATTTGATTTCTGTTAATTTTCTTCAACCGTCATTATCAAATTGGTTAACGTTATTACTGTGATGACATTATTTTCAATTTTTTTTCCTAACTCTTTGTATATAAATACCTTATTAAATTAACCTTATTTGTCTTAACTTTTGATTTTCAAATGACCATCCTTCTATTTTGAGACAAATTTGAAAAATGAATATTAACTGGTCATACCAGTTTAAAATTCAAACCGGAGAAATAAAGGGGATGATAATAAATTGCATAACATAATCATTAACCTTTCAATCCTTTGGTATACATTTTAAACTGTTGTAACTATTATAAACCGATATTAATGTTATGCATAAGTGTTAAAAAAAAAATGTCTAGAAAAATATTATATGCTTTTTTTGTCAAATCTGCTAGTTTAAAAACAACTAAATATACTTCGTGCAACGGGTGTGCTACTGTTGTAGGTCAGGAAGGTAGAGAGGAAATTGAATGTACATATTTTGAAAGCCCGTAATATTTACTGTTTCAAAATAATACACTTCGTAAATTTTTTCATTTGTCCTGTGTTTTTTTCCCATTTATCACGAAAACCCCTGAGAAATAAAAAAAATTACTTGCTTATGGTACCATTCCACGGAAATTTCCTCCCAGAAAAGATGTTACACTTAAAAATCGAAGCAAAATTTCTAGTAAAAAAGTTGTTCACAAATAAAAAAAAAAAAAACCATTGTAAAACTAATACAAAAATGAGGGTTGTGATTTTAAAATCGAATGTTAACGCGTAAACTTGCGGAATAAAAAAAAAAACATTGAAAACCCGTTCAACGATTCTATAATTACTTAAAAAAAAAAAAATCTTCGTAGATAATTGCCGGATAATGGTGTAAAATGATCACCCTGTATAATATTTTTTTGTTCGTCTATACATACAGTACTACACAATCGAAATACTATTACGGAATTAATAGGTAGAATTATAAATGTAAGTATATATTAGAATATTGTTTACAACACTGCAAAAAATATATAGACATATATTGCCAAATAATTTCGCAAAAATTGTTCATGCTCTGTAAAATATTTAGCTAATTCTATACTGCAGAGGAAATATATATTAGATTTTGAAATGTTCATAGCGAGAGAATAAATTATGGTTTATACATTTTTTTTTTTTTTTTTTTTACTTTTACCATTGTATATTTGAAAATTAGTAACATTTTAACGTTTATATAACATTTTTTCTTTTCATAATCACAATTTTTTTTCCTAGTATTTAATGTAGTCATCTACATTATCGCAATTATTTTCGCATTTCTATAACCGTAGCAACATAAAAATTAACCATAAAAATGGTAGTATGTTAATATTTCAATCAAACAATCTTCACCGAATTGAATCGATGACTTCTAATATTTATTAACAAAGCGTTTTTATTTGTTCTACTATTCATACAAATTAAAGATACATATTGTTAATTCATAAACTATTATTATCGTCGTCATATTTAATTCGAAAATCGGAGATATATAGCTGCTGTATGAGTAATACGTTTTTTAAACAATGTTATCTGAAAATATTTTCAGTATCCCATTATTCATCCTGATGTCGTATTCGGAAAATTACAGTATGACTCGTTAAAAATCATTTTATAATATTATATTAAGTGATAGTTTATCATAATGATAATATTATATCAATCGAATAATATTAAATATCCGATGGCGATGATGCGATTTTATATGCGATTCTTCACAAAAATATATAACATAGGAATGTACAATATCATGGTAAAGTGATAAAATAATGATATCGTGTAGCGAACAACTTTTTATTAATGGTAAAGTCTGCAGCGGCGGTAATCTGAGTTGCGAACGTCATTTTTCACACGACCGACGAACCGTTTGTATTTCGCATGATTTATAATTAACATGCAATAGGATTTTTATTACCCCCCGCCCTCTAAAAAAAAAAAAAAAACGACGAAAATCCGCCTTTTGAGCGTGCCGGTAACGCTTTCATCTCGTAAAATGCATTCCCTTATTTATAATACTACATGTTGATTCGCCATCGACATTTTGTTATTAATAGGTATTGTATATGGGTATATGTGTACGGTTATTTATAACGATCGCGCGTATGCGTAACGCATAATAATATTTAAAAATAAAAATATATTCTCGTTTTAATGGACGAAAAGCGACAGAAGACCGGTTTTTTTTTTTTTGAAAAAAATTCTATGCCGATTTATATTATAACATTATTGTAAAAATTACTATAGAAAAAAAAAAAAAAAACGAATTTTCGCGTTAATTTAATCATTCGCTTTGCTCCGCGCACTGCAACAGTGCAATTTATTATAATAATATTAACCGGCTTTATGAGCGCGCGAAACAAATGATCTGGTGTACATAAACTTCTTCGCGAACAACTCATATACATAGCAAAAAAAAAAAAAAAAAGAAGAAGAAAAAGGAGCTCTTTGAAATTGTTAACTACCTATATACTAAGCTGTACAGCAATTGTAATTAATTATTCTGTCTGTTGTAAGTTGTCGTTATACTATATTATTATCTCAAACACACATGACCATTACGAAAGACTACATCGCATCACACGCCATTCGAGTTTACGAATTTTTTTTATTTATTTATTTTTTAATGTTTAATTCTTATTGTACAGTGAAAGTGGTTATGTGCGAAAATTAAATGCACGCCGCAATGTATTAGCCGTTACCTATACTTAATGCATCTGCGCATCGGACAATGAGTGGCGCGCGCGTAATCATCAAATTAAAACGAATAATTTTCATTTTTTAAATATCTACACTTACACATGTCTTTTGATGTAAAACACATGTCTCGTAGAGTTTTTTGTTTCGCTTTTTGACATCTGCGGCTCCGAATATTATTAGATAAAAATGGGCTTCAATGAGACTTAAAATGTTCCACAGTTAAAGTATAATTGTAACTCCTTCCCAAACAAATTTGAGATTTTTATGAATTTTACGTCATGCGCGTATTATGTAATTTATTGTAATTAAAATACATTTCTCCATAATTTTAAATACGTGCAGTAAGTCGTGCACTTCGCCTAAATAATAATTTACTATCACCTGCAAAACCTGTTCGGAAATTCGTTTGAAATTCATAGCCCCCCTTCCCGAAAATGAATCCTATTTACACCACAGGTAGGGAGAAGTTTTCGTTTATGGATAAAATTGCGAAAATTTAAAAACCATTTAAGCTATATATTTAATATGTAAATACGATAACACGTTTCGGTGAACCAATTTTATTTTATTTTACATTAATATGATTCTGTCAATTCTGCCCTTTTTTTTTTTTTTATAGAAGTTTGGAAGATATTCTTTAGTCAATTATATAAAACTTATATGTTTTAAAGTTTTTTTTCATTTTAATTATAATTTGAAATTTATTCAAAAATTATTTTATTGTACATCATGTGAATATAAAATATCGAATGTCTAATAATACAATTCACTGACAAGCGTTATCAAAAATGAAAAAAAATAATTGTTTTTGCCGTTCCCGTAGGAAATTTATTTTTGCTCACATTTTAAGGAGGGTTATATATTGTACACATATTATATAAGGCTAGGGAAGTAAATTCGCCCACAGACTATTTAAATTTGTCTTTATTCACATCCAAGCAATTTTATTATGTATAAGTTTAAGTCTTTATTTGTAATTTATTGAGCGGAAATTTCAAGATATCTGTTGTATTTAAAAAACGAATTATTTTGAATATGTTTAACAAGTAGCCGGTATTTGTAATTATATTCAAATAAATTTAAAAGGAAGTATTAGAATACGTATTTAAATAAGTATTCAAAAAGGCATTCTGGATAATTCAGAAAAGTATTTTTAAAAAGACTGCGTCCTAAAAATAGTGAACAGGCGTCTGCCTTTAAAAGGCATAATATTTTGTTTAGTGTAAACATAAAAAAAAAAATGTTTATAGTGTGTGGACCGGGGAAAAATACGTTTTACGCGACACGCGACCGTCTTCTGACTATAATACGCGAATAATAAATCCGAATTTGCCTATAATACATACATTGTCGTACACCTAAATAATATAAATATTTTAAATATTTGAAAAATGCAAAAATAATAATAATCGGAGTAGCGAACAATGAGGTGTGGATAGAAAAAAAAAAAAACCGTAAACGTATCGCGTGCACGCAGAGGACACTCTATTTGCACACAAAAACCGCGTATACGTATTAATTTCGGTGCGCGCAGGCGGGCACGTGATTGTGATGGACGACAGCGAACCTGTCCCCGGGACAAGACACTGAAGGATTGTCGTCGCCGCGTGTATACAGGGTGATTTTTTCTTTTTTTTTGTAAATTTAACCACGAACCAACGATTATTGACTATATAGTGATGTAGACTCTAAAGCGAAATCGGGCTAGAGGAGCTTTATAGGGAGTGAATTATTGTGGTTTTTTTGTTTTTCAGGACTTTAAAAATCTACAAATTTCCTTTGTATATTTACATATAATTCAAGTTTGTCTTAATCAATTATTTTATTTAATCACGTATTAAATGTCTCTCCGTAAATACTGAAACAACACTGAATTATATCTACATGAACACGGATATGAAATGCATTATTACGCTTCCCTATCCCTCGGGTCAACAATTGTAAGCTGTTATTACTCGCATAACTCATAGACGGTATAATTAAATCCGATACGACGCCGTAACGAAAGTTTTCCAATCATATTATCTTATTTCAAACACGAGTCTAAAAACGGTTTGCGCTCAATGGATTTACGGACACAAACATTTTCGATCTGATAACTGAAAACAAAAAATTCAAATCGCTGGTTCGTGCAGGCCATTTCAATCGCCCTGTATAATATCATTCATATACACTAAACATGTGCGTTCACCCGGGGCCACCGGATCGTCGCCGTCGTCGTCAACGCGTATAAAGAAAGGACGCTAAAAAATATAATAATAATAATAATAATAATAACACACAATATCGGACGACGGCGAGACCGGTCATCCAGAATCAATAATAGGATCAAAATTTGTTTTTTTGTTTTTTTTTTTTTTTTCTTTTGAGTCAAAAAGGTGACGACGAGGAAAAAGCGACCCGAGTGAAATATTATATTATAGGTTTATCATCATTGTTTGAAAAGAAATCGGATAGAGTGCGTGTCAAATTCTTCATGGCCGAACATCATCGCTATAATATAATAATATTATTATTTTAAATTCATTTCTCTACCCGCAAGAGAATTATTATTATTATTATTATCTAATAATGTGTATTATTATCTATATTACTATTACCTATTATTATTTTCATTTATACGCTCGTCTGGGCGCAATGACGGCGACGGATGGCGTCTCGACCGAATACCTTGGCCGCGTCAGCAGCAGAACTCTCGCGCATTCGAAATTATTGTTACTTCACAGTTCTGTAATATTATTCTTATAATATACAGCCGGGTAGGTACATCGAAATTAGCGGCGTGGTTTTCTTCACGTGTTTTCGTTTTTGGCGTTAATAATTATTATTATAGCCATTATAATCGCATGCACGCAGCCGTTTTACAGTACGAACAGATTATAATATATTAAATCGCGTCAAAATATTCTGCAGATGACGTAATGAAAATACTGTCTATAAACATAGAAAAAAAACAATATTAAAAAGACATACTAATGATGGGTGTGCCACTGTCACTGTGTGAGAGGAGTTGGTACAGAGTAATTTAATTTATACGACAATTTACGCGACGATAAACCATTGCTAACGAAAAAGCGATTATTATAGCAAATTGTTATCTATTAGTTGTATTTTTTTTTACCGTTTAGACAGTTTTTCCTACTTTTAGAAAACTACGAGGAACATTCAAAAAATCGACTTCCTCGAAATCAAAAATTCTAAAAGAAAGTTCCGGTAACATTTTTGATTGAATCGAGACTTCCTGTAGAAAAGTTATAGAAATAAGAATCTAGGACAAAATTCCGTAAAAAAATCTTCAATATTTTCGAAAATAATAATTTAGTTTTTTTTAGTTTTTTACCAAAAAATAAAAATAAAATTCAAATATACATATTTATAGACCTTGTCCCTAGGAGTGATATGCATAAAAAAAAAAAAAAACAGTAGATAGTTACATCCGCTTTATTTGTTTGTTTAAGATTTGGAGTTTGGCGAGAGATCTATTGGTTTTTCTTATGTTTTGTGTTTTTTAATTGTTATTATTATTTATTTATTTTTTTTTTTTTTTTTTGTGGGATTTCAACCGGGCGAGATTTTGTCCCGACACTATAATAAATAAAAACACATAGGTAGTAAAATCATGTATGTATATTTCTCATTTCGTTCAGAATATAATAACTGATTTTCAAATTCGTGGGATTTCTAACGTATACCTATCGTCATATTGTTCATTAAACCATTTTCCCCAACAAAATATTAGTCATTTTGTAATTATTATTATTATACGTGTTATACATATGGGAGTTACGCGATAATTCAAGCATACAAGTTGGCGGTTGCGAGGAGAAATACTATTACATACATTTTTTTTTTTCGTTTATTAAATCCTTAAGTTTGCGTATGTTATTATACGAATGGTCGATGACCTAGAGCAGAAGTAATTGTTAGTTGTACTAGCTATACTAGCTTATATACGGGACATAATAATATATATTATGGTAATAATAAAGTCAATTTTTAGATTTTACGTCATTTTACTTACCGTCTCTAAAATATATGTTTAAATAATATAATATAGGTGCCTACATTTAAAGTGATTATTATTTATTCCGAACATTTTAGATTCATAGCGCAGCGATGAATGTATTGGTTTTACTAGGTATGGTGTGTGTGTGTGTTTTTTTTATTATTTATTGGGTCTATAAACTACTCAAATGGCTCATTACAGCAACAATCTGCGCAATAAAAAAAAAAAAACAAGCGAGTTTTCTTTGTAGGTAGAGATTTGGATCTAGTTAGCGTATTGATGTGGTCATTTTATAAGCGTTTTAAAATTTTTAAAAATTTTGACGAAAATCGTAAACTTACATAACCATTTTCCCACCTAAAACAGTGGCGTACACGTCTGTAGTATTAGCTCTTTTTTTATTTTTTCAAGAAAATGTATATACTATAAAAAACAATTCCAAGAACGTATTATAGAGCATAATACGTATATAATGACATTTATTTTGTGAAATCTATACCTACAGAATATATTATTATTGTCGTATAAAATATTATGTCGAATCGAGTAAGCCGAGACACGTCGTATCTACCTGTACATAAAATTGAAATATATCGATTTCATTATAACCGCGTATCTCTAGATAGGTATAAGTATCTGTAATAATAATTTACATATAGTAAATTGAGTATTTTTTCGCATCTCGAATACCCGAAGAGTATATAAACCTATCTGTGTATTAGTTTTCGGTATTCGTTCACATTTCAACGAACAGCATCCAAAATACCTGCGCCAAATGATATTATTCCTAATACGTCGCCGTGAAATCGCGCAGAGTCCTCGACGTAGTTTTATTCAATTCCTTTTCCGCGGCAATATTATTATTAAGTATGGCATATTATATTGCCTTTGTTCATTCGTAAATGCGTATGCTGATGATTCAATAGTAAAAACTCAATCGACAAAACGTTATCGCGATAATAAAACTATGACGTTATGAGTATACAGTATTTATCTAATTCATATTTATTACCGAAATACGATTGTCGAAATCACATTAAAATATATCATTCACTATAAATACAAATGAATAAAATAATAATAATATATATATTATTTCGTCTTTCGATTGAAATATTATGATATTACGTGTTGCACAGGCATCGTGTATTATTTTTTATATCTATAAAACAAATCATCACATCATCGAAATTTCTTATTTCCGATGTTATGTAACCGCTTTGAATAGACCGCCTATACAAAAAAAAAAAAAGGAAATAATGTTATCTCTCGTAAACACGCATATTCATGTTTCATTCTATGTCCGTATTATAATTAACAATATTAGTGTAATTTCTTGATAATTATTATTATCAGATATTATCATTTGTAACTGTTTAAACGTTATTATCATTAATTGTATACAAATACCGTTTTTCAGCTGCAGGTTATAAATAAAAAGAGCAAATAAATCGTTCGCACATATTGTATTAGTACAATATGTAACAATAATTAATGAACTCTCGAACGATCGCGTTATATTTAACGGATAATCATGTTTTTTTTTTTTTTTCGTTTCTTTACTATATTGTTATAGCATACGTGTCAAACATAATACGTTTTATAATATTATGTATATTTGTACATGTACACTAATATATATATTATTTGTGCATATTAAATTATATTATAAGTTGTAACGAGTGGAATTGTAGGTAGTTTGAAGTTGAAATGTCAAGAGCGACATAAATGGGTCAAACAGATGAGAGTATAAGTAGGTACACGACCCTTCCGGTAAACTCCTGCGCGTAACTCGATATACGTAACGATTGAAGCCGTACATCTAATATATTATTACGAAAAATGAGGAACGGTTACCCTAACCTACATTTCCATTGTGGACACATTGTTATAACTAGGGACCGAATTTATGTGCACAAAAAATCTTCAAAATATGCTTCTAAAAATACTGTAATATGCTATAAAATATGTACTTGAATATGCACTTAAAATTATTTAATCTACAAATATGCATTTAATAGGTAAAAACGTTGAAATATGCAAAATATACAAAATAAAATTAGTGTTATTTTAATAAGAATTATCTAAATCTGGGACAATACTCATCAGATTTCAAAAAGCTAATTCCAATACATAAATGCATTTGCATATAAATCCGGTCCCTAGTTATAACATTTTCAAAATATGAAACGAGAAAATAGTAAACTGCTACAAAACTATTATAGCAAGGCCGGGCAAGTTAACTGATTTTTAACTCGATAAGTTAAGTTACTTTTATTTTTATTAATCTTGTATAAGTTACAAGTTAATTTAAAAAAAGGAACTTAACTTGGTTAAAAATGAATTACTTTTTTCGTATAAAACTAATAATTATACATTTTATTAATGCTTAATAAATAATATAGGTATTTATTTATGTTCAACGATAAAATCTAACAGTTGAAATAGAATATTATGGCTTAGAAATCAATGAGTAGTTTAATAATAATCCACCTACCGACTGTGTTGCTAAATAGTTTATTTATTTATAGTGTTATACCTGTAAATCTAATTTCTTTGAATGGATACAAATAAATAATGCATAGTGAATATACAAACGTGTATACTGTCATGAAAAATTGTATGAAATGTGTAATTTCTTATTATAAGTATCGTGTGAAGGGGATTTCGGTACAGTATCCCCATGAGTCTATAATTTCAGTGCCCCCAAAGTTTGTGGTCATGTTACGCTTATAACGACTATACCTATATTTTGTGATTAGGCATAATATAATATTATAAATTATTATTTATTACTTATAATGTCTTACTCGTTTTACATATTTTGTATGCATAAAATTGTACTTGAATAGGTACGTAATACGTTATTTTGAGACCTATAGATTAAGTGTATTTGATATTTTTGACAATTATTATTGTTTTATTTTAAAAATAATAAAAAGTAATTTGACAAAACAAACTGTCATTTTATTAAATGTATGGGTGAAATCTAAAGAATTTAACAAAAAAAAAATATGATGACTATAAAATAAATTAACTCGTTAAGTTAGAAGTTGCTTTTTTAAAAAAAAAAAATAAAAGTAACCTGTTATGTAATTAAATTAAAAATAACTTAATTTTAACTTTTCAACTCGTTAATGCCGCAGACTTGCATTATAATTGGTTAACTGATTATATACAAAAATAAAATATTAGCAATACTAAATAAATCGGTTTTTAAACTCTCAGAGTTATTATTATCTCGATTAGTGTAATACAGTTTAAAATTTGAGTAAATCGTCAACTAATACGAATATATTATTTTATTAAATAATTTATACGAGTTGGATTTCAGTGTTAATAATGTGAACGTGTTTCTCCCCCTATCTGCGAACAAATTTTCCTCTGACAATCTCGTCAACCTCAGGAGTGGTTAGTATAGTAACGTTTTGGGTCTGAATTTCGTCGCCGGCCGTTATTTTTTTGTATACGATAGTTTATGCCCCAAAAAATCTAATATTATACAAGTATATTATAGTCTCAATGACAATCAAATTATCATTCGCGTGTTATTATTATAATGATGCAGTCGGGAGAAATCGCTATGCGACAATAATAGTTGTCATCGTCATCGTTGTATCCATTGCACCTTAATATTATTTTATAATCTACTTCACAACTTCAAACATCCGCAAATAATATTGTACGGCGAACTGCGAGGATTTTCGTAAACAGAGTGTCTTACGGATATCTGACAAATGCAATAACAATGCAAATATTTACTAATGGTGAACTGTTAAGTTTTTACAATTTTTTGAAGTTAAATAAAATGACTAACAAAATTATTTCCAACCGATAAATGGTAAACAGAAATGATTGAAATTATTTTTTTTAAACTTAACGATAATTTATTTGTTTTTATCTCCACTATGAAAATTATATCAATCAAGTCGCCAAATTTCACATACAAAATAATTGTGTTAATGATTTTTGAAATCTTCAAAAAAAAAAAAAAATTATAGAAACTGAACGATCGTTAAGTTTCTATAATTTCTTAATTTTTTTATAATCCATCGTCATTAATAGATATTTGTAACACCAGAGGTTTGTTTCAAAATATATTTACAAAATGGTCATCTTGGATTTTGTACAAATAATTTTTTTTTTTCTTTTCGTTTGAAAATTACATAAAATATAATTAATACAACGCGAGGATTTTGTAATTATAACAAGGAATAAAAACTTAGAAATATCGAACACGACAAAATGTATTGCTGTATCTCCGTGGGGCACCCTGTATACTATACAGTGTATAGCATCAGCGTTATGATAATATTATTATTTAATTATCGCGCGGATATACGTGCAATCCGCATTGGTATAATTGCGGTCAAAATAATTATAAACGTGTTAATATTATGATAGAATGTTAATCAATTTATAACGACTTATTGCAAAATGGGTTTCTTTTTTTTTTTCTTTTTTTTTTCTAGACATAACGCCACCGCCGACGACGATTTTCTTCGATAACAATCGCATAAACTTTGTGTTACAACTTTCTAAAATTATGTACGGCAATCGAATAAAACTTACAATTCTGCAATACGTAATTCTCGCAATAATAATGTATACGATTCCCGTTTTAATTTCAACGAGTCGTGGACAATTATATCATTATTACAGCGATTCAAATAGGAACCGACGACGACGCCACTACGCGACTTAATGGATCCACCGTACCCGGCACAACCCAATAGCCCACCCATCGTAATTGTATGGTACGACGTTACGCGGAACGCACTTAAGGAAACCGAATTCGATATCGAATTCGATTTCCGTATAAATAACTGTTATGCAACGAGTTTCGGAAATTCTGAGCCTAGGGAAAAATCTATAATAATTGTAACGCAGTAAAACTAATATTTGTTGGTTTTTTCTCCATTTCGGTTTAGTAAAAACGCTCCGATTTTTTTATAGGTTTATACCGTTCCTTATAAAAAATTACGGATTTTTCGTTTAACGGTACTTTTTTTTTTTTTTTTTTTTTAAAAAAAACGATTATCAAAATTCCTCGTACTTTATCCGAAAATTGTACCTATTTGGTTTTCGAGACCGTTTCTGATTGTAAAATTTTGTTTGTACAGACAGGAAATACACAAACCATAGTGATACGTTCCTCGCTCAGTGTTTAAAATACATCCGTTTTTTTTCTTATACCCGCCCGCCCGACTAAATTTTAATGGCTCTACCGATTTGAACATGTACCATAACTCGGCCGAGTATCATATCAAGTCATATGCGTAAACCATGATGGAATCCGTTTCCGAAACTATTATCGTTTTCAGTTTATTGATAGTGTTAGTTCCGGCTGCTCGACGAGACGCTCGCTCGTCCGGGACATGTCCGCGGTTTGTTTTCTCGAGAGTTTTCGTATTATTGCGAGTATTGTCGTACAGTTGTACGGTTTCGTTTCTCGTCAACGAGCCGCACGTCATTCCGTACAATTTCGTAACACGACCGTCCCTAAAACCGAAAAAAAACGAGTGTGACGTTGTTGTTTTGGGACGGCGGCGGTGTTTGCGTATAGGTAATAACTAATAATAATATTATCGGTGGCGGCGAAATGGGCGTGCGGCCGGAGCGGTTTACATAACGAGAAACGCGTTACGCCGATGAAAACTTCTACGCGCGCGCGCACACCCGGTATACCCACTACCTCGGGGGCAAATCATTCATAAACACATTCCGACTGCATAGTTTTTATGTGTGTGTGTGTGTGTATGTGGAATATTCAAATAGCACACGCCGGCAATCGTTAAAAAGAATATAATCTATTGCGGCGGCGGTGACGACGGTGGAAAGGACGAAGTGTTGAAAAAAAAAAAATAGATATATTTATATACACGCATAACATACAAACGCCCGATAGAAATGCGAAGTATTGTACCGACTGCGGAGTCAATTAACTGCCTTCGCCACTGTGTGTGCGCGCGCGCGCGTGTGTGTGTGTGTGTGTGTGTGTTAACTTATTGCCGTTCGAAACAATTTGAAGAGCAAAAGAAAAAAAAAAAATCACCTACATAAATCAACTGCGATCGTACGGGACCGTAATAAGAATAAAATAATATATCGAATCGAAACCGCGAAAACTTGTTTTGTATAATATGGAAGCTGACGAACGGAGATAGAGAAAAAAAAAATGTTTTGGCACGACAACACGATGTTTTCGGGCCGCGTATAATAGAGAGGAGAGGAAACGGGGAGATGATGGAGAGAGAACGAGAGATGTGATGCGATCGAAATAATATTCGTCCGGTTTTCGTAACGTTTTCGCGAGGCGATACGTCAGTCAATAATAATAAGCGAGAATATTGGCACGTGTGTATTCTTGTGTACCCGAGTACAAGTCGTTCACGAATCGTTTTTTTTGGGGGGGGCACGTGAATGTCGACGATCGTGAAAATTGCATTAAGGCCACCTCCGTCGTCGTGAACCTATTTTACACCTACTGCATTAGTTTCGCGTGCAGTCGTGTTCGATGCACAGCAGCATGTGTCATCCGAGGTCTTCATCGGACATAGAATAATGAAAAAATTATCCTATATTATATACATTAATGTATACCGGAAACAGGTAAAACGACTATATTTCGCTGGTGAATCTCGTCCGGACACTCTCGAGCAACGGAAAAATCCCAATCGATACTGAAGTGTATACGAGTTCAATCGGTCAAAATTTCGTATTTAAAATTTATTTAACGGATCCGGATTATTCCGACGAATCCGGATCGGTCGAGATTATACGGATTGTTACCATTTGTTTTTCAAGCCGAATTTCGATTCGATCCGGATCAAGCGTTCGACACTATAATCATTGCTATGAACGTCTGACGAATATATTATTGTTGTTAGTCTCGTGACGCGTGTGCAGTGTGCAAAATCTCCGAGAAAACAGGAAAACGAATCGAAATCCGCGGTTGTTCGAACGGAAAAACGGAAACGCCAAATAATACGGTTTTTTTTCTCCGCTCTCGTCTCGGTCATTCCGTCCGTGGCGCATTTGACTCCCGCGTTGACGAGCGCCGCCGCAGTGCGTTATTGTAACGAAAACGGCGCGCAGTAGTTACAATAAATCGCCGCGCGTTCCGCGACTGTCGCGTTGTAAAACCGGAAGTCGCGAAAACTTTGTACGATCGTTTATGCGTACGCGGGTCCGTCGTACAAATATATTAAATATAAATCACGAAAACGAGGAACTGATCGTGGCGGATTGCGGCGATGGGTCGCGGAGGAAAATCGTTTACGTCGGCGTCACTTTACGGCACGGTTGAACGCGTGTACGCGTTCGCCGCGAAAACCTCGCGTCGCCGTAAGGGTCCGAAGACATTATCATCGCGGCGAACAAGGTGTACGTACACGAAAAGTGGCAGCGACACGCGTTCTCGCGGCGCGACGATTCCGATTTACAGCGATTACCATTATTATCATGTGGGCACCTCTACGCGTTAACACGGCGGCGTACAACGCGTACCGGGTGCACGGTCACGTTTTAATCGCGGCCCCGGTACAACGTCGTGTGGACATAATGATTGGGTCGCGAAAAGTGCACCCGAATGAAATGCCCATCTCGGAAACGGGCGGCGACCCCTGTCGCGGGCGCACGCGCTGTAAATACCACGGTATCTCATCACCGATGGTTATTGATAACGACGACTGGTTCTCGGGCACGGTACCGCCCGCCGCGGCGACCTTCGCCGCGGGAACAATGCGCTCGCGTTCTGCGTTACAATACCACTACGCGCGGATTCCTTTATAGGAAATACGTTAAAATGCCCCTGTTCGCCGCACACGTATGTAGAGGCACTTGGCTTTGCTACGCGTTTTAATAGCGATTCAATTGTATTACGTTACGGGACATCGATGGTAATTAACGATCTCGTTCTCTCCGCCGTTTACTGTCGTCGGCTAATCTCTTCGATTCGCTGTAGTCTTGTAAGGTCACGCATCAGAAATCATCTTTTTGATACGGCGATGTTCTCGGTCGTGCTCGGTCCCTTTTGCCGTTTATCCTCGCTTCCATTTCACCGTGTAAAAGCGCGCCTGCGTGTTCCTGAACTCTTCCGTCTCCCGACTTAAATCGCACTGAAAACGTGTCTAGTTTCATTTGTTTAGCTATTAGTGTGTGTCGTTCTCCGTTCTGTCGTACTGACTCGCGTCACTCGCTTCTCCGACGCCACACCTCGGAAGAAAGATTTTCTCCCGATTCGTTCAACACTCCAGTTTCACAACCGTGATAATATTATTTAGCGCCACATTTTTTATGGACATAATTTACTTTAACCGAACACTTTTTCACCCCTATAACACACAAAGTTATTAGAACACGGCGAGTTCAAATATAAATTGTAACATTGTATTTATCCGTCGACCCACTCATATTATAACAATTATGTACACATTTTCGCTTTGAAGGAAATGTTTGTTTCGAAGAATTGGGATTTTGTCGGTGGCGACGCCCTTTTGGTTTGCACAACGGTGTACCGTTAATGATACCGATACAATTTTATTACGCCCGCCTTTTACGACGAAATCATAACCAATTATTTTGAACTACCCCGCAATCCAATCAATATGTATATTTTACATTGTACAGGTTATTGGGTGGGTACACCGCGCGGAAATCCATGCGATTGGCGCCGTGCGGTGCAGTATTTCAGGTATGAACCGTCATCCCGCGTGTGGAATATAATTAGTTTCGAAAAGAAATTTCGATTTTCGCAACGCGACCTATTCTAATAAAAAAAACCGTTACCCACCGTCGCTGCAGCGCGTGTGTAACGAATAAAAACCGATAAAAATAAACCGGATTTAATTTTCAAAATTTTTTTTTTTCGTCTTATACATATAGGTAGTGTCCCGGAATAACTCAAATATTAATATTATAATATTAAGTGGATGTTAATATATTATATGTATAAATACTCAATATAATTTTTTTTTTTTTACGGGCTAGTTATTTCCTCGACGACTGCAACAGTGCAGATCGTAATCGTGAGAATCGTCGTACTATTATTTTGTCGATCATTTACGAGTGTTTTATATCTACTTGCAAAACGTATCGCGTACCGTAATTTATCATAAATAACGCGTGTAGGTACGTTATAAAAAATAGCGATTAATCAAAACGTCAGTGTAATATTCTTTGTCCGCGGTGCGCATCGGTCGATGTGTCTGCGCCGGTGCCGACTTCGCGAGTATCGTACTGAAAGACGTGGTGTGTATACCGTAGTTTGACGACGAATTTTTCGAATATACATTATGACGAAGGCGTATTTACGGGAAGGTGGAGATACGAGGGATAAATTTCCCACAAAGATCTTTTTATATTTTATATATTTATTTTTTTTTTTTTTTATGATGCCAATTAGAAGGTATATGCATTTTAATAGGTTACTAATTTTTTTTTTTTATTTTTACTTTTGAAAGATAAAACTATCTAAATAATAGGTATAGTACGAAAGAAGTATAATGTAATTATTTATACAAACTTTAAATCATTTAAAAATACATGTATTTTGTGGTTATAAATAAACCAGACTATAAAATGTGGGTTGGATTTCCTGTCTTATCCAACAAAGAATTCAAGTTAGCAATAACAGGTGGAATCAATGATTTGTGTTTGAAAAAATAATAAAACTCGAATTTATATTACACGAATTTATCAAACAAAGTAAAATTGAATGTATTATTATAAGATGCATTACAGAAAAAATTTGAGCCTCTCCAAAAAAAAAAAATGCATATTCCATGACCCCCTCCAGAAAATCCTATAATATACGCCTCTTCGCATTAACGAATCTGCGTAGGTCTATATGTTACCGTGTCTGTGTAGACGATCGAGGAAAGATCGACACAAACCAGTACGGCACTGACCGCGAGAGGCTGGGTGTGGGGGAGAAGCGTATATATACGATACTGGTCCGGGAGGGTTGCGAGGATATATTTTTATAGTGCGATGTATGTGTAAGAACGGTAATGCCATGATTTTTTTTTTTTTTTTTTCCATTAGACCAGTCACGAGCCAGATGTTGATCACCTGCCTCCGGTTTGGTAGCTACAATATATATACATGCATATATATGTTTCAAAATCCAACGCGCTTGTAATATTATAATAATATGTATAACTGCAGCGCCGTTGCATCGGCCACGGTACCATCACCACACCGTTATTGCGCGCGTAAATTACAATAATGTTAACAGCCGAGACATTGGGGGAGGGTATAATGTTAAAATTAACAGTTTGGCATGCAGACTCGAAAAGAAAAACAACAGAGTATTTTATAATAAACTAAACACGTTTAAATTTTTCACCGCACTATACTTCAAACGTCTATAAATAGTATACCTATATAAATACAATGACGCCATATTTTTGTACGCCCCCGATTCGTCGTCACATCCCGAGACCCGTACAAAAGTCTTTTCTTCCCCATATATTTACGGGCTGATATTTTATATTATAGTAGTGATGGGAACCTCGTAAACTCGGAGGAACAAAGACGCATGTCGAATCACCCTCTTCTGTAATATAACGTCGGCATGACTATACGAGGTTATTCGAGTGGAAATGTCTATTTCTTTTATCGAAATTTCAGTTACAGGGGTACAGGTGTACAAAATGTGTAAACGGCTGTGTACACGAGTTTATAACATACCAACGGGAACAGTGGGGTTCAATATATATATATAGTACCTCAGTGCCGAATACTGGTTCAAATTTTTTACACAGATTTTTAACTTCACAAAGGTCAATCGATGACACTCTCGCCTCGAAATTAAAATAATATATTATATTTCCGCGATTCACAAATTGCACTTTGACCTCCCTGTTAATGAAAATCACACGTGTATACACTACTTATACTTTAAATAGTAAAAAGTACTTTAAAGTATACTTTAAATAATATCTGATCATATGCAGAGTAATCAACATAACATAACAAGACACTCATTATCTCGGAAAGTATTAACTTTTTTCAATATTTGTTCTTTAGACCATTGAAGAGACGAACAGCTCTAAAATGTTTCGTGTACCTTATTTTTCGTCACCTTTATTTTAGGGGATGAAACTACTACCCGTTTTTAATTTTCAAATAGCAAATTACAAGTTCACGGAGAATACGGAAATAACCGAATACATTTGTCGGCCAAATAGTTTTTTGACCGTCAAAATTACCGAATAAACTGAATAAACGAATAGTTTTTCCACTATCGAATAGTTTTCGACAATCAAATAGTTTGAATACTTTTTGACTATTGGACAATTTTTTTTACTACAGAAATTTACCTAGTACAGATTAATTATCGAATAGTTCGGTAGTCAACAACTATCCAACATTTCGATAGTGGCTATACTCGATAATGCCCATCACTAGCTGTTAATTTTATATTATCGACCTATCATCAAAGTTAGATGTATAGAAACATTGTCTATATGTATTATAATATTCTTATCTAATAATAAGTACCTTGATAACAGGCCAATTCACTCTAGTATAAAAACTAATAGCATAAAATCGGTTCTATTGTACGAAAATTTAATATTATTTTGCAACTTTCAACATTAGCCATACCATATATTATATATATTAACCATTATTTATTTATTTTTTGTCTCTCTCTCTCTCTCTCTATTTCTCTGTGGTAACTATAGCGTGTTGTTTTCCGAAGATTCGACTCGCAAACTCGGCGACGGCGACGACGGTCGAAACAACAACGATATTCCGGTCAAGGGGATTACGCAAAGTCCCTCGAAGCGATCTGCAGGTTTCTTCTTAGATACATACATATTATATACCTGTACAATAATATTACACTAGAATCTCGGACATGGTCGTCGTTTATAATAACACATAATGATAATATTAATAATCGTGTGCTGCAAAAGTATATACTCTTATAGGTACGTCATCAATAGGTAACCGGCTAATGCATAACACGCGTGATTTTGTAATGTTTTTTTTTTTTTTCTAATGTCTGCCGCGCCTATTTTTTTTTTTTTTACCATATTGTTATTATTTATCGTCGTTCGTTCTTTATAGTGATCACCCGTTTTATTAATCGGTTTTTGTTTTTTATCCGCAGGAACATGCGAATGTTTGAACAGCAACAGACGAATGTCGAAAAGAAAACCGGCAAGCCGTTGGTGACACCGGACATGGACGGTCGTTATTACCAAACGGTCACTGCCGTTCCGGCCATCGTTTTAGAAGAAAGTCCGAAATCGGCCGAAGTCAAAAGAAGTGCGTATAACTATAATGAAACACATGAATACACTACACTCAACATAAACATAAACAATACGCCGTATTTTTGTCAAATTTTCCCTGAAAATAGAGATTATTGCATTGTATTGTGCAATGTATCATGCTATGTATATACATTTATTTTTTCCGCTACTTTTGGACATTTCTAGCGGCTCCCTCTGGCCCCAAATTAGCACAGATTCCGGAATTAGTTATCTAAATTGAGATGAAATTTCAATATGAATTTAACCATACCGTTGCGGGCGGAGAGTGTTTTTTAGTTATGCACACCCCTAAAGACTATGGATAGCCAAATAAAATCCGGGAGATACAATTTTGTAAATTCATCACATGCAATTTCAACTTTCAATTTCCCCTATTTTTCAACGATCAAATTTCACTATTTTTTCGAAAGTAGTATAGTATTTTTAGTATAATATAATATAGTGTTGTAAATATTTGTATTGTTCGGTTATTTATGGTTTTCAAAAGTATATTTGTATTATACAAAACAGACAAGAGAAAATTTGATTCTAATGAGGGAGCTTTGCTGCTCATAAGTGTTTGAAAATTCTCTTTCATCAAAACACTAGACATATAAGAATAGGGTGTCCCACGAAAATATACGTATTGCAATAACTCTTGAGATAATAAAGATAATCAAATTCTTTTTTTTTTTTATGTTACTCGTATTACTATATTTACTCGCAAAAGGTATAAAGACTAAAAATATTGATATTTAAATTAATTTTTTAAGTTTTGGTGAAAAAACTAATAAGTTTACTTTTTTCTTGATTATTTTTGAAAAATTTGAAAATTTCTATTTTGTAGTGTTTATTTTTCTAAACATTTGACATACCAATTTTTTATTTCCATTAAATTCTTGATTCTTGAAAAATCGATAAGTAAATAGAGTCCACATAAAATGGCTATCTATACATTTTTCGAAAATGATAAAAAAGAGTTATTTTTTTAGATTTTTTTTATCAAAAAACAACAATTTAACTCAAATAAACATATTTGTAATCCTTATCCTTGCGAGTAATATAAAAACAAAAAAAAAAAACAGAATTTGATTATCTTTATTATCTCAGGAGATATTGCAATGGGTATATTCGTGCCTTATGAAACACCTTGTATGTATATATATATATATCAATATGAATAACGTTCGAATTTGTGCATTTTCACATCTCAATCATCATAATATAACATTGATATTTTTGACTCGTGAATGTAATATATTTGTTTAAAATGCGTTTCCTCACGAAGGCCGCAAATTACGATCGTTAAAAAGATAAAAAGCGACGAGATATTTTTTTTTAACCATAAATTACCTAAGTTTTAATAAACCACGAATTATCGAATACGTTTCTTTTTTTTTTTATTCGAATTTAATGTTATTTCAACATAGTAATATTATAATTTATTACACTTTTCCTCGCTACAATACCATTATAGGTACCCATGTATAGTGCCACTTATTGTTACATTTTCATTAGACGTATAAACAACACTTTAGGTACTCTCGGAATTTCGATTATTTTATGTTATCGATTTGTAGAACTCGATAGTGACGTATCCAAGAGGGAGAGGGCGGAGAGATCTTCATCACCTCTTTATGGCTGCGTTAAAATACAAACAGATATAATACAAATCAACTATGTATGCAAATGATTATACTGCTTAATTATATGAGTATCATTTCACCAGCCCGGGCATATGAACAAATCATGTATTTAACATCATAGTGATTTTTTGGTCCATTAGTCTCTAGTAATCCCTAAAGTATTAAATTCTATGTACTTTAAAATGCACGATGGTTCATTAAATATGCTCACCACATTTGTATGGTTAAATTTTGCATACACTAAAATTCTGATTTTTAGAATTTTTAAGCCTAGTAAAAGCTGATATTTTCGAATACTAAGATTTGTCACAGCATATAAGGAGTATTTTGTGGTGACATAAAATTTGATTTTTCAAATAAAAACCAACATTTAAAGTTCTATAAATAGACGGAGTATCAATTTAAATACATTTTGGTGCTGACATTTTTGATTTCTGTCAGCCCATTAACGAGATATTTCAATTTTAAGTTTAGATAGGGGATGAATAACAGAGCACTATAAAAACCCGGCTCGCCATTCCGTCACACAAATAATTCTTTTAGACCATTATCCTTATTTTTTTAATGTAGAATAATTCAGAAACTTTCCATTCAAATTTCAATTACAATACGTCAATATTTTCAGAAAAATTATCTGATTTATAATTTGCATTAAAACATGTCGATTCTCATATAAAACCTTTTACCGACAATTTAAAAAATTAGATACCTACTATGTGATCCATTTAAGTGAATGCATTCATTATCTCAGAAAGTATTAACTTTTTTCGACATTAGTTTTATAGAACATTTAAGAAACAAGCAGATTTACAATTTTATATTTATGTTATCTTTTGTCACTCTTATTTTTGTGGGTAAAACCACAACCTAATTTTGATTTTCAAATGGTAACTTATGTTTAAAAAACCCATAAATAGATGGAGTATAAGTTAAAATAACTTTTGGTGTTGAAAGTTTTGATTTCCGTCAACCCATTGACGAAATATTCTATTTTTAAGTTTTGATCGGAGGAGAGTAGTGGAGCATCATTTGTGTGGTGGCACGGCGTGCGGCGTGTTAAAAATACACCACTACTTTCCCCTGACCCAAACTTAAAACTAGAATATTTCTTCGACGGATATCAAAAGTTTCAACACCAAAATTTATTTTAACTTATTCACCATTTATTTATGGAATTTTTAATATAAGGTTACCATTTGAAAATCAAAAGTATAAATTCCAAAAAAGTTAATACTTTCCGAGATAATGAGCAGATCCACTTAAATGGATTGAATTATTGAGAAAGAGATCATTTGAACTACTGTATAGAACAAAGAAAAGAAGGCAAGATATATTGTATCCTATACAAGATATCTGATGAAAGGCTCAAGTGGAGATTTCTTATTGAACATTTTAGAAGTGAGAATTGAAGGAAAGAGGAACATAGAAAGACAACGGATAAAATTTAAAATTTCATCAAGGAATGGATATATATATATAAATATTAACACTTCTGAAGAATGTGATAGATTGGTGGACGATAGAGAAGAGTGGAGAAAAATTATTAGAAATGCCTGAGCAACCTTCGGCCTCGAAGAAATTAAAGACACCGAAGAAAAAGAAGATACCTATATTATATTATCGAATTTCATAAATATTATAATGTACGTATATTATTTTACTTATCGAGTAAAGCGGTCAATCTAATAATGTATGCGATATTTTCTCCGGTGTATAGGGTTAACGAGCCAATAATTTTTTTTTTTTTTTTTCAATAATTCGCTGTATATATTTGTAACAATGGCCGTGGTAAAACGTACGTACCTACAGAGGACGCCAAACACGTTTAGAATATTATAGATACATTGCACCGCACACACATTCACCGGTCAAAATATTATGGGCTTGGCAAGCTCCTCGCGCGGTTGACACACACGCGCGCGCGCGGATAAGAGCCGGTACGCGGCGCACCGGGACGACGACGACGATTTTGGCATAAACCTTTATAGGTTATTCTCTATAATAATAATAATAATAATAATAATATATAATAATCTTAATACGTTATAATATTATTGTGTCTATAAGTGCAGCATTTATATATCTGTGTATAAGTACTTTATTATTATTATAAATACACGTTCGCGGTTTATACCGGGGACACCCAGTATCGGTATATATGAATGGCCGAAAATTTAACGTTTTTTTTTTTTTTTTTTTCCATTATTATTCGATTTTACAGTTTAGTCCTTTATAATATTATTAATATATTATAATCGTTAAATATATCTTATATTACATTCGCATACCTATATTCGTGTATAAATCGGCTGTATTATACAATGTCACCTCTCGTAGCTGCATATATACATATCCTATACATATTCCGGTTTTGCGTGTAAATTTGTAATCGAAATAATATACACTTTAGCGTATTATTTTTTACACTGCATCGTATAGTAATAAGTAATATAGTACTGTAGTAGTAGCAGAGTGTGGGACGTGTGGGTAGAGATAGCGGCCGGTGTCTGTGTGTGAAAAGAAATGTAAATATAAACAAATAAAGAACAAACGATGGGTATTATTTTTTTTTTTCCCCGTAATTTTTTTGACGTGGTTTTCGTCGTATCTCACGAAAAGCAGCCGCGCGATGTCCGATTTGATATTATATGATATTATGTGCGCGTTTAAACACCATTAAGTGTGTGATGTTGTATATAGATCTCTGAAACACGATTCTCGCCCGTTGAAAATTGTTTTTTCTTTTATGATTACTCACTGCAGTGGTATTATACATGACGATGGCTTGTATATTATACACATATTTATAATATATATATATATATATATATATATATATATATGTATGTATATACAGTGTGATTGCGAAAGTTGAGGGCGGGAATAAATGGCAATAATGTAAAACGAAACAAATTACAAAAATGACTAATAAATCTTTGGTCCCAAAGAACAGAGAGGGCTGAAGTCAAAATTTTCAAATTTCCAAATTGCAAAAAAATTACCGAAAAATTATGGAAACGAGATAGGTAAAAATGCCAAACATTTATATAAACCCTTCTTCTTCCACGAGACCATATATATATATATAATATACTATATTATACATATTACGGACACATTGCACACATTAAGCAATTAATAACTACCACTACTGTTACCAGTAGCGTGCTCAAGGAGGCTAAGGGGGCTTCATCGCCGTGTTGAACGTGTTAAAATACAATAGCGGTAAAAATGTATTTTTAATATAAATAATAAAGACTGTACACATTGATATATTTTGCAAACGTTGTTATATTATTAGATTTAATTCGATATATTTGGCCCCCCTCGCCCCCCTCCAAAATTAGGAGGAAAAAAATTAAAAAATTATGTAGTACGCCATTGACTATTACCATTATACTGCAATGTCGTTGAATTTCTGTATATGGATGTGTACCAGTTACGTGTATATAAAATTATAATTTATATACTCGGACGTTTCGGTGGGAACCATCACTGCAACGTTTGAAAACGGTGGCGGAGAAAGAGTGGGAATATATATGTAGCGAATCGAATAAATAATAAAGTGAAAGAGATAAACTCGTTAAAAAAGAAGATATAAACGCTTCCTGTATTTAATAACAATTTTTTTTTTTTTTTATATACAACCCTTTTACATAATAATATTATTTATCGAAACGTTCTCTAGTCATCGCCGCCGCATTCTGACGTCCACTTTATTTGCAGTCGATTGACTCCTCCCGTCAGCGTACGTCCAAATATCTTTCGAAACGTATCATATTGCATCGTATATCCTCCGACCACGTAAACCTGAAAACAAAATAATTAAATTGTATTCGCCCGATACGCGCAGCATTTACCTAATCGGTTGAATAATTCGATAATATTGCAAAGCGAGAAATAAATATTTTTCTTTCGTAATGTTCTACAAGTTAAAATGGGTACCTGCAGATTTCGGAGATGATAAAACTATTAATCGTGTTTAGGTAGGATCTGGTAAGTGGTAATAGCGAACAAGGGTCAATAAAAAAAAAATTACACAACCAATAAATATAAAATCTACAGAGACTATATGGATAAATAGGAGAGTAGTCAACCCATTAATCATTATATAGTTATCTACCATGTTCGGTAAAAATATGAATATTTTAAATACTATTAAATATTTAAAACCCGAATAACACATAATAATATAAAATACGGTATTTCGCGTGTAAATAACTTAGTTTTAACATCACGACCATAAATAATAAAGAAATGTACGAACCTTACCATTAATATTATGTGCTCGCAGAGAGAGCAATTTACCATAAGGTAACAGTGATTATTGAAATATGGTTATCAGTAATAAATTTCAATAGAAATACATAAATTTGATCACAGATACTTTTTATTAAACCACCAAATTTTTATTTTATACCTTAGAATTCATATGAATGTATTGTTACAGAATTATTAAAATTAAAAAAAAAAAAATTGCAAACGATTTTCTCAAAATATGTTCACTGTGGTTCACCATCAAAATCCAATAAAGATTTATCATTTCATTTGTGAATAATTGTGTTTATTATTTAAAAACAAACCACAATAATTTGTATATGATAAATGACTACCTATGTAATTAATACAATTAATGTGATTAAATTATTAATAATATTATTTTTTTTTTTTATTATTATTATTATTTTAGAACAATATTATCAACTCATAATAACCATACCTACAGTAACCACTGAAAACCACTATGATATATAGAGCTCCGTAATTAATTTCCCGTTTTGGTTATTAATGGCATCGTTTCATAATCTCGGTATTTCATCTCGAGCGTTCGCAGATATTCATAACCAAAATACGCCAGATAATATGACCAAAATATAGTGTCCACCCGAAACGTATTAACCGCCTTTCAAATATTAATAACAAAACGCGTTTTTTTTTTCACCGTCTCTCTCTAATCATTAATTCAAAAGCGTTGCATTATAAGTACCTAACATTCTATAACAACAATAGTAAAAGCAAATATTACGAACTTATGGTCAATATTTTTACATACACCCACTCATAAGCGGTACTATAACGGAAGGAGAAGAATATTCGGCCGCTACGCCTGCAGATTCTCGGTTCCCCTATAAGCCCTTGTCAGAGCTTAAACCTACAAAAATCGAACCAAGTAGACCGTACTACAATAAATTGACTAAAACTGGTTCAAACCGATCATCGCCACCATATGGATTGCTGAATTAAAATATTTGTTCGTTCGCCATCCATGGACGTCTATATCGTACCGCCTATACGAGTCCTACCTACATTTGCTGACATCGAATTCCTCGTTAATTCTATATACCTCCATACACGTACGTAAATCGATTGACGATACACATTTTGCTTTCGTGGAACCAAATAAACATAATAATATGCAAATCATTTAATATTATGTTATTATAATGACCGCGAGACACTGCGGGTTAAAATACTATTAAAACACGTATTATTATACAGAGTGATACGTTTATACGAACCGACGAAGGATTTTAAGTTAATTTGATTTCTGTTTTGTTTTTTTGTTTTTTTTTTTTTTGTTTTTTTTCAGTCATTATGGACAAATTATTTAAGCTTTGTTTTAATACTATTTTCAATTGTTTATCTCTACTCATTATATGAATGTATATTTTGGTTTTTCAAATGTCGACCTTCCCCTTATAAACGAAATTGCGAATAGATAATATTTCCGAGATATGTTTACGTAACACTATTATAATATTTGCCGTTTATGAGTTCAAGCAGTTGAACATTTACCGTCTAAAATTGGATACAAAGTTTACCACTCCTCTAGTGTACACTTTAAACTGTATTACAACTCATAAACGGTAAATCCGACATTAGTATTGTGCATATCGACATTTTTAGAGAAATAGTCTCTATTCGAATCTGTATTCCAAAAGGAGCGAGTGGGCTGCTGTTTGAAAATCCAAACTCACCATCAATTTTCCGACAAAACCGCTGGATCGCGATAAAATGTATCACCCTGTATGTACCTACACGACCGACCAAGGAACCTGATTTAGTTTGTTGAACACGATATTATTATTATTATTTCGCTACAGATCCGAAGCCGTGAATTTCGTCTAGATTATTATATCCATTTTTTTTTTACCAGATAATCATATTTTCATATTTGTACGTATTATACTTATATAATAATATTCAAATATAGTTGTGTTCATTAATACCCTAGGACGGGTTTCGTTATTATACAGATCAGTATCGTGTTATATTTCGAGACGGCGATAGAATTATTGTCGCTAACTACAATTTGTCCGAAACTTGAAATTCAATAAGTATAATCGTATATATGGTAGGTATAATTTAACAATGAATTTAAGTCAGTGTACTTAAAGGATGAGCGATTTGATACCTCGAAACCTTCGTTACTTGTGACATTATCGAATATCGAAATCTGTGTAATTCTTGGTATCGGTTTATCTTAAAATGGTCAGTGATAACGTGATTATGGTGGTTAAACAGTTTGGTGTTGAATAAATTATCGTTTTTATTGTATTATGCGTTTTAAAGTACCTACTTCGTTAAATAATTTCAAAAATCCTTCCTTAGTGGATGTCTGTGGCATAAAATGTATCGACTGTGAAAATGTCATGTTTCTAACCACAACGGTTTAAAATGTGCGTCAGTCGGGACACAAAGTCGTGAATATATTAATGTATATTTTATATAGAGACAATGTTAATATTTGTGTTGTATTTTGTTTTCAAAGACATCGAAAATCGAGTATCCAATACCAAAGTTTTCGTTTCGCCCATCTATAGTACTGAATGTATTTTAAAGCACTTAACGAGTAGATTTTTTTTTTTTTTTTTAGATTAAAACGTAACTACCCATAATTTTTATATTGACTTGATAATGAATCCACGAGAGGTCGTGTTAGAAATTTAAAAAAAAACGAACGAAACAACGTTGCTACACTTTAAATGTGTATTTGTTTTTTTGTTTTGTTTTTTTTGTTTTTTTTTTTTTTTAATTCTCCGAGTATTGACCTATTCGCACGGCGGCGGTTTGTTAGTTTTAACTTTCACGGCCATTAATCCCCTATACTTATATCTATGACTCGTGCCCGTGTCGTGTTCCTGTCAAATATATTATAATATACAAACGTAGTTTTTTTTTTTTTTTTTTATACGTATAGGTAACACAAAAGAAAACTGAACATTTCTCCGATTACAATAAAAATATATGTGTATATATATATATGTATTAGGCGTATTTTACCAATAATATTTTATTTACGTACATAAATTTGTATGCGCGTTGTTTATAAACGAAAATAATATATAATTTACGAACATCATAAACCAATATAATATTCAAAAGACTCGTCGTTGTAAATTATTTATTCATAACAACATAATATACAGGGTGTCCCACGGAGTTCTGACAAATGCAATAATTTTTATTACACGTTAAATATTTCTTTTAAGTTGTAATTTTAATTTTTGTAATGTATCGTAAAAAGAACTGCGATATATTAACAAAATTTCGGTTCGTTATTTCCTACGGAGTTCTGATAATTACAATAACTTTTATTAAGTATATGTTCAATATTTTTAAATTTGTTTTTTTTTTTTTTTTTTGTAATAATTAGTATTTGTTCATGTTTTATGATTTTATGATTCGTACTTATATACGTCAATACCCAGTATAATAACTTAAATATAACAAATGAATATTTATAATAATATCACTATGAGTATTTTTTCATGAAAAAGTGGTGAACCAATTGTATTTTAGTTATTATTTAGTAGTATAAATAAAAAAAAAAAATGTAATTTTTGTAAACTTCAAAAAAATTTAGAATAATTAACCACACATAATTAGAAAGATGTTTCATTGCAGCAATGTATTGTTTCAAAATAAATATATTAAATGGCTGCCTTTTATTTTAGATTCCGAACGTAGCCAGGGAGCTATTGGTTTTAATAAGATGTTTATTTTATTTTATTTTTTTATTCTAGTCTGTGGACACGGTTTTCCCTTGTAAAATACGCGATTTGTCCACTCCACACCCTAAAATCCGCAAAGTTACGCCAGTCACGCCACCGAAATAACGGATAAAATATACACTTAAACGACAGCCCTCAAAGGCGCCGCGCGTTTGATATCCCAGCGTCTCTCCTATCTTATCTTCTAAGACCACGATCGCATTACTGTACTTTTGGCGTTTAGGTGGTCGTATTTTTTTTTTCTCGACAGCGAGACCTCGAACACGAGTAAAACACGCGGGTCCTAGTCCGCCCGCTTTCCCTCCCACACACACACACACACACACACGCCCATCCATCCCCTAGCGACAGCCAAGGAACAGCAGGCGTGTTAAAACACCCTGTAGACGTTCGTATCACGGTGACGTACATCGAACGATATCCGCGTGTATCGCGATCGAAATTATTACACGCGCGCCCAATCGTAATTAATCCGGACCCGGTCGTTGTTAATACGCGTGATGGCATAATATCGGTGCACAGATAGTGGTACCGGTGCGGCGGAACGCTGTTACGCTGCGGCCGCGGACCGCGAACAGTTCGCGGTCGTTTAAAATAAAAATCTCGCCCCGGGGGCAAATCGTCAACCCCGTTGTGCTTATCGCGCCGCGGCGTTACCAGCAGGACGGTGGCGCGCGCGCACGCCGAAAGAAACGCACGTCGGTCGCCGCCGCCGTCTCGTTCCGACCGTGTATAATAATAAATACGTGTACGCGTATGCGCGCGACCTTGGGACGATAATGAAATTTTGGACGTACCGTAAACCCGACAACCTTGAGCGGTTGCTCGACTGGTTGATCTCGGTAATACGGTATACGTGCATACGCGCGCATGTATGCGTACGGGTGCGGCGCGCGCGGGGACGCGTGCGGTACGAAGGGGATCGGACAACTTTTGCCATTATATCGCGTTGCGTGTGATGTACGCGCGTACACGAAAAAACGAATCGAAGTAAAACAATAATAATAATAAAGGTTTCTTGAGTGCGATTGTTGCCGGTCACGATTGCTCTGCCGCAGCGCCGACGCGTACCGCCATTTGCGTGCGCGTCGTACGCGCACGGCTGTCGAGCCGCGTGAGCAATCTCGAGGCGATTAGAGGCGTCGCGTGCACGCGCGCGCGAGAAGCAGAAAAAGAAGAATCCGCGTCCCCGTCGTTCGCGCGCGCGTGTAGATACGTCTTTCTGTTTTAATTACCGACCGCGTAATCGTTTGTTCGTTATGCTCGCCGCCGCCGCCGCCGCCGCCGCCGCAGCTACTGCTGTACAAGATTTTTTATTTTTTTTGCCGATCGGAAACCCTACGGTGTGACGGCATCGTCTACATACGCGTGCACACCGATCTTCCGAATCGTATGCACGGCGCGACAGTGTAGATTCCACTGCGAAATGCGTATTTGCATTTTTAGTAAAACGTCTACGTGAAAACTATTCGGAACACGCCTATACACTTATTTACTCGTTCTGTAATTACGAATCCGGCGTTATTTACAATAGTGAAAAAAATCGGAAACTTAAAGGGGGGGGGGGTTTGAAATTCCAAAGACCGCTCTCTTCCGGTATTTGACCGTAAGGTCGGTGTTCGCAGTTTTCCGTATCCTCTCCGCTCTGTTCTATCATCAGCTAACCTCTTCAGTTCACAATAGTCTGTCAGTGCCGCGTCGGAAATCACCTTTTCGATATATATGTTGTTTTTGGTCGTCCTCGGTCTCTTTTGCCATTCGTTCTCCGGTCTGTTATAGCCTGTTATCTATAATATATGACATACTCGCCGTATGTATAAAATAGCATGGCCCGGCCGATTCGTCATCGCACAGCTCAAACCGCGGGACGGATCGAGCTGAAATTCGGCGCAAGCAATAGCTATTGTGATTTAGGCATCCGCCTAAGAACATACTTTTGAAAAATCAACCACTAATATGGCGAAATAGGGTTTTTTGCGTATTTTTAGTACAAGTATCCAATTGTTTTTTTCGGAACGCGTCCAATATGATCATATTCCACCTCATAACTCGAGTTATGAGTATCTGAGTGTCTCTTTGGCTGGTTTCATTTACTTCGCTTAGTACGCTGTAGTTCGTTCGCCATTTTTTCCGACTAATTCACATCGTTCGTCTTCAAAACCGCACGTCGAAACTTTCAACAAAATTCTGGTCCGACTTATGAATTTCACACCCATAATTAGTGCCATATTCCAAACGTATACTTTAATTAGACGTTTCTTTCACCACCGTACTTAAATTATTAGAAAACAATAAGATTAAATATTATAACATTTTGATTGTTTGACTGTTTTTGTTACAGAACTAATCACTTGGGGCAGAAAAATGGGCAAACGGCTGGAGGTTTTTCGGAGGAGCGAGTCCCGCGATTCTCTGGACAGCCTTTCGTCCAGGGACAGCGTGACCTGCAAACAACCGGTGTGGCCACTAGGTCAACCGTCGTCCTGCAACGAGAACAAGTCATCAACGCTGAAAGGGTTTTTCACGCGCATCGGGTCCACCGGCATGCTGAGCTATTCGCGCCTGTACAGCAACAGTTTCCGGGAAAAGTTGCAACAGTCCAGCCGGATGCAGAACGGCGATTGTCAGCTGTACAGGAGCGTGTCCACTTCCCACTTGGCAACGTCGTACATGAAAGGAGACGATCCCGCTGACTGTTTGGACCCCGGCGGGGAACCGCGGGTCCTGATGCACTGCGACACCGAGGACTGCGCCGACGCGAAATCCCCCACCGAACCCGGTTACGTGCCCCTGAAAACCCGGAGCTGTGACAACATTTCGAAGTTGGGTACTTCGAAAAAACCAAACTTCCCGTACGCGTTCCTCAGGTCCAGGTTGTCCGTGTTGCCGGAAGAAAACGGCGGAGGCGGCGCTATTAGCCACCATCATTTGCATCAGGCGAGGGCCAGCGTAAAACAGAACAGGAACAGTATCGGTGGTACCGCCCACCACGAAATAGTAGTCACCGAAGAGCTGTTCAAAGAAATGGACAACGACGACCGGGAATACCGACGCGTGTTCAGCAACCTGAGCTCGTCCAACGAATCGGGATACGACAGCGACGGGCCCAGGACGATGGACACGTACCACCATCACCACCATCACCGAAAAGCCTGCACTGACGAGGACAGCGGATTCGGGGACACCAAATCGCTGGCCACGGACAGTCTGAACGAGTTCGAACAGGAACAACCGGAGCCCGCGTCACCCAGACGGCACAGCGACAAAGACTACAACGTACCGTCCATGTGCCTGTTTTACAAGAAAAACCGCGAGATCAACGATCGCATAAGGTCGGACAGACAACAGTCGAAACAGGAGACGCCGAATTTCCATCGTCGCATGTTCGTCAAGAACCGTTCGCCGCCGCCGTGCGCCGACCTGTCGTCGTTGCCGGCCGACCTCAACGATTTGCGGTGTCGCATGCAAATAGTCCGGTTGCTTAAAGCCCAATACGAAGACGACATCGGCATCTATTTGAAAATGGCCGTCAAGCACGTGGCTGACTACAACGAGACCCGGTTCGTCGTGATGAAACTAGAGCCCGGCAAAATAGCGTATAGGTAAATTTATATTGTAAATAGTTCGATTGTACTCTAGACGGATTGCCCGGCGTTTCCCGTAACCGTCCCGCCACCGTTCGTTCGTGAACAACTGCTCCTACCTCGCGGTATCACTTTGCGGACCGATAATAATAGAATAGCATGTAAACAAACGCGCGAATAACCTAACAAATAATAACCACGTGTTTTCCGCAGGGACGGCAGAATTAAAATCAACGACGAGATAATCAACGTCAACGGGAAGCTGTTGCGGGGCATTACCGACATGTACGAAGTGGAGAAAATACTGAAACACAGTTTTTCCATAGCCACCAAATATTACGTGGACATCGTGCTGTCCAGATCCGAACAAACGGACCCGGTCGCTGCCGCCGCCGCCACCGTCACCGCCGCGGCAGCCGGAACTCCCGACCGCAGCTACTGCGACGCGGAGGCCAAACAAAACGCGATCTCCGTCATCAACCGAGTTCTGGCCAACAAAATGAACAACGGCCGTTCGTCGAAATCCCCGACTCCGACCATGAGCACCGTGTACATGGCCGTGACGTTTTATAAGGGTGCCGGTCACAAGTCGTTAGGCTTCAGCATCGTGGGCGGGTCGGATTCGCCAAAGGGCGAAATGGGCATATTCGTCAAGACCGTTTTCACGAGCGGCCAGGCCGCCGAGAACGGTACACTACTCGAAGGTAAGCCCGCGGTATAAATTATCCACGCGCACGTGCCGTACACTCATCGTGTCCCGTATGAAACACGGCCACGTTTTACACATTTAAAACACCCGAACAGCCGAATGTCCGACACCGTTGACCTGCGCGTAAAACGGCAAACGACCGGACGCGACCAAAAACGTTAAGTTCGCGGTCCGAATGTCGTCAGTATTGCGTATCCGTTCGGTAAACGGCAATTCATTAAAAATCGTTGGGTGATAAAAAGCCCGACAAATTTACGACCGCCATCGGCAATATAAATTGTTAAATTTCCGCCGCGAAATATAAAACCCGTGAGTAATTAGCCGGGGGAAAAACAAAAAAAATTGAAATGACTGACATTTGACGTGCTATTATTTAAGCGTATAACTCATCTTGGCGAGAGAGAGGGGGGGGGGTGATATCGCGATTTCCTAACCGCAAATATTCTAACGTCGAAATAACAGTGCGATTATAATATTACGGCGGTTGATGATTGTGCTTTGGTTGTGTTTGCGCGGTTTGCGGACGGCGACGGCCGGCGCGCAAACGATTCGCGTTGCGTTAAAAGACGAGAATTTCAAAAAATGCGTCTTCTCGGAGATTGCCCGCGGAAAAACGTCCGAAACGTAAAGGCGGCAACGCGCCGCCAAACTGCGTTGCGAATGTGTTCTCAAAGCGGCCGGGGAAAAGTAAGCGAACGATCGGTTGGGGGGGGGTGGAGTGAAGGGGGAGATGGACGGCAAGAGAATAACGGACGCGAGGAATTTTCGAAACCGTGAGAGCGGTCGACGACGACCCCGACAGCCGCTGCACATTCTGCGCCCGACACGCGCCCGTATCATTTACAACGGCAACGACAATGTCAATACTCTGCGCGCGCCGTACGCGGTAGCGCGCACGGGGAATGAGAGGCGGTCAACGGCTGTGACCGCCCCCCTCCCCCGTGCAAGATCGGTTTAAAAACACGGCGACTGCGGTTGTTTGTTCGCGGCGGTTGTTCCCCAACATTAAATGCTCCGGTCTTTCGGCCAAACGCCACGGTTAGGTTAGGTGCGCTATGCGGCGACATAGAAATCCGGCGTTTTCGTCGGTCTTCGAAATTCCGCATTGTCGTTTAGGCGAAACGGGAAGGGGATCCATGCGATTCACTCGTCAATCGTGGTCGCCGTTTACCAAACCCTTTCCCGCTGGCAATTCCCCGGGCACGCCGGTGTATGATATATTTTTTTTTTTTTTTTTTTTAACGGCCGGGTTTGATTTCGTGTTCGCAGGTGACGAGATATTGTGCGTCAACGACGAATCCGTCAGCGGGATGACGCACGCGCAGGCCATAAACTGCTTCAAAAAAGTGCGTCAAGGCCCGTTGGGAATGAAAATATGCCGGAGGAAGATTATGTCCGACGCCGCCGGCCGCAACAACAAGTAGCGCGCTGAGAGTGCCGCCGCCGTGACGTTGTCGGCCGCGGTCACGGGAATCGAAACAATTACGCGCCGCCCCACCGAAGAACCGAAAATTAACCTAAAATAACAATTTATAATTCCGTTTGTTTGTCATTGTTCTTTCGCTCGTATGTTTTTCCCGCGCGCCGACGACGGCGCTAGAGGACGCCTCGCGCGCCTTTGCCGTCTCGGTCTGATCGACGCACACCAGCGTAGCGGAATCCCGTTACGCGGAAACGTAATACGCGCCGTTCGGATTGAAATTGGTGTCGAAACGCAGACAGGAGGACATTTCCGAGGGTGCGCGGCATTTTTTCTGTTGAAAAAAAAAAAAAACAAAAACAACCGACACGGCTGTTGTAACTAATCGTCGTAGAAAAAAAACATACGCGCAGCCCTCGAAAACGTTCTCGTCTTCACACGTTTACGTTCAAAACTGCAATATTTCAATCTCCGGAGTCCCGCCGCGCCGACCGCCGAGTTTGGGCAGAGACGGCCCGTGCGCGCGCGACGTCCCATCGCGGACGAGCGAACGCGAACGGATCCGCCGATCCCGAACGCGAATTCGACGGACGTTCGGTCGCGACTCGCGCGCGCCGTTCGCGGACAGCGCGGTCCCGCTGTTCCGAGCGCGGCCGTTTGCGCGCGGGTCCGTTCGTCAGCGTTCGCGGCGCGTTGCGCGGTCTTGACGCGCTGTTACGCGCGAACGTGCGCAGCGTTCTGCTCGTCGTCGTCGGGCGCGCGCACTGTTGAAACGGTACAATGCGGTAACGTTATTATTGTAATGCGTATCGCGCGCGCGTATTGTCACGGCTCTACGTGCGACAAATTTTTAATATAATATCGCATTGTTTCCGCGGGCATTCCGCGCGCCCGTATGCCTATGCGCGCGGCCGACGACGCGTGTTCGGTATGTACGATGAAAGGAACAAAAAAAAAAAAAAACAAAACAAAAAAAATAAATATATTTATATATAATATAAATCATACAGACCAAAGAAGGGTCATCAAACCGACCGACGGGCGACGGAGGATATCCAACGACGAGCGTCCGTAATCGCGGCGTGCGCGTACCGAACGTTCGACTGAACGGCGACGGACCCCCCCCCCCCCCCNCCCCCCCCCGTCGTCGCGGTTGGCCGTCGCCAACCGAAATCCGCGCGGGGACGCGATCGCGACGCGTTTCCCCCGTTGCCGCCGAGCGTATCGGGCGAATCGCCGGCGCGAACGCTAAACGCGGGAACCGATCCGGCGGCGAAATTCGGACGCCGGATCCGGGCGGACATTTTCGGCGGTCGACGGCGAGACGCGGTCGGCCCCGTTTCGTTGCCGAATCAAACTTTTCCGATGCGCTCTGCTGGTACAATGATTGTTTTCGTTTTGCGTTGCATACGTTGCTGAATTCCGGGAGGCACGCGCGACGCGAACCGAAAACGTTAAAAATAATAAAAAATTTACAAAAAAAAAAAAAGTCTCGTACACCGATGGATCGCGTTGATCTGTCGCGGCCAATCACGCGCCCGGCGAAAACGTGAAAAACTCGCCGCGTCAGCCGTGCCCGCGCGGTGAAATACAATTCGTAATTTGTGTTTTCTACGCTGCGCCAACCTTTGCGTGCCTACTGCGTGTTGCTATTGCCGTTGCGTACGCTGCGGCCCGACTACTGCCGCTTTGCGATCGTAAAACGGTCGTAAAACTTCTTCGCCGCACAAACGCCGACTGTGCACAAAATCGCCGGCAGACACGCGAGCCGGACGACGTACCCGCGTATACTTTTTATCATTCATGTATTATAGGTATAGTTACCTTTTTTTTTATTACACGTATATATATATATAGAGAGAGAGAGAGAGAACGAGAGAGAGAGAAAAAAAGAGAGAGAGAAAAAAAGAGAGAGATAGAGAATAAGAGTTTTATACAAGTTTATATAATAATATTTATCGAAAAAAAAAACTGTTTCCCCCCCTCTCCCCACTTATTTTTCCACGGTTTTGAAGAATATCCCGTTTAAATTATTATAACAATATCGTATAGGTATGAAAAAATAATAACATCAATAATGTTTTAATCTATCGACGGCTATGTGTTATGTTAGCCGATTGTCAACTATTTGTGTATATTTTATCAGTCGCGTTCGTCGATTCGCTATAAGATTTTTGTATTTGTATTTTTTTTTTTTTTTTCAATAAAAATAGGAAAAAACTCCTATGTAAGTTCCTATATAGGTGTAAATTATATTACTTGTATTTTTTTTTTTTTATCGCCGTTACGAACGAATAATATTTCGCGTTTAAATAATACGGTATCGATAAAATGCTCCGTCGTTTATATTAAACGGTAACGCGGATATTTTTGTACAGGGGATCAAACCCGATCATCGTTATTCATACGGCGGTCCTGCCGCGGCAAAATTATAACGTAGAAACAATATTAAAAAACACGAATAAATTGATTATACTGTGTACTTTTATATTAATACGTATATATTAGCTATTTATATTAATAAATGTTATTAAACGATGATAATAAAAATTGTGTAAATGTCGTTTCATATTTATTTGTAACGTCGTGTACAGCGTTAAATTGGATTCGTTAATGGGTAATGTTTTAATCGGCGAATAATATTCGTGCGAACGGAAAAGGCAACTGCCTCCCCTGCGGCCGAAGTGTTTTTTTTTTTTTTAAGTAAAACATGTTAAATACGAATTTAATGAACACGTTGAACTCTGACGTTCTTTTTTTTTTTTTTTTTTTTTTTGTAGACTGATGGAAAGTTCGGGGCCGCTGAAACTCAGCCGAGTGCCCCCGTCCCACCAAATAGGGTATATTACAAATGTACAAAATCAATATTATGAATAATTAAATCCTCCCCGAAATAGTTGAGCTTTTTACGTCAAATACGGTTTTGTGTAAGGCTTATTGATTTCAAGGGTCGGTGCTTTCCTCGCCTAAAGAATCTGCGCACGTTTCTGATAACACGGCAATGGACCCGCGAGAACGGAATGGACGGCAAACATGTGTTGTAGCGAATCCGAGAACAGGCCGGTAACTTTCGGTCTTTCAAATGACACCTCGGTTATCGATTTCGGTTGCGTACAAAGGGAGAAAAGGGATTTTTTTTTTTTTCACTACAAGTTCCCTTCGAAATATAATCATACACAAGTACAATATATATGTATGGTACATACAGCGTGGTGTGCTTAACGGAAATCTGAAAAATGCTTTTGTACGGTATTTTTAATTTTCTCTTTTTTTTTTTTTTCTTGTAACAATCACCGCAGAAACCTTGCCCTGTGATTCTTTTACTTTATACATATCCTAAAACCGAAAATTAAAATAAAAACTGTTTTTACAAAATCCACGACGGTCATTGGTCGTTGGTGTGAACATATAGAATTTCAGTCTTACAAATATAATACTTACTAACGGTGAACCGTTATTATTTGTTCGCGATTTGTTTGAAGTTTACGATATTTTCAATCGCTTTCATTGCCAATACCAAATAATATAAATCGATTCGCCCATTTTCTCATGGAAAATGATTTTTGTTCACTTCAAAATGTTTTAGAAAACTAACGATTGGGTCATTAGTAATTATTTTTAACGCCCAAATATTGTTTCAAACTACATTTATAAAACGGCCATCTTGGATATTTTTTAAATATAAATTTGTTTACTTAACTTTAAAAACATTACGTAGTAGACAAATAATGCGCAAGGATCCATAGTCATTATTACAAGAAACAAGTATTGCACAAAACAAAAGTCATTGCACGCGTTAGGTGTCCGTGAAACACCTTGTATTCTGATACTTGAACTCGACGGTATTACACCCTCGTGGTGTAATATATTCTAAAATAGAATGGTGAGAAACGTCTAAAAAAAAAAAATACGGAAATGCACAAGAGATAATCCAGTCGTGTCGCGTGCGATAAAAATTTTAGAGAAACGAAATCGAGAGAAATCGACGCACGACGGAAAACTCAATATTCTTAAAACGACTAAAATATAAGTTATTTATTGTCCACACAGATTTTTATCGCTCGCCGACACCGACAGCAAATGTAATACTATGCTCAGGATAGAAAAGGTGCTTGAAAACTGCATATAGGTCGATACCGAAACTTTTGAAAATAAAAATTATAATATATTTGTATTGACCGTTATTCCAGTAGATCGTTTTAACATTAAAGAGAATACGTGCAAAAAATAACATTCACTCGATAATTTGCAACTTTCTTATTTAATATCGTTCTTAAATCGACCGGGTGAATAATTTTAATCGTTTTACACAACACTCTCGGCTGTATTCGGGAAGCAGACCGATTTTTATGTGGTTTTTTCCTGGTTATTTATTTATTCCGGTGTTGCATATACAATCGAAAATAAAAAAAAAAATATTACGTAAAAGTTGCAATTGCTTGTGCGTATATGACTATACGCACGCATAATAATGTGTGTATTATAATAATGCTGACTATAGTAAAAAATCGGAACCGTATTTGGATTTTTTTTAAACAGGCTGTTGTATTCCCTATTGTTTTATTATGCAATTATTAATCCGGATTTCACACGATTACGAATTTTTTTTTTTTTTTCTCGAATCTCAAGTCTCCGGTGTGTTCCTTTTTAATAACATAATGCTATTACAATTTTAATCTGAAAACAGCTGCGGTCAAATATTATATCGTTCTTTCTACTCATTCTTCATCTTCAGGTTACCGACCATTTCGGACCATAATTCCCACGCACACCTCCAACTATCCATACATGTCAGAGTCCCCCCTCTTAATTCCTAGTCAATAATCTCCGTCTTTCCGTCTCTTCAAACAGATATATTTTCCCTTCCGTTACCGGGCGCATATAATTGAATTCAAACTTTGCCGAGCAGTGATCATTTCAGAAGGGAGGAGCGGTATTATATCCCGTCCAATGCTCAGAAAAATGTATACCGCCCCCTGAAAATGTAAGACGAGTTATGAGCCGATTATGAGAGACACCTTTTGTTGACAATAAAATTTTAAAAATAAGAACGAACATAGTTCGCACGTGGACGCAACCACTGCTGTAAGCGGAACGTTGGAAAGGTAGGATACAGACGGGAATTTAATGTATACTTGTAAGCAACGATAAACAATTGCTAACGAAAAAACGCTTCTGAGCTGAGTTCAGTTTATAGTGTTGCTTTGTCGACAATATACATGTCATATTATGGTAAAATTATTACAACAATGTGCGTTTCCATGACAACAGTGATTGTTTAAAAAATATTAAAATAATAAAAACTTAATAACAACATAAAATAAATAAAAACGATTGCCAATGACAACCTTATTTTCAATCTTTCAATCTTTTCTAACCTAAAGAACCGATTTTTTCTCATTGTATCGAATATTAATGAAAATTTCAAAAAATTACCTCTTTAAAGTACCACCCAGAGAACATTATATTTCGGAAAAAGGTGCTATACTTGATAATCGGAGTAAGCTTTCTGGTAGAAAAAGTGTTCACATAAAAAAAAAAGAAATTCATATATTTGCAAGACCGATACATTCTTCGCTAAATTAAGAATCTAAAATATTGTGCTAGGTGTATAAATAACCGTATTTTAACAAACTACAAAATGTTCTTATATTGACCGTATTTTCTTAATGTTTTCCCCGGATAGGCATAAAAATTCCTAGATTCGGCTCTGCCTTTGACATGTCCCTTTAGAAATTTACGATACACCCACCCCTGCCGAAGGTGAAGGTCTGAAATAAATTCTGTCGCCGAACACGTCCGTCCCACACAGTCCGTCGTCTTCTACCCTAAATCGTGACCTGCAATATAATATCCACCGTGTTTCTGTAGGCACCCTGTTTTTCCTTTTTAGCCATAGTTGTTTTCATATTCTCCACCAATCATCAGTTATCACTAACAATTTAATGCAAACAGTCTTATACAACAAAAATAATCGTTTATTCATCAACAAGAGGCCTGAAAGAAATTAGTATTATGTACGCAGCGTGCTGAACTATTACTGTTTTTGAACCGTCTTTGTTTCGTTATTCATAAACGCACTGCAGTTGTGTCTTAGAGTTTTATTTGTATTGATTTTAAAAAAGTAATTTTTTTTTTTTTACGGTCGATTACATACTTGTAAATTGTTATATGTATTTATATTAGTTATTCTGAATCATCGGTATACTCGTGTACAGAGTGATCGATGTAACGTAAGACCTCAGAATGTATAAACATTTAGTTCGGTATTTCTTTTTTCTTTTTTTTTTTTTTTGGGGGGGGGGGGCGTGAATCGTAAGGAATTCAAGACACAAGCAGCTATAAAATATTACATTGTCCTTATTTTCTGTCATCCTTATGGTACGATACCATCACTACTATTTAGTTTTGAATTTCAAAATGCATCATAATAATGTGTTTCCGTCAACGGAGAAATATATTCATTTAAAAATTATATTTATAAAAATAAATTTAATATTGGAATTTTTATATCTCGTTCACGTGAATTCGTTATCAAAGTTTTGGATTAATATTGACATACGCTATGTTTGTTTTTTTTTTTTCTAATATTATATCGTTCACGAAAACACGCGGAAAATTAAAAATAACGCACGTAAACAAACGAAATACCAATCGTCGTAAACAAAAAACACGGTCGTCTGTTGAGTGTCTAAAATGTTAAACATAAGTATAATACTATAATACTTACACAGGAATCGACGACGTGTCCGTCCGGTCGATTTTTCAAATTATTAGTATTATGCTCGTTGCTCGGTTAACGGTTCATTAAAATATATTGAACCGAATGTTTCGAAAGATCCGAATGAACGTGCGTTGATCATTAAAAACGAATTGTTAATGTTTTATTAGTAAGTACATCATAACCGTTTTGCGTTAAACTTACGCACACAAATTAGTGTTATATGAATATAACGTATGTTTCTGTGTAACTGTATAATCGTCCGATATTATACCAAGGAGGTGTTGGTTGTCAATTAAAAAAAAAAAAAAAAAAACAGTTTTGATTAGGCGGTTTTCTTCGAAAATATATTAGCGAGCGGATTCACTGTGTGTGTTATAGGTATCCGCACAGGAATTCACACGATAATAAAAGCGAACTGTACATAATTGCATGTGCAAAACTCAACGGACTCGATTTTCCCAAAGAAAATTGTTCCGATTTTAGCGATATTTTCGAAAACATCGGTAAAAAATTGCATTCGTTGAACTTGGAAGTGGTTTTTAATTTTTTTTTTAGTTTAAATAATAACAGGTACATCAAATCTCGGTTGGGATTTTTTCTCCGCTATTTTTCACCTTTACTGGACCGCGGTCGAAAATGGGTGCAATATATTGTGTTAAAAATCAATCGATATATTTTTTCGTATTTATGCTTAGTGGAATATTAGGTGTCTGGTGCGCACGCGTTAATGTGTTGACACATAAGTTTAATTGGATGTCCGATGCATTTATTCATTTAGACACCGCTGAGCGGGTGAAAAATAAATACACTTTTAATATTCCAATTTTTAATACGTTTTTTTTTTTTGTTGTTTTCGCTTAAACCCGAATGATGCAAGTAATTAATCGACGTCAATAATATTATTTCGCATTACTACTATGTAAAATCTATATCGCAATATATAAATAAACGTGTATACAGTATAATCGACGTCGGCTCGTTTCGGATTTCACCATACGTGTGGTTCACGTGAACGTGTTTCCGGATGCTCGGTTATTATACTCAGGTATACTATACTCGAACCGAACCGGACGAAAAATGTGCGAACTATATAATTTGGCTAGTTGTTCGCCTTTTGTTGCGGACGACAAATATTATAAATTGAAAACAATAAGACTGCGCGTTGTTTATAATCGTATAAAAAAAAAAAAAAAAAAAATGTTTTAAACACGACAGTGTCCCGTTGACCGGTTCCGGAAAGCATCGCGAGTATGTAATCATTAAGTGCGTATAACCTAACCTATAAATAATTACCCGGGTTAATTGTTATTAGGTATATTTTTATCGTAACCGCACCAACCAGTTGGATATATTTTATTTTATCATGTTATGAGAATTCCGTAGAGTCCTTCGCTCCGTACAAGTATCCGTCCGTGACGTTCTGATGTTATTGTCAATCTTTCAACCTCTCGTCCGAAGATATTGTTTTCATCATTCATGTGTAGAACGTTGCGGTTTTAAAATTGTCGTATTTAAAATACCAACGAAAACTGTTTTAGGTGAGCACTCGAATTTAAATTTCCAAGTAGCAAACGTGACAAATCAATATATTGTGCGTGCGCGTTGTATTTTTAATGTATTTCGCGTAATGTAAATAAACAATTGCGTAGTAACCGCGAAAAATATCATATCGTATCAAATTACAATTAAATTCGTAATGTTTTACGAATAGACGAAACGTTTATAACGGGCCCGGTGGCTGGTGACTCAAGTGAACATTTCGACACTCTAAAACAATACTGCCGCAAACGATTACGAGCACAGGGTGATATTTATTGTAATATTTGTAAACGATTTATGGAAAAAATTATTCAGTCATACGGTTTGAAAAATGAATATTTACAACCGTAGATATTTTCAATAGATTATTGAATCGGTACCTACTTTATCGCATTTAGATTCGGAGAGGGATGTATTGGTTTTACAATCATGACTAAGTTTTTTTTTTTTTTTTTTATCTGTGAACAATTTTTCTACCAGAAATCTTACTTCGATTTTCAACTGTAGAACTTTTTTGAAATAACATTTTATCCTAGTGGTAAATTAGACCATTTTTTTGATTTTCCAAGCGGTTTTCATAATACATCCTCAATCGTGATTGGAAAAAACGGGAAAATTAACGTCGTGTATAAAATAAATTTCGCTCCGAATCGTTTTTCATTAGCGATTTACAATACGGCAATTATAATAAAATTTTCGTATACAACGTACACTACAGTCAAGTAAGTGTGAATTGCAATATGTCGCGAACGTGCTTTATTTTCGTTACGACAATAATATTATTATTTTTTTTATACAATGATAACACATTATTATTATTATCTCATATTTTATAAAAATATTATTTCACAACTGCGACGAATAAACAACACAATTATATTTTTGTAAGGTAAAAGTTGTTGTATACTTAACAATTTAACCTTCTGAAAATTAAACATAAACGAAACGATTTAGTTACCTATTTTTATCGCGGTTGTTTGAATAACATTAATTAAATTAAAATAAAAAAAAAATACAATCATTTCCTCGCCTCAGTGAAAAAACAGAATGCGAGTGAAAAAAATTAAAAATGTACACTGAGTTTTCACCGTGTGCAATCTTTTATGTTTATCTTCTATATTTTATCGAGGCAAAGTCACAAAATTTAGGCGAATGTTTAAATTGACTATATTCAGTTCGTATAACACTCAGATAAGTCGGTCTTCAAATTAACATAATATAATGTTTTTAAATCTACTTGATAAATCATACGATGTTATAATTTGATAAATTGCTTATACAGTCGTTATAACATTTCAGTGAAGAATGGTGTAGAAAAAAAGTCAGGGAATTATTGTCTATAGTTTTTTACGATTGTTTGTAACTGATGAATTACACAAAATAAATAAACATTAGAAAATAACAGAATCCGTTAATGCGTAAATTGATCCATTTTCCCCTTAAATATAACTTCCTAAATCCTCTTTTGGAAGACAAAATTGTCTTCCAGAAATTACCCTTACAGTTGATGATCGAACCAAGATTTCTAATAGAAAAGTTGTTTACACAGACAGACAGAAAAAAATGTGCCCGAATCACAGTAAAATCAAAAACCTAAATCACTCACCGTTATTTAAAAAATCATCAACCTGTTTACTATAAACATGTATTTACTATGTTTTTATTGGATTTATATTCTCCACGGCGAGGTATATTCACTACATCATTTTTTTTTTTTTTTTAATTATGCGAAGAAGTGTGTTTTTATAGGTTTTACATGTTTTTATTTTAAAATACTTTCTTTTTTAGTTGTGTTTTAATAAACATAGTAGGTAGGTTATTATTATTATTATAATATAATCGCACTAAAACGAGTTAATATATTTATTTTTTTAAAGTTCAAATAGAGTATAGGTAATAGAAAAGTAAAATTCTGATTCCCAATATATATATATATATATACGAAAACTGTTATAACATAACGTTACAAACGTAAAAATAACTGACCAAATAACATTCGTCACAATACATAAAATAATATTATTATAAAGCAAGTCCCTAAAGTAAAACAATTGATTGGTTCACTATACGAACTGTATGTGTAGTTTACGTTTTTACAGACGGCGGAAAAAAACTAATATTATAATGTTATAGTAAATAATAAATTTTAACGAATAAATTTATATCCGCATCATTAATATTGTTTTTTTTTTTATTCTATATTGTGTTTATTAAAAATAGCGCATATACTTAATATTTCAGTTTCATGAGGTATAACGTGAATATTTGTATGAGTTATAACTCATAAGAGAATACCTCTAGTTAATATTATAACTCGAACTCGGAAGAACGGTAAAAATATTAACAGTAACTATATTATAATATCGGTATAGGTATACTTAAACGCAACAGGTGTTTGTACTTTTATTATGGAGTCAAAAAAATATAATATATTTATCGTTTCGTTCTTTATGAATCTGCATATAAAAGTACGATAATGTATACAATATACAGAGTGTACATAATATAATAGAGACGGGTTGGAGTTGTAATAATAATTATTATGATTTGTGTAATCGAAATCTGTACGCGGTTTTCCATCTATATTAGAGTCAGTGCCAAATCGGCTTTAACCTCATTTCTGTAAAATGAAAAATCTCCGAGGAAATTTGTTTTAAATTCTAAATTCAACGAAGAATGTATTCGTTTTAAAAAGATGTTTATTTCTTTTTTTTTTATGTGAACCCTTTTTCTACCAGAAAGCATACTCCGGTTATCAAGTATAGCACCTTTTTTGAAAGAAAATTTTCTCTGGGTGTTACTTTAAAGAGGTCATTTTTTGAAATTTTCATTAATATTCGACACAATGAGAAAAAATCGGTTCTTTAGGTTAGAAAAGATTGAAAGATTGAAAATAAGGTTGTCATTGGCAATCGTTTTTATTTATTTTATGTTGTTATTAAGTTTTTATTATTTTAATATTTTTTAAACAATCATTGTTGCAATGGAAACGCACATTGTTGTAATCATTTTACCATAATACGACATTTATATTGTTGACAAAGCAACACTATCAACTGAATGAGTTCAGTTGACAGTTGAACGAGCTCAGAATCGTTTTTTCGTTATTGTTTATCGTTGCTTCCAGATATACATTAAATTTCCGTCTGTATCCTACCTTGTTAACTTCTCACGTCCCACGTCCCACCTACAACAATGACTACACCCACGTGTGAAGTATATCCGTCTTTTTTTTTTATTATTATCATTTTAAATAGCATAAGTATTTGTAATTATTTTCTAATGCATTAAATAAGTATGGGATTTACAAAATTACACGATTCTTAATAGTAGTATTTTTATTTCTAAAACCTATGGCTTATTATTAAACTCTCGAACTTACACGAGTCTCCTTAATTCTTCAGTTAAGGGAATCTATTAGAAAACAATTTATAGATACGTAGTAAATACAATAAACCGAATTGTATAGCTGTACATTTTCTCACGGAGATTTCGGTTGAGATATTGAAAAGAAGCTAAATCGATTTTTCAAATTAAACTGTCTAAAATGTTCAAAAGTATGGCGGGAAAAGGATTACGGGCCATGTGCAAACTGTGAATGGCAAACAAAACCGTTTATTTCAATGTTAAATGTGTGAATGTATAAATAACATGTTTAACAGTTGACGTGTTTATTTTTTTAAATTGTGTGCGAATTTTCGTATTGTTTAAAAGGGAAAATGATTTAAAAAAAAATTATAATACAATATTATTAACCGCATTAATAATTTACTTGGAAAAATCCTGTTAGATTTCAATCGAATATTTTTTATTCAAACAATCCGAAAATTGATATTTCGTTAAAAAAAAAAAATAACAATTATAATAAGTTTATTCGTAAAAAATATTAAAACAAATAACGTTCAATAGATATTGCACGTACGAGGTACAAAATACAACAATAACCTAACCGGCTATCGTGTCACGAAAAGCACGTAAATTCGACTGGAAAATCGGCCGATAATCGGTCGGATAGGCCATTTATATCGACAATAATTTTTTACTCTATCAGTTTGATATGCGAAAACAATAATATAACACACAGAATCTATATAGAATGTTTACACAGCGCGTTTAATTGAATAGCCTATATTAGCCTGTGTGTTACCTACTAATAGCTAGTAAAAAACAAAATGAGATTGATCGTTTTTATTTTTTTTAAAAAAAATAACACGCACGCAATCTCACGTACAAAATAAAAAAAAAAAAAAAAACGTATAAGAACAAACTATTTTGGACGCATATAGGGCCAAGATATTTAAAAATTAGTATCCACTTAGATACGTTCGGCATCAGTGTCACAATACATTAGGTACTCGATCATTTTCAGAAATGTGAATCGCGTTGTGTTTGACGCACTTGTTTAGTGTCGTGCGCGAAATATTTCCCGTCCCTAATTATACAAAGGCCCGTGCAGCACGCCGTGATCGGGCCAACAGGTATAATAATGCTTTTTGGCTAGAGATCACAAAAAAGTCCCGCGTTTGCTGGCTTCGTAACGTTTTTTTCGAAAATTGCACGCACGAAGTGCTTTTTTTTTTTCTAGTCTGGCGTATTACCCGAAACGGATATTTCCTACGTTTAACAATATTTAATGGTGAGACTGACCGAACTGGGGAATGAAAATCTGAACGGAAAACAGACGCGTCTCTGGATTATTTTTCATTGGGCTTTTCGGCTATTTTGATAAAATGCTACTTCTGTTACGCGTCATTATATACTATAAAAGTTCGGCATTTTAATTTCATATTTTTAAGAACCGTACCCCCCCCCCCTCCGGAATTGTTTTCTGTACACGTGCCAGCATCGCTATTGGTCTGGAGCACGGGTTTGTACGCACTAAAAATGTATTAAAATATAATATGCAGTGAAAAAAAAAACAATTTTAAAAAAGCGGCAAAATAAAACGAGTATTAAAAACATTAAAATACACGTTCCGGATCTAAAATTTCGGCGGGTCCGGAAAAACGATTCAACGGTCTATCGTGTGTTGTTGGACGTGTACGCGATGAAATGACTTTTCGTAATTATTATTATTATTATTTTTAATTTTTTTTTTTTTTTTTTTTTTCATTCTTAAAATCTCGGGAAATCTCGTCCGACATTCAAAATCGTTGTACCGACGCGCATCCGGCGACGACGATCGACAACGTTTTTCGCGGCGGCGGGGAGCGGTTTTCGTGTAAACGCAATAGCGGGAAATCGACGAGAATCGAAAAGTATGTAAAGGAAAACGCAATGGCGTACGAAACCCGTGTTCCGCTGTCTGTGTAGGGCTCGAGACTCGTAGGATCCGGAATTCTAGACCTTACGGGCGTAAATTCAAAGGCATCGCGTACTTTCGCGAGCTCTTCGGCCTTATCGCGGCTCCGCCGGGCTTTATTAACGGTTCAACGTCAACTATACGAAATGCATCCTGTTGCGTATGGTGCGGTCATTACAGGGGCATAGGAATCCAACAATTGTACAGCGCAATAAACCCCGACTCTATTATAATACATTGTTTAAACTTAATATCAAAGATTATAAATAATTATAAATATAAAATATTAAAAAAAAAAAAACAATAAAATAATAATTAAGATTCCTAAATCAATGTATATTTATTATACTACGTAATAAGTGCAAAAAAAAAAAAAAAAGAAAGAAAAAAAAAGAATAGTGATTGATATTTGAAAAAAAAAACTAAATTTTAAACAGGCGTATAATATTATTACGATTATTATAATAAAGTGGACGGGAAATAGTGTTAAAAAAAAAAAAAAAAAAAAAATGCTCTGTACATTATGAATAAAGTATTTTTTAATTTTTTTTTTTTTTTCTAAGTGAGTTTTTCCGCGATATTTCCGGGACGTGCGACAACGATTGTACAGAATTTTTCGGAAAACGACGAATACGTAGTGTTTTTAAACGAGGAAAAGGCAATGTTAGAATATTATCGAAACACGTTGTCGGTGTGCAATGTGCGGCGGACCGCGAGGTTTCCGGTTAACATTTCCGTACGCGACGGCGAAAAGTACAGAGTGAGGCGGCGGGGCTAAAAAAGGACCGCGTTAAAAAGGCTCGAAAGTTAAATTGTGTACATCGATACTCACGGGGGAAAAAATGTGCGGACGAGCGACGGAGTTTTTGTCTAACACGAAAAAGCCACCGCCGTGGTGACGGCGAGACAGGCGACGAACAGCTGCGACCAGGTCGACCGGGCCGACGACGCTGTCCCCGGAGAAGACGTGTCCGACATCGGCGTGGTAGTGGCGGTTACCGCGGCGGTCGAGGTGGTTGGCGGAATGGCCATCTGCATGAGGATTCCGGATTCGGTGGTGGTTTCGACGGCCGTCAACGCGTCGGTCTGGTTGGGCCGGACCGAGTCTGTAATCGTGACGGGAGACGCCTCGGAGACGACGGCGGTCGGTACCTCGGAGACGTCGGCGGTCGGTACCTCGGAGACGTCGGCGGTCGGTATCGCGGCGACGGTCGATGCCGGCACCGCCGTAATAACCGCGGTCGGTGCCGCATCGGTCGCCTCGTCGGCGGCGGTGACGTCGATCGGTTTAACGGGCGGTTTTGACGGTTTAACGGAAAGATGGGTGCGGCCGCCGGCCACGGGCTTCACGTCCGTCCTGTCGGTGGCCGAATCGTATTCGTCGTCGTACGCGTAATCGCCCGCGTCCCTTGCCGTCGCGTTCAACGTGGCCACCTCCTCGGTCAGGTACACCGTGTCGTCGGGCGGCGCCGTGGCGGTCTCGCCACCCTCGAAAGTCACGACGAGCGGTTCGTCGGCCGTGACGGACGTGGTGTGCTGGAACGCGGCCGCCGCCGTCGCACCGCGCGGCCACCCGGACGACGCGGCCGTCCAGACGGCAGCAACGACCGTCAACACGGCGCAACAACGGCCGTACCGGTAGCGGCGTGCCGCTGTGGATGTCGACCGCAGCGCGTCAGCAGCCGTCATGATTTGAACGTGCGATTGAATGCGGTGGCGCGGTGACGGCGACGCCGCGAGTCCCAATGTGCAGTACAACAATAATAATAATAATAATAATAATAACATAACATTATGCACTTGGCCCCTCCGCTGCCACGGCGTTTATTTTTATAAAAGTTTTCCCCGGCCACGGACCGGGCGGCGGCGCTAGCTATAACCTCGTCCGATGCCAATTTTCACCGGAAAACAATTATAATTCATTTTATCGTTGTTATCGTTACTATAACTTATTGTTGTTCGTTGTCGTTGTTATTATTATTATCGTCGTCGTCGTCGCCGTTATCGTTTACACGCGTGTGTACGATAATAGCCGAGCGCAATACGGACGGCGGACCGTACGTGCCAGGGACGCGAAGACGGATCGTTCGGCCGTCCGCACGAGTGTATAAACATTCGTGTAGGCATTTCAAAACCGCCGTTTCTGTTTTGTTGTTTTCCCCCCTCCCCCCCACCCCGTAAACCGCGTGTACGGCGCGGTTATTTCGACACCGTCGGCTTTCCTTAAATTATTATTTCGCGGGGACACCCGCGGGAAGTCTCCGCGGACGCGGCACTCCCGGCCGAGAAAACAATGTTATTATAGTTATTCGGTCTACAAGCGCGTACTATTACAGGCTTACCAAAGTGACATTCTGAAACAATTAAAACGCCCCGTTCTCAAAAATACGTCACCCGAGTCGTAGGTTTTTTTTTTTTTTCTCTATCAGTTTTCATTTCGTACAACATAATAACCGTACTCACACATATTATACACTGCGGGTACAAACCCTATCAGTAACCCCGTGCCTATCCCTGTCTGACGTGATCAATGTAACACCGATTACCGCTGCGGTAATTGAGATCGGACAACGTTCTTCACTCGCGTGCACGGCCGGCGTAAGAAAATAAATTCCGGTTGCACGCGCTCTAGTCGCCGTAACAGCAGCTACCACCCGGTCGCCCGGGCGTCTACCCGAACGTGTTTTTTCCGCGCACAGTCATGACGGCCTCTGACGTGGCGCCCGGCGGCGTGTTTATGGGGGAGCGGTCGAAAGGCACTGACTGTTGCGGGGACCTTACAGCGTTATTTTCATTACGCTTTGCGTACCGAAAGATTCAAAGATCCCGGCTATCCCTGAGTCATCGTACTATCTAGAAAATTATTCGCCGTTTCGCTTTCTGTGATTTAGGCCCGTCGTTCGCACGGGTAAAAGTCATTGATACGCGTAATTATACGCACGTGCGGATTGGCCGGGGTGCTGGCACGCTACGGTACGGCACCCTATGCCCTGAACATTAAAATCTACGTGCCCCAATCATCGGTGTGTGTTCACTTTAATCAATCGGCTTAAAATGTGTACGGATTTTTAATAAAATAATAATAGTTCTTTGACAACACAATCGACGGTATTTGTCTGCTAAGTAAACGGATTATCAATAATTCGCTTAAGACGGTTCAACATTTCATTTATTATTCTGCGTTACAGACGTGGTTTTATTTTGAAAATATTCCGGATTTCTTTTCATATTCGTTTTGAATGTTAAAATTCGTTAAAACACCAACAGTTGTAATTTATTTCGTAGTTAAAATACAGTATGGGCGTACAATTTTCAATTTGTCAAAACATACTGAACCGAACTTGTTTCAGAGTCGTTTTTCGTTACGTAAAGATATAAAAAAAAAAAAAAAAAAAAAAAAACACTAAATTACCCTAAATGGACGTCTTGCGTTCCCGACTGACAATTATTATTAGCGACTCACTCGTGGTACGAAGTACAAGTACGTCGCCTTTTTTAAATTTGTTTTACTATTATCATTCGCCCCAATAACTGTTGATATTTGCCCCGCAATTACGTAGGATCCCGTACTCTTTTTTTTTTTTTTTTACCAGTCCGCGCCCGATTCTATACGCGTATATTTTAATAATATGCACTTTTAGCAGAATAGTTTTTGTGCAAGATTTTCGCACGGGACGGCTATAATAATAGTAATGCGTTTATTTTTTTTTTTTTATTTTCCGTTTAGACGCCGTCGTTCGTGTAATAGTATTATTATAATATTGTAATAGGTACTCGCGCCAAATGGCCCAACCTCCCCGGCAGCCACACACCGCTCCCCCGCCCCCACCGGACGGATTTAAAACGAGAATGCACTCCGATCCAAGTTCACGAATAATGTTCATCCGTCCGATTAGTTTTTTTTTTTTTTTTTTATCAGATTCTAATACAGTACGCCATATTTGTAGCCCGTATATATTATAATAGCCAACAATATTATTATTAGGTCGTCCTTTAAAATACTGGTTTCCACACGTCTACGGTTATTTTTTTCGTCTCGTAATATGTTTTGACAAACTGGTGCACTCAAGACATTTTACACGCTCTACGGTCGGTTTTTCAACGTTGCGTTTCACGGATTGTTATAATATACGGACCGTGGACCGTATAGTCTTTAAAAAACCGTACGCCAACAATCGAGCTACAATAATATTTATGCGTGTACACTGTGTAGCGTATACCTTTGATTGATTATAGCCGATTTATCGTTCGCCACTACAGCCAGCCATCGTCATCGTCGTAACGCAACGGTTTAAATTACGGAGAACGAGTTAAAATACAGGGTGATCTTTATTTGATCGCGATCCAGCGATTTCAAACGGGTGAATATACGATTTTTGCCTATTTTTCAAACATTATTTTAACACTTTTTTATATTCGGATGTTTACACATGCCCTACTCCTTATATATATATATATATATTTATATAAAACGAGCATTCATTTTTGATTTTCAAATAGGTAGCGTATTGTATTCCACTGATTTCGACACAGATTCAGAAAAAAAAAAAAGAATGGACATACTTAGCACGTGGACGCAGCCACTGTTGTAGGTGAAAAGTTGGAAAGGTAGGATACAGACGGTAATTTGACGTATATCTGGAAGCAACGATAATCAATTGCCAATGAAAAGACGATTCTGAGCTCATTCAGTCGATAGTGTTGCTTTGTCAACAATATATATGTTATATTATGGTAAAATGATTACAATAATGTGCGTTTCTATGGCAATACCGATTGTTTTTAATGTATTTAATAAAATTTTAAAATAATAAAAACTTAATAACAACATAAAATAAATAAAAACGATTGCCAACGACAACCTTATTTTCAATCTTTCAATCCTTTCTAACTTAAAGAACCGATTTTTTCTAATTGTATCGAATATTAATGAAAATTTCAAAGAAATGACCTCTTTAAAGTAACACCCAGAGAAAATTTTCTTTCAAAAAAGGTGCTATACTTGATAACCGGAGTATGCTTTCTGGTAGAAAAAGTGTTCATATAAAAAAAAAAAAAAGAAATGTAAAACCTTTGTAAAACCAATACATTGAAAAACCTGCGAAATTCAATGTTTACCTCGAAATCTTTGTGTAGACCGTATAGATGATCGCAGAACCGCGATGGAAAATAATAATAATATTACTAACAGAAATCACCCTGTAGATAATTTGTGTACCCGTTTGAATAGTGCATTGCCGACGTCATACGAACGAGTCGTTATGTCGTTGCGCATACAGCTAATTAATATGTAGATGCGGGCAAATCGATATAATAGTATTATCGGAAAACGAGTGCACAAACACAATTATACACATCACAATCAAAACAATAAAAACAATTCCCGGTATCTGTGTATCTCGGTAAGTATAATATTATTTTTTTTTGTAATTTTTTTTATGTTTTTCCCCTACCCCGTGAAACAATCGATCGATTTGAATTCGTTTACAATGCATAATGCAAAGTGAGTATTGTACGATCTCATTACGCATGCATAATATATCGTTGCGATTGTACGATTAATTTATCGCGTTACGTTAATAAAATTGTCCGTTACTCATTAAGCAAGTATAATACTGTGTAGGCATCTCCGTCGGCAGTACAGTACTATCGTTGCAACGCACATGGGTGCACCTAATAATATAATATAATAATGGGTATTGATAAAACGATAATTTATTAGCGAATTGAACCGTGGAATAACAATCTCGTGAGCTGTTATTGTAAACGATTGAACATTTCTCGGATAAAACTATGTGCCGCTGTCACGATTCGGAAATAATAATCGGAGGGCCGGGGGCGTCGTCGTTCGGGTAGGGCACACGTGTGCCCAACCCTACATAATACGATTTCTAAAAAAAAAAAAAAATCAAAAAAAAATCAATAACAATCCGACCGTGACCCACGGAAACATCGAAAATCACACAACACCTTAACGAATAATTGAATCCAAGAGGTCATGCGCGTCCCTGGAGGAGACGTGTGTGTGTGGGGGGGGGGGGGGCACAAGTATCTATGATTTTGTTTCGTGTTCGTATCCACCGAAATAACACGAATATTTAATACGCTTGAATGGTCGGTACGAGGTTTCTAGACTGTTGGTATAAAAACGAAATCCGAAAAATTTAAAACAACGATAATTCCTTTAAAATTTTAACACCGCGGCGGCGCTTGGTAAATATTTGTCCGTTATTCCTTTGCGTTTTCCCAATTCAAATTTTGAATTTCACCGATCTTCTTTATTTGAAAAGGGCCTCAAAGTAAGCGCAGCGCGCAGTCTTTGTTTCTCTAAATCGGGCCCCGGTTGTTACGACGGCGTTATAACCGAACGAAACAATATCATACCTATATACACCTAACCTTACAGCAGCGATATGGCTTTTAACCAACATTTTACGCCCGCGAATTCCATTTGAATTATTTTGCACTTGGACTCGGCCAATAACATACGAATATAACGCGCGTTTAAAAACTCGTGCATGCGGCCTCTGCTTTGTATTAAGTAAGTTTTTTCGCGTGCGTTATTATTAGATTTGTGTATATTAATTATTCTCCTCGGGGCGCGAACGGACCATCTGGGAAACGTTTATTAACGTGAACCGTTATTATTCGTTGAACATTATTATTATACGCAAGGCCGTATCCGGGGAAAATCTAGTGCGTTTCAACGAGTAAAAAATTTGTAACAAAAAAAAAAACAAAATGCAACAAATTTTGCAGGTTGACGAAGTTTCATTATGATCAGAGACAATATAATATTGTGTAATATTTAATGTACGATATATACGGGGGAACCAAATTAAATTACCATTATTTTTGTTACAATCGTAATTCGGGCTACTGCGAATTTAACGCGTTACAAAAACATCCGTCAATTATGTATTGCAATTGTGTCAAGGATGTTTCTTTTAAGAGTTTCAACTTTCGACCCCTGTTCCCCCAGCATCTCAATGTTAAACCCGCCCGATTGTTCGGAAGTAGTATGAAGTTGTAGTAGGTATAGTGTAGTTCATATTATAGTATTGGGTCATGTATTGTTTTACACGAAATATTTCTATAGTTAAAAATAGGCGGGGGGGAGGGGTGCATCGTACTGTACGCAGTGACCGAGCTCTGCTGCACACAAATATTTTTTATTTTTTTATTTTTTTTTTTTTAAATCGTGATTGTTTTTCGGGAATTGATTTTCTTTTTAAAAAGCAATTTTTAGTGCATCTACACGTCGCAGCCCTATTCGTAATATAGCGTTAATCTTAAAAATAATAAACAATTCCGTGAATCGGCCCACGAACTTGTAATAAAGGTTGTTGGACCCCACACAGACCACATAACCTAACCTACAATCGATCCGGAGAAAATGTCGGTGACTTCCATTATTCTCCACTGGCTACGAACTAAAAGATACTTTCGGGGCATACTTTAGCCATAGAGATGATTATTATACAAACACCAACACGATATCAACAATATACCGGTTGGTTGCGGACAGATTTAGACAATCATTCTGAGAAAACGTCTTATGCTCATAATATTATAAAACGCGACCAAACGTAATAAAAATCTAAGTAAAACGAAATCTTTGTTTCCAGTCCCGTTTTATTACGTAGATATATTGTACACTCGACCATACGCGTCATGTTTATAGTTTCGACGCTCTTCGAACCGCTCACGCGTACCTATTTAGACAATACATTAATAAACATCGCTTTCGTGTGAAAACCGATGGTAAACCGTGCAGATAATAATAACCCTACTTGTGTTATTAAACAGCATTAGTGATTTTGTATAGCGACCCAGATCATAATTATTATTGTGTGTTGTTCTATAGCTGACAGATAGCTTTTGATTATGAACACAAAAACTACACGTGTAATGAAATCTATACCGATGTTTTGTCTAAATAACCAACTTCGACACGATGACAATCATGAACAGTACAGAAAGATAATCTCTTGATCGGGTATTTACAATCGGAAGAGTCTTTGCAGACTCTTTGTACAAATATAAGCTATGGAAAATATACTTAAAAACAAAAATGGGAAATAAAACTTGATTTCACAGCACCGTTTAGTAAAATGAAGCCAATATTTATGTGGCCAAAAATCACATTTTAAAAACGTAAAAAATCCTATATTTGATTGGTAATCCATTTTTATGGGAATATTTTGTGAATAAATTTGAAATTTGAAATCAATTGAACGATTATCAAGTGATATAGAGTGATTTTATTAGCAATGTTTACATAGTTATTGAATGATACCAATTTTTCAAATCCAAATGGATTTTTTGCATTCTAAAAATGGGACTTTTGGCCAGCTAAATATTAGTTTCATCCTACTGTGCGCCGTTGTCTGCAACAGAATAGCCAAAAACAACCGTCTACATTTTTCTTAGCTTTTTCAACCACGACTGTTTTACGGATCAGTGTATAAGTGAATTGGTTGCGAGCTGCTCAACGAAGACCATGCACTAGTAGAATGCCGTCCCACAGCCGGTGACCTGTAGTGGTGTGCCGAGCACGACCAGATACGGATTCTGTAGTACAAATGGCGAAATATAATAATCACCATTTGCTTTATTACACTGGTTTGGTTAAGACGTGTGTTTTGTGTACCAAGTTTACGTTTTATAAAATTAAAATCATTTGGAGTACTCAAATCAAAACAAAAAAATCTAATTTAACTACTACTTTTAGACGAGATAAATGAAGAAGTTTCTATCGGACATGTATTAAACAATAGCACACACAAATACACACACAATTTGATACCAATGAATCTTCTTCCAGTGAAAAATAAGCATTTGATAACTTTTTTTAATAAACGATGGAAAATGTATAAGTTTTACAATTGGTTTTTTTTTCTTTCTACCAGAAAGCTTACTCCGATTATCAACTAAAGTACCTATCCTGAAAGGAAATGTTCCCTGGGTGGTACTATGCGAATTCTCGTTAATATTCGAGATAATTTGGAAAACCTCGGTCTTTGGGTTTAAAAAGGTTAAAAGATTAAAAATAAAGTTGTCACTAGCAACCGTTTTTGTTTATTTTGGGTTACTATTAAGTTTTTATTATTTTAATCTTTTTTAAACAATCATTGTTGTCATGGAAACTCACATTGTTGTAATCATTTTACCATAATATAACATAATTCCATATATGGTATTGTTGACAGAGCTACATTATCAACTGAAATCGGCTCAGAATCGTTTTTTCGTTAGCAATGGTTTATCGTTGCTTACGGATATACATTAAATTCCTGTCTGTATCTTACCTCCCCAACTTCCTACCAACAATAGTGTCAGCACCCACGTTTGAAGTATATCCGTCTTTTTTGTATGGTTTGTTTCCTACCAGAAATATTTTACCAATTGAAAAACTAAAAGAGACCTTTTTTGTTGCATTTTTAATATAGCAGTAGTAAAAAGGACGAGTTTTAATTTTCCGTGTAGTTTTCTTAATACTTAATTGACCATAACAAGAAAGAAACGTACGAAGAACGGGAAAGTTTACGGAATTACGGTTTCATTACTTTCACTCATGTTTTTTTTATTAATTCAGTTAAAAATATCCGTAGTCTTGACACTTTAACTTATATTATTCTTTTCTAGACGTGGTAAAATTTTAAAAATATTCTGAAAATATTTTTGAGAATAATAATGTTTTTTTTTAGAATTAGGACCATTACTGTCAATTACTAATAATTAACAAAGTTATCAAAGGTATATTAGCATAATTAAATGTTTTTTATAAATATGTTCAAACAATTTTTCTGCCGTTGTAAATAGTATGTAACCATGAGTATTAGACACCTATTACAACCGTGATAATAACAGGAATAACAATGTATACAGGCAGCAATGTTATATTTTATGTAATACATCTATAATTATACAAAAACGCAAATAAGTTATTTAACCAAAATTTAAACACCATAATTGCAAGGGATACCCATTTATTTTACAAGTCTCGGTTTTCTTTTAACTTTCCGATTCGAGCACCAATGTCTATATTATATAACTTATCTTTTATTTTATATTGGTCGGATGTCGATTTTACCTAGAACAATTTCTCATTTGAAAAGTACCAACAAATATTTTATTTAAAAAAGGTTCTAATACGTTTGATACTCTATAAGTCGCATTGGGGAATGGTACTTATGTAAATGAAACATATTGTTTTTATCAGGTGAGTATTTATCTATACTGTTCTCTCTTGAACTAAAACTATACAATTTAGGTAGTTTTTAATAATTCAATTTTGTTTATTTACTTGTTTCTAATATATATTATAGACTACAGATAATAATTTAAATTAAAAGTGAATGATCGTAGTACGAGACAAATTTAAAAACCATTTATGTGTTCATATATTTAATTGTTTGAAGTCATTACTGACTTAGATTATAATTATTTTAATATTGAATTCACTTAAAATTGTAAACTTTACATATTATATTCATTATTCTTCAAAAATATAAATACCTACCTAAATAAAGTGAAATAATATTATTAAAAAAAACTGTAGGATATTAATATTTAAGTACATACCTATCAATTTTAAAAAAAAAATACAATACCTATGTACCATAAACAAAAATAGATAAGTAGGTAATTTATTATTCTTGTAATTCACTTTTTTTTCTCCTCGTTTATGTATAAATAAAGACGTGTTGTATAAAATATATTATTGCTATCTGTATACATTGTTATTCTTATTATTATCACGGTTATAGTAGGTATCTATACTCATGATTACATGCTATTTACAACAGCAGAAAAATTGTTTGAACATATTTATAAAAAACATTTAATTATGCTAATATACCTTTGATCAATTTGTTAATTATTAATAATTGCCAGAAATGGTCCTAATTTTAACAAAACATTAAAACAAATAATAAATCAAGAATTATTAAACCTTACTAAGTATTATTTAATAGATATTGGTACCATACTACAGGTGCATTGTAAATATTTAGTCAAGTCTTCTTTTTTGTTCAATAATTGAATATTGAAATACTAGATGAAATGTGTCAATTAACATATTATTCCTAATAGGCTATCAATTATTGTATTTATTAATTTATTAATTTTAAAACTTTATTAATACTATAAAAAGAATGAAGAAATGGAGTATGGAGTTACTATTACATATTATATTTTATATTTATTACATTCTATATTATATAAAGTATTTTGCTTTAAGTAACTAGATGATAGTGCTTTCATAAAAGTAATGCTGCTCAAAGCCTTCTGCTCTTTTAAGACACTATACGAACTTCCACAATATTTCTTTATTTGATCAGGTCCCTCGCTGTTTTCTTCAATTACATCAGTGATTTTCAAGCTTTTTTGATTTATTAAAACTAGGATTATTATTCTAGAACAAATCAATGAGAAATAACATATTGTTGAAGGTTTACAAATAAAAAATAGTGACAGTACAGTTGGAGGATACTCCTATTTTGACTAAAAGAACGTTCCATTTCAATAGGTGTGATAGGGGCGTAATTTATATTTACTATATAAGAACATAAATGTCATTTAGATAACATAGAGCCGTTGTCAAAAATTACTAATCTTATGGTTTTATACAAAGCAGATGAAGTTTAAAAATGTTTGTTACTCGGGCTGGTAGAGAAATTGATGTAGGTACACTAGCAAAAGGTAAGTATATCCAAGAATTCTGAAATAAATCAGCATTTTCAAAATAATTAAACAGTCAATACCTATTACACCTAGAACTCAAAACACAAATACACATAGGTAGAAAAGCAAATATTAACACAATATGTTTTCACAGACATCTATAGCTCTAATACATTTATGTATTTATATTACAGTTTACATAGGTTTGGTTACACTTAATTATATTTGTTTCAATAGAAAATAAAATATAGCTAAATAAGAGAAGTTCACTTTGTAATGACTACATTGACAAACACATACATTGATAAATTTAAATTAAAAATTGTATTGGTTAGGTTGAAGCGTCATACGGTTCTCTCTTTTGCCATTGCAGAGCCCCTTTTTTTGACGATTGAAGCCAACTCTCATTGAGCCCCTACAAAATTGGTTCCATTATCACTGTGTATTACTGAACTTGCCTTGGAATCACCTCAGGCATGCCATGAAGGCGTTACTTGTCATATCCTCGACAATTTCCAGGTGCACTGCTTTTGTTGCGAAGCAAATTAATACACTTTTCCATGCCTTATTTCCTGTAATGCGACAAATTCCACTTCTAATAAAGGGACCAGCGAAATCTACGCCGATCATAGAAAATGGTCTTGACATTGGGACTCTATCTTTAGTAAGTTGCCCCATGAGAAGTGTAGTAAACTTAGGACTAGCTCGTACACATTTTACGCACTTTCCCACTACTGCTCGTGCCGTCATGCTTCCCAGGAATGGCCAGTAACAACGTCTGACACAAGTTGTGGCAGCAAGCTTATTAATCTTATTTAAATATGTAGGTAGCTAATTGATAACCAAACAAATAATAATAAATATGGATGACAAACAAATTGATATTTTAGTTAGATATAATTTTTAAAGTTGTTCAAACCACGTTTCATTCTATGAAATAGCTAGGCAGTTAAAGTATAGTAAATAAGTTTTCCTATAGATAAATTATTCAACTTATAGGTAATACATAACAAATTACTTTATAAAATATCATTAAACTCTCTAATATAACATATATAAGTATAAGAACCCCAACAAAAGACTAAATCAAATTAAAAGACGTATTATAAATTACTTAACTTTAATCATTTATTAAATTTAAAATTATAAAAAAAAATATATATTTTATAAAATAATACTAATCAAAATGTGTAATAATATTAATAGGTAACTAAATTATAAAAAAAAAATCAATGTGATGTGATGTAATACCTAATTTGGACAATAGAAACCAAATATTTTAAATAACTGTACATTTTTTTTTTATTAATACCATAATTTTCTGTTTAACAAACTATAAATATTAAAACAGTCGCTCTCTTAATAATTATCACTAATCATTTTAAATTTAATTATTAACAAAATAAATGAGATTTAAAAACAAAATATACATATAAAATGTCTATAATTTATACTAAGACATTTCATTGAACTCTTTACGCCCGCCTAAACTAGCAGATTTGACTGGCAATTTTGACATTAATATATTTTGTGATGGTACAGTTATTATAGACCATCAATATTTATAAATATAAGTTTTTATATATTGGTTCCGTTCAAATGGCATTTATGGTATTCTAAACTACTAATTAGGTACATACGTTGTCAAAAAAATTATCATTGATAAATACACTATGTTATACATTCAAATAAATCATTGTGAGTATTGTGACAGTGTTGAAAAAATGAAGTCATAATATTTTCAAAATAACCTAATAAATAAAAATTACATTATATAATTACATATTTTTTTAGAGTAACTAAAATATTCAATTTAATAATAAATAATACAAAATATCTCAATTGTATGTTTAAATGAAAAATGTACTTGTTTAAAACTTAATAAATGAAAATCATTTAACTCGATGTTAATCACGCTGGAGAGAAATACACTATTTTTTTTATATTAATCACAGTGCAATCAATTTAATTGCACTTTTAGACAAATTACCATTTTAAGTTATAATTAGTATAAAACAATTGCAAAATAAAATTTTAAGTTATTATGTAAGTGTTGATTCAGTCATAGCAAAACTAACTACGAGTTAAAAACTTAATTACGACTTGATTATCTACTTGTTTGTTTTGTAAAAACTTAAACATTTTTTTAAGACAATTTGCAATGTTTTTAGGTAGATTTGTTTTAATAGTTTTATAAAACAAGATAAATTTTAGATAAATCTCAAAACCTCAATATTTAAATTAATGATATTGAAATTAAAAACCTACCCTTATTGTTTAATAAATTAAGAACTCTTAATTAACACTCTTCTTCGTCATCAAATGACAAAATCAATTTTCCAGTCCGTTTCTTTTTTTTCTTTTTATGTTTCTCTTCAGATTGTGGTGTACTTTTTGCTGGGCGTTTGAAGATTACACGTTTAGTCAAATCAGCCGGTTTACTGTTTTCTTCTAAAAAAAAAAATTCAAAATATTAAGTATGCATATTATCATTTTTAAAAATTAAATAATTGAATACCTTGTTCTTTGGCTAATTTATCTTTTAATGCTTCTTCCGATGTTAAATCCCCTTCATTTAAAACGACCACAGTAGGATTATCATCGTCATATGATTCGTCGTCTTCAAAAGTAGGAAGTTCACATTTCTGAAATGAGAAACAAATATAATCGATAACTGAATTTATAAAAATATATATATATATCAAAATATTAGATGTGAAAGTACTTAACATCCATAAACTAATTTTAATTTAACAGTCTCAATATTTCAATAATTCGATTACGACCTAAACAACTAAACAGATGAACATAGGGTTAACTATTATGTGCCGGATACCTATGCTTAACAACAATATCTATGCTAAACAAATTATCTATAGCGATTCAATTTTACATACCTAACTATTTATATTGGACTCTAATTGGTATTCGGTACTTGCCTACGATTGTTAAATTGTTAATATTGTTTTCACTTATGAAATGTTAAGAACAAACTATTGGAGTGCCCGTTACACAAACTTCGGTTAAATATATTATTCGTTCGTTAATTTAAATAATAATTCAACTCACTTTGGTATCGATTGTTGGGCCTTCCTTATAGTTAGCATCTTGTTTCAATTTTCTCAAAAACGACGGTTCTCGTGGTTTGATATATGAAATGTTGTTTCTCTTCGACATATTGAAAGAGATTATTAAAAACGGTAATGTAATGCACAATAACGTAGTATTTCAATATCAGAGCCAATAGACCACACACTTTACTGGACTTGCAATTCGTTATTTTTGTCCTTTGAACAAAATTAGATAAGCACGTTAATCAGTTAATCGCTATCGAGGAAACCAGCAGGTTGTTCCACTAGCAATGTATATTGATAAGAAAGCCTTACGGTTTATAAAATCCAAAATGTAAAACATTACCATTTAGGCGGTAGATAGGCAATAAACACGCGCAAATGCACGACGTGAAGACGTCAGTTGCAGGGTGTTAATGAAAATACCTGTTATTAAATTTATCGTCACACTGAAAATTAAATAATCACGTTGTTATTATTATTTATAACAACAACCATAATATTACGCAACTTACAAACTTGAATGTTTTTGTTGTTGCAAAACGACACTTTTGCGAAATCTGAAAATTGTTTTGGTGTAACGTGTGCGACACTCGCCCCACACACCCAAAATCCTCTTTTTGAGGAATAGAAAATATTTACTTGTTAGGAACGAGAAAACGAACTAGCTAATCTCTTTAATCCGGAAATCAGTTCCTTTTTAAAGGGAACCGTGGCGGATAGGCGTATTTTTGAATTTGTTTTATATGTATTCCATAATATGCTATTGTTCTTTAGACTAATTGTTGTTATCAAGTTGTAATTTATTACATTGTCTCGTTAATAATTTTTTTTTAATGAGTAATATTAGTTTTAGTTTATTTTGAGTGGTCAAAGCTATCGCGCGTTCGTTCGCCTTATATATAACTTGCCGGTCTATAAGGTAATTTTTATACGTGTATTATTTTTGTTTTAGCATTATGTCGTTTGAGTGTACCTCAAACTCTACAACGATTGATGACCTCGACGCAACATAAGAAAATTAAATTTCACGATTTCGTTGTGCGAAAAAAACACCCGAGATTTACGTGAACACCAATAATACATTTTCGGTATGATTCGCGTAGAACTTGAAGAACTTGATTTATTTATTATATCTATTAGATATACCATGCATCTAATATTAATAGTATTCTTGAACAAAATACAACCTGAACGCCACAGATATATGCACTGAGTAACAGCATTCCGCTATGTATCACCCATCAGTTAGATTGAGACAATAAATACGTGAATTATATATATTTATATGATGTTTATGTATGAATACGGATTGATTTTTATGCCAATTTTTGAATGTAGCTGTTAAAAATAATTATCATAATTTAATTAATTTAATAACTTATATGTGTATTATTGATGATTTGTATTTGGTAGTTGTAATAGCGGTAATGACGAAAAAAATACATTTAAAAATTATTATCATTGATAATTGAGTTGACTAACAAATTAATCCTGACTTTTATTGATATTGTATTTTTTGAAAATCCAAAATTACTGTCTCGGTTACGATATGCTGGCTATTGTTACTGTTTTAATATGATATGGTTGATAACAACGAGAAATAGTTTTATAATACTAATAATAGTTATATATGCATATAAGTACATGTAGGTAACAAATAAAATGTCATGTTTAAAAAATGAAAACCATTAATAATTAATGAAAAGATCGTAACATTTTGGTTCAAAAGAGTAAATAACTAAGTATGTACATTGATCTAGGAAATTAAAATCCTGACTAATTCAACTGATGTCTGATGCAGGTAACATTTTACAGGAACGTAATAATTATCATTATATTTTACTGTTGATAGGTAGGTAGGTAGGAAGGTAGGTTAAATAATGGGTTATCTCAACGAATTATTTATTTCTATTGGTCACAGCGGCGTAATTAAAAGAGGAACGATGGGCGGATCGCCCCCTTGCCCTTGGCATTTTTTAGTGGCGAGGTTTTATTGATGGCTACAGCCTAAAAGTTAATAAACTAATAATAGTGCTTACATTCGTGGTGTATTACAATTTTTAAACCCCCTCTACTCTCTAATTGATCTCCAGCTCCGCCGCTGATTGTTCATACCACGAATTTAGGTAGATAGATAACGAACTATGTATTCGGCGCGGTACAATTATTCGAAAATTATTAGAATCGTTTTATTAACGCGATCCATACCTGTTAGTATACTGTACACGAAATAAAAGTCTATACATACAAAACAAATTAGTGTTTATTTTCGATTAATTTCTTTCATTCACCTTCTTCACTTCGTACGAGACCGAAGTCTCCAGACTAATCGATTTTACATTTTAATATATTAATACCTACTACCTACCTATTTATTTAGTAATCAAATATTACATGATTTTAATTTTATTGAAAATTATTTTCTAATTGTCTAGGTACTCATTGTATTGTTTTTAATTTGTGATGGTATTATTTTGATTGAATGAGTTCTGTATTAACGACTATAATGCAGCCATATAATATTATTTTTTTTGGTTTTGGTTTATCTTAGTTTGGGGTGTCGATTTGTTACTATTTTCTTTAAATCTAAAAACCAGAATTCAATCATTTTGATTTTACATTTCAGTTAAAGGAAACATTAACTATGGTGTCCTGCGACCAGTTACCAAACAGTTTACAAATAACAAATCTAAACTGCCAATCTACCAATCATTTGGACGTGTTATCAGAAATAAAAAATACCTATGAATCTATTTTCGCGTGGGACATATATGAAAAAGTAGAAAAACTAAGAAACAGTCCGACAGAGATATTGAGTAAAGTAACAGAAAAAGAAGGTCTTATATTTGAAAATAATAACAAGTTTAATTTCGATAGGTAGGAGGTATAATGCTTATTAAAATTGTATAATGCCATTTAATTAATTGACTTTTTTACTTCTAGTATGTACCTATGTCTAATAAGATGTTACGAAACATTTTTAAATGGTGATTTTTCCCAAGCTTTATCTCAAATCAATGACTTAGTTCAAATCCTGAAATGTACTAAAATGGATACATTTTTCCAACCGATTTTAAATGCCTGTTTTCATGTAATATATGCAACCAAAGCATATATAATGGCTTTTTTAAATGAAAATACTCAGCAGGTTAACAGTATATTAATAAGTATAATCATAGTTAAAAATATATCTGTATTTACAACCCAATTGCCTACCGATAATTCTATTTGAAGAAATTAAAATTAAGTATAAGCAAATAAACAACTTTATAAAATAGTATAATATTATATTCTTATTTTTAAATTATTATATTTTTGATTAAATGTACAATTTGTATAATATCAAAAATCGCCTAATTATAATATTTTATTTCAGATACTCAAAGATATAAAACCATGCTTAAGTTTCAATAGTGTAGAGAAAGCAGCGGTCTATGCTATCAAATCTAAAGTATTTTTAGAATATCCATATAAAGGCAATAAAATTGCTTTAAGGTTAGCTGAGTTTGCCCGAGATTTCAATAGCACTGAAAATCATTGGATAATTATTTGGTTAATCGCCAAAGGACGTCAAAGAAGATTTGATCGTGATCGAACTCTACCATTTAGAGATGAATTAGAAGCTGCAAAAAAGTTATGTTCTTTTGAAGATAATCCTGAATTTTTATTAAGTGCATCAAATGTTTTCTTAGAAGCAGGTTTGGTACTTAAAATCCACAAAAAAAAAATATATTCAAATAATATAGAATCAAAGAAATATTTCAAATTAGCATCTAATCTAATACTGTAAGTATTTGACTTGAATATTGCTTGATAATATTACACGATGATTGATAAAAGTATTATTTTAATTTTATTTTGTACAGAATAGTATACAGACAAGCGAAAAATAATCCAAATAATATAAAGTTATTATACGATTGTCTTTGTTTATACACTAGTTTGCCAAGCAATTTTCGTCATGATTATGCAATAAGTGATATAGTTCATAAATTGAGAGAAAAAAATAATCACAGAATTAATGAAGTTCTGGGAAAATTCTTTCTGAAAATATTAAAAGTGCGTTAATACATTTTTATGTATAAAAAATATAAATTGTCTATAGTTACAACTTTATAAGTATAACTTGTATTTGTATTTATTTTACAAAAGATACGGACTTAATGCCAAACCAAATACACTTTTTGTAAAATAAACAAAAATTATAGTGTACAATTAAATACAAACATACAAAAAAAAATAATATATGCATTGATATTATTCCTCATTTTTGTTTGAAAAATTACTCTTATAATTAAAAGAATATCGAGAAAGAATGGTTGGAATTTGCTAAAGACATGCAGCGGTGGAGAGAATCATTAAGACCATAATTGGTTACAAAAATAGAGAGTGAAAAGGAACAGACAAGTGAGAAGAATGGAGAGGAACTCTAAGGGAAATCTTTGAGAGTAAGAAGTGCGAATTTGCCCGTTCAACAATTTGGCCATAAAGTCAAGGTTACTTGTGTGCCTACGATAAGCCAATGTTTCCAACTCAAGGAACTGGAGGATAGGTGTATGCGGTGGACACTTAATCTCAAAAACATAACTAACATAATTTAAACATTTTTGCTGAACACGCTCAAGCATAAGTAAGTTATTCACCTTCAGAGAGTCCTAAATGACAGATCCGTACTCTAAAATTGACCTGACAAGTGAATAATAAAGAGCCTTTAAAGGAGATTTTAGCATAAATTCTAAAGGAACACGCTTCATAAGTCCTAAAGTCTTGAGAGCTTTGTAGCATACCCGCTCCACGTCCATGTTAAGGCTGATAGTCAAACTGAATACGAAACAAAGATCAGTGACGGATTCCCGAAATGAATCAAAGGATAACCCATTTATGGAAAAGTTAAACTTCAACGGGAATAAAATAACTTTAAAGTTAATTTGAAATGGTAGTCTTCTTAATATTAAGTAATATTGTTAATTAAATTTTAAAAATAAATGTTAAAAAATATTGTTTGGTAATATTTCAAAAGTTTAATGCATTTTCACAAATTAAAAAGTTCTATTTTTATATTTTGGATCGTTTGAAAAAAAAAATCTTACTTTTATGATATCAATAAATATTTAATAATTTTGTAATAGGATATTTATGCGGTGTATATTTTGATACTTATTTATTTTTTATAGGATTATAATATGGCAAAACAATATTTCACTAGAGGATTTTTAGGTGGATCGTTTTCAAGTTCATTGCAGTTATTGAAAGTTGAATGTCTTTTAGATTCTGATAACAATTTCTCTATAGTACTATACTTGGACTTTTTATATGAATTGTATACTTGCCCAATGAGAAGACTTATTATTGTTAATCAAATATTATTGTATTATACTTATATAGAAGCTAATCCCAAAGCATTAATCAACTATTTAGATATCTATTTGAATCAAGACATTGATTATGTTCAAAAGAAGCAACAAATTATTGTGAGTTGTATTTTCGAAAATATATATTTTTTAATATAAATAACAACACATTTTATTTTACAATTACATATAAAATTGGATGTAATTACATTATATCCAATTATTTTTGTAGTAAAATATCAAAATGAAACTATGTATAACTATATACCTATTTAAGAATGATCTGATACTTCTGATGGGTGTGCCATTGTTGTAAGTGGGAAGTAATGAAAGTGGAATACATATAATTTGTTTATTTATATTTGTATGTAACGATTGATCATTGCTAATTAAAAACGGTTTTGACCTGAGCTTGTTTGAGCAATCCTTTAAAAGTAATTTTCTCTCTAATGTACCTACCACTCCAGTCGGATTTTCTTTTAGAAAAGTGCTATCATTGTAAATTGGAGCAAAATTTCTGATAGAAAAGTTGTCCACAGAAAAAAAAATAAATATCATTGTAAACCAATAAATTCCTCGCTCTGCTCAAAAACTAAAAGGAGCGTTTTAATAACTCAAAAGTCACGAAAATGTTTTTTCTGTGCCAATAAAAAGTTGAAATGTAAATATTTTATGACAATTATAGATTTTTACGATTATTTTCAATAGAAATATGACAAAAATAAAAAACTGTACATTATACCTATGTTTTTTCTGGGTTTTCCCAACTATAAAGCAAACTGCTTTGAAAATCAAAAAATGGTCTATTCAATGCACCATCTAGATCCAAAATTGGAGTAAAATTTCTGGTAGAAAAGTTCCATAGGATTACACACCATAGTAGAAACAATATAAAAATAATTTTAAACACCTAATAATTTACAGGAAAAATGTGGCATTTATTCAACAGTTAAATTTTAAAATTTTTTTTCTACAAGGTTTTTCAATCTAAATATCCATCTGTAATGTATTACACAATAATTAATAATATTGCATCTTATGAAAGCTTAAGATTATTTAAACTATTTTTAAAAAAATATTTAAAAATTCAATTTTTAATAATCGTGTTATTTTTTCAGGCAACATATCCTTTATACAATCTGAATCAACACTTTAAACCAAATACTTTTTTTCAAGTTCTCTCAGAAAAAATTCAAAAACTAAAAATATATCCTGAGTGGGATTTCGACAGAAATAAGTTAAAAAATGTTGTTTTAAAATTTGGCAGAACACGTTTTCCACAAAGATGTAAATATTTGTTTACATATTCAATATATTACTTATTATGTACTTATGAGCAATTTCATTGATAAAATATCTATTTATTATTAAAAATTGTATCTTATTAGGAAAATTAACAATTTTCTGAGGTAGTTGATTTTAAGTTGGTTGAATTTAAAAAAATAAAATTAAAATTTGAATATTATTTGTGTAGATAAAGAATTATTATTATTATTAAACATATAATCTATGTAATCGCTATACGATACGTCATAGAGAAATCATAGAATATATCTATGGTTTTACAAATAAAGGTGTTTACAAATATTTAGTAATGAAAACTAACATTGTTATACTTATAATAGTAGTTTTGGATATTAGGTTACTATTATCCAGATAATATGCAGGTTATCTGTTTCGAACATTCTTTTTTGAAAATAATATTGGGTTTGGAGTTTGGACGGTTTGGTTGATCTTACACATTTTAACAAATTATAGAACTTGTTCTAATTTATTATTTTAAAGTTTTAATTGCGTTTTCATTGATTATTTTCATTCCGTATATTTATTTTATTTCATTTAATGTATGCATATTTTTTTTTTCAGCTGAAATAAATGCAGAAAATAACTTAACGTGTGTAGTATGTTTCGATGACGATGCAGCTTCTATTATTACCAAGCCGTGTCATCATCGATGTATGTGTAATACCTGTTGGGATATTATAAAACATGAAAAACCATGTATATGTCCCATTTGTCGAAAAAAGGTTGTTTCTATATTAATTTGTTAATGCTGTTATAATTTCCGTTTAAATTTTAAATATATTTCTTTTTTTTTCTTCAACATGTTGTACTTATTTATACCTAAATAGTGACAGATTAAATTTAAAAATGTTTATTTTATTATCTAGGTGTATACAGGTAAATTAAAAATGTATGAAGGATAGGTACTGTTTAAAGCTAAATACATTATATGATAATATAATATATGAATATATATAATTTGTATATATTACATTAATTACATTATATACATTTTTTTTATTATGTAAATATTCAAAATCGAGAAAAATGTATAGTTCAAATTTCTATTTTTTTTTTTTTTTTACTCTCTTTTTTGGTCGGGTTTTTGGAATTCAACTATTCTCAAAGTATAGTGTTTTACTATTTTCCCTTTATTTAAATTAAAAAACGGAATATCTCGTCAACGAGTTGACGTAAATCAAAAATGAAATACTACTAAATATTATCCAAATGGTCTCAAACTTTGAGACTTTTTTTTCATTATATGGCACAAGATTGGCGGGTGTTCTGAAGGAATTTTCGAAATTGGAAAAATAAGGACAACCCTAAATTATATATATATTTAATTAAGATTTATAAATAGAAATTAGTGAGAACATTTTCAATATAAAAATTGTGCATCGTTTGAAAAAATATTTTATCTTAAAATTAGTAAGACTTGGTATAGGTATAATTAAAATTAAAGAACACAACGTAATCTAGAAATTAAAATTAAAATCAAATTAATTAGATATTAAGGAGAATTACGATTCTGAGCGGAGTTTAGTTACACATGTTTTGAAAGCATATTTATAATTTACAATATTTACAATTTTCGTCAAGATTTGAAATTAATATTCTTATAAAAAAAAAATTCTATGTCACACTCAATTTTTGTTTTGACCGGAAATCACGACTTATAATGAACATCTAATTAAATTGTATAGCATTTCTATTTGGTCTATATTGTATCCACAGAGTATAGGTACCTACCTATCAAATGAAAATTACGTAAAATCCTCGCCAAATTAAAATGTCTATAAATAACTCAAAAATAGTACAGATGTTTTGAAAATTCTACCACATCTAGAAAAGGCAAATATGAGTTTTTGTTCAAACTTCAAGTCTCTACAAATATTTAAAGTGAATCACAACATAAAAACAAAATTGAAAATAATAAAATCATTATTTCGTGAATTTTCTCGTTTTTCCAATTGTTATAAAAATCGAGTAAAAAAAATTATGACTTATAATTTTAGTAGTATTGAATAACTATTTATTTTTTTTTTTTTTTTCATAATGAATAAAAAGGTACCTATATTTTTTTCTGTTTTGCATGTTTCTAGTAATATAAGGATACAAGGAATTTATTTTTAAAAGTTAGTCTGAATATTTTTGATTTGACAAATTGTCATTTTTTTTTTTTTTTTCAAAAAGGTTGTAATTAAAATTGCCTAATCGCAACACCCCGAATACTGAATATTTGAACGACGTGGTGTACAAATTGGTTATAAGAATACGTCCATTGCATAATTACGCGAAAATATAGATGGAAATCGATGTGCAAAGTGTATGACTGGAGACGTCATTCCGCCGGAGTTTGACAAACTCGTGCGCAGCAACACCGCGGGCAGGGGGTTGCAGGTTCGGGGACTTTGGCCGGTCAAATCCCAAATCGAACGCGTATGAGCGCGCGCGTGCTTAACGATCCGTATCGTATCGGGACGGCGTTGAAGACGAAATGTTACGCCCGACCGTGCCCGCGGCAATAAAATGAAATTGGTTCCCGGCAGAATAGTAAATCCCGTATGACATTCCGTATAATAGACGAATGTATCAGGTACACAGACCGGGCCGTGTCTTGGACAAATTTTCACGAGGTTTTTTTTCAATAACAACTCGCCGTCTTTAACGCACGGTCTTCGCGGTACCCCAGCTATATTCAAACGAGGTCACTCGTGACGGATGTCCCGCCGACAGCATCTCCGGCGGATATTCCCGCTTTGCGCGTGTATCGTCGACCAATCGGAGGGTACACCTCCTCCGGTACACCCCTCCGCCACCGAACGCGCCACTGATCCGGTACGGTTACTGATCCGTTAGATCCATCGTATTGCGATAACGAATTGTTCGTTGCCGCTAGGCAGCGGGCGGCCGCGACGATGACGGCGGATTGCGCACCACGCAGACTCCTCCGGACGGAGGTCGACCCACTCATCTCGCATCGACCCGCGCGCGTGCGAGCGCGCCGCGGCGGGACGACCCCGCAGGGCGGCGGTCCAGCGGCCAGAAAATATAATGTAACACGCATAGTTACCGTAACCGCCGCGCAGTCTCCCGACACACGTTCCTGTTGCGCGGCCGCTTCACCTGTTCGCGTTATAAAATCAATACCCTACTCGCGCATACCCGCCAATGGGATATATCGCAATAATAACCATACCCGATACTGCGGACGCGGACGCGGCCGAGCTCAGTAGGTCCAGGTCTCCGGCGAAATTCAGCGGTGCGCGCCGGCGTGCGCTACAGTCTGCGCGGTTCGCCGACCGAATACTGTCGTCACTGTCGCGGGGTTCTGTGACAATAATATTATCGCACTCGTGTTGGAACGCGCGGTAGCCGTCCATCCGGGTACGGCGCACTATGCACTGCGGTCGCGAAACGATACCGTCCGACGTCGCCACGACGGTAATGCCGATTCTCAACATCCAGGAAATAACCGATAAATTGCCGACCGACGCGTGAGTAACCCGCACATATTACCTATTATTCTATACGCCTCGATCAGATCGAATAATCCAAAACAAAAAACGCAATCGAAACAATACAATATATACGATTGTAGTGTACGCTAAAAAACGAACAAAGTTGATTGTGAGATAATTTAGTAGGTACAAACAGGTAGGCACTCGGATTCTATCACGCCCTGTAAATATGACGTACGCTATAATTATAATATTATACACGTTATATAGGTTTACGAGACCTTTAATTTGTAAATACGAACAGGTTCAAACATTTATTTGTTGAAACTGTTCAAGTTCGTTTCTCTGAAAAACAAATAGAATACAGGTTAAATTGTGTTTCTCTTTAGAATAGATTGTATACTAAGAGCTTTTATATTCAACTTCACTTGGTGTCTGGATTCTGGATGAATGAATGAATGGATCTTAAGGTCGAATCTTGTATTTGAAATAAGGTACTGGTGGTGGTACAGTCCTCGACTTGGGAGGACGCAGGGGGACGGAATCTACTAATTGTTTAGAAATGTTAGCGTAAACACATCTACTACTAGTTTTACGCGGGACGGAATTCATTTTAATTAAAATGTTAACTTTAAACGCGTATAAAACAATTACTAAATTATATATATATATATGCTCATCTTTTATTTTTCCGATTCGAGCATTATAATGAGAGTGATGTTGGTGATAATGTTAAGGAAGGGGTTACAACAAACTTCACACTAAAATCACTGTTGTTAATAGGATTAACTAATATTTAAAATTAATATCTATAGTTTTAAAATTCTGTTTGCAACATAACAAGTAGAAACTCATCATGCAAATTTTAAAAATGATTGTTCGTAATTTATAAACTGTAAAAATATATAAAATATAATAGTAATTAAAATTATGTACCTGCAGTACCTATAATAATACTGTGAATTACAAATTACAGATGGTCTTTCATTGGCAAAGTTATAAACAAGACAAAAGTGCAAAATTTGTCTGGTCGTAATGGAAAATATTTCTACTTCGAAGTTGTAGATACAACTTCGAAAATCAAGTGTTGGGTTTACAACGAAGAAATTCCGGCCTTTTATTCGCATTTGAAGGTGAACTCTATATTTATAAAATACGAACACTGCATTACATTTTTAAGAACAAAATTCTATTTTAGTTAAAAGTAGGAAATAATCGCTAATTCACCATTAAAACTAATTAAATATAATGAAAAACAACAAGTCAGCCAAAATATTATAGTGTACTACTTATACATGCAGACATCGTCATTATACGAATTATGTTTTGATATAGTACTAATTTTCAGATTAACAGTTTCTACAAGATTCAAAATGTCTGGGTGAAGAAGAAAACCAATGTACCTACAAACCTAACATACCAGCATACGTGCCATATTATTTTTCAAAACGAGACAGTAATGCATAAGATGGACGATTTGATTAGATCTTTAGAGATCGTGAATAAAGTTGAAACAGAAACAACAATTGGTAAACATATAACTTAAATTAATGTTAAAAATGAGTTGATATCTAAAACTGGTAATACCAAATTTACCAGAGCAAATTTGTTTTAGGTCCATTGGTATTTGGAATCATAACTATGATTGGAGATTTTCAAAATCTTAAATCGACGTTTGACAAGAAGATTCTTAAAGTCAGAGAGATAATAATTACAGACAAAAGCCGTACTAATGTGCGAACACTTAAATTTTAATATTTTAATATAATAAAATGTTGTTTATGAAATTATTATACACACTCCTCACAGTGATGGGTGTTGTTATAATTCTATAGATACATATTTAAGTTCTCTTTTATTTATGTATAAATTATATAGATTCAAATAAATATTTGGGACGAAGATTCTGTTCATTTCTTGGGCCAGGTCGGAGACGTTATACAGATCAAAAATGGAGTCAAGTTTAACGATATCGTTTCGATTTATAACTTCGAAATCAATTCTAAATCCCAGCAAACAAGATTGTTGAAAATTTGGTACGAAGATTACAAACATCGCTCTGTAACTTATAATGGCCCATGCAACGAAGAAGGTATATTTAAATATTATATATTTACATTATTTTTTTAATATGATAATAGCTCAGTTATTTTTAAAATTGATTTAAATATCAGAGTTTTAATATTAGCATGATACCCGAGAATGAACAAATTTCAGTGAACGTTTAGTGTTACATAAATTACAATAAATGGTTACAATATTATCTCCAACTATAGCGAATTATTACAATTATGTTTGAATTATTAATCTATAGGTTAAGATAATTTTGAATTTAATTCTTAAAATCATTACAAATTTGAAGAGAATAATTTTTTCGAAAAAAATATAAAGCCTTTTCCTATTGTCATAATTAAAATAGGGGTAATAATTTCTATTAAAAATATTGTTCAAAAAACTTACAACCATAAAATTTACCATGATAGATGTGTTTGAGCAGTGCAATTATGCTAGGAATAGGAGGCATCTATTGTTACCGTTGTATACGCATTTTATATCTATTAATATCTATTTAATAATTATTTTTTTTTTTTAGATTTATGTGCATGTGCAAGGATTTTTCAACTAACTCGACAGTTTAAAGGGACTTTGCGTTCTCTAAGTCTTGAAGATATTCACCGTCAAAGAATTTCGATTTCTAGGTGTTTACTTAAGCCATACGAAGAAATTCAACATTTGGATCAAGAAAAATTAAAATTGGACTTGAAAAAATTGGATCTAAAAATAATGAGCCAAATGACCAACGAAGAACTGGATACTCTATTACTTGTACGAGGACGAAATCGGCGTCTACAAAAACTCACCGAAGTCATTAAATCTCAAAATTTAAGTAAAGAGTGATTTAATTCACTTTAAAACAGTAGACATTTTTGTAACCATTTTGAAAGTTTAACCTTTATAACTTTTGTAACTTAAACATCATAGTCCAGATTAACTGGTTTAATGTTAAATAATATTTGACGTTACTCAATAGGAATTTGCTTACTCGGTATTATAGTGATCAACTCTCACAATTTCAATCTTTTGAAACATCGGTATACGAACAGAAAAATCTTTTAGATGAACCAATAAGTGATACCAATTAGATATGGGCGATGAACTTTTTTTAATTCGTTAATTTGTTTACTCGATACTGAACCACTTTAAAAACCACAAATACCTATAATTATAACATGTTAGGTATATCAATTTTGATACCTACCTATTTGACTATGGTTTATATTTTTTTCACGCTAGTTAATAACATTACCATTGTAATCATTGTAATTGCTATAATGGAATTTTATTTATAATCAGGGTGATTTATGTGGAACTGGAGAAACTGCACCCTTCCAGAAATTCTGAGAAATGAAATAATTTAAATAAAAGTAGGGCAGATTTTGGGGCATGTCATGGTCAATAGTATTTAATTTATTTTTTAAAAAAAAGCTATCAGGCTGAAAAATTTTTTTGGATACGCGCCTGTTTTGGAATTGTGATAAAACTTCCACCATACATTTATTTCTATTATAGGCACGTATTATGCAGTGCCACCCATTTCATATATCTTAATAACTAATCAAAAATCGTTATTTAACATTAATAACTCAAGAACACTTGACAAGTTTTTAGATACCTACAACCATATCATTGGAAAAACAAAAATATAAAATATATTGACTTAGGAAAAATTTTAATTAAATTAGTAGGTAGGTACGTCATAATATTAAATTTCGATGCATTGTACTTTTTGGTATCTATCCAATAAAAAATTATAACATTTCATCATATTATAATATAATTAATATTACTTATATCAATATCGAAAATATAATATTTTAAACATATATCGATTCAATAAAACATCAATAATATATTATAAATACTGGTACTTTTTTCAATTAGTGTACGTATAAAATATAAGGTTAGATTTACATCTAATCAACTTAAATGATAAAAAAAAAATTTAATTTGATCAACATTAGGTAGGGAAATAACTCATGTTCCAGCTGGATTCAACACTAAAAATTCATATCAAAATTATAGTTTCAAGGGCACTTATAGGGTAATTTTCACATAGGGAACAAAATTAAACTAGATTCCAAAACCTATTTATATATACTATGGTATACTAGGTTGCTAGGTTGTTATTTCTTGAAAAGAAATGAAGAAGAAAGGGTAAGCAAATTATATAAACATTAGCTTTAAAAAAACGACGACAATGACGGATGATGAAGCTTAATAGGCGAAATGATCTGCAGACAAGTCAATGTAAATTGAAATCAACAATTTTTCAAATCAAAATAAATGATATTTAGACCCAAAAGCCAAACAAAACTGTAGGACTTGTGGTTGACGGATTTCAATTTTGAAAAAAAGATTATGATTCCTTATGTTCTTTACTAGGATATTTTGGAATTATTTTAATTATAATTATCATAGATAAGAGACAAAATACTTTATGTACATTTTAAAAAATACAACTATTTTATTTTACGATATACAGTAAAATAATTAAATTTCCATTTCCAACATACCCTAGTAAAGAACCTAAAGATTTATTATCTGTTTTCAAAATTTAAATCCGTCAATCACGAGTCCTACAGTTTTGTTTGGATTTTAAGTCTAAATCGACTAAAATACACACCGTCACCAATTGCCTCAAGTGCATAAGACATTATAATATTCTACTGTTTATAGTTTACATTATACATTTGAATAGACAATTATAAGTAATATATAATTATAATATTAAATAACTAATATTTAATAAAAAATAATAAAGTATGCCGACCTCCAGTGGTAAGCTCAAAATTATTTATACTTGAAGCAAAACAAAAACTCCCACTTTAAACGTAGATTTTTATGTTCTATAAAAAAAAATTGTTAACAGCGAAAACCTTATTTTGCTAAATTTATTGACTACATTACATAATATAGGCTATACTATTCATATGTAAGTGTATATATTAATAATATGATACACAAAACTAAGAACATCTCAGAGTAACTGTTCGCTCTGTATTTAATTCAGCATTTAACATATCAATATTCATCATATTCGGCCATTTATGTCACCCATCCACCTACCCATTTTATTGTAATTGCCTTAAAAAAATCTACTTTAAAACGCCTCTGTGTTTATGTACTGACAAAGAAATTTATTCTTTCTGGTTTTTAATGTTTTGGAGTAAGTATATATTTAAGTAGATTAAGTAGGTGCCTAATTCATAAATGTCTACTCATGTTTAACAAATTATAACTATCTTAATTCATTTCAATTAATTTAATCATTTCTAAATAATATTATTATAAATCTCCAAAAACCCAATATTTTAGTTGTAGCTAATGTAGGTATTAAATTGACAGAGCATATTTAAATCCTAACTATATTACTAATAGGTATATATAAATATGTACTTTTCAATGGAAACTTGTATAATAATATTTTCAATGAAAAGGTAACGGGACAAGATGTCGTGAAAATATTAAAAACTCTCAATGAAGATACAGCAGCAGGTTTCGATAAAATAACTGTTAAATTATTTAAAAAAATAATTAATTCTATATTAGATCCACTTCTATAAAAAATTCACATGTATAATCTGAGTATTAAACACTATATATTACCTGATAAACTTAAAGTAGCTGTAGTAGTTCCATTTTTAAAGGTGGAAATTGGACATACATAAAAATTTTTAGACCTATATTGATGATTGGTAACTTTGCTAAAATATTAGAAAAAAAAAAAAACATATTAATGAAATATCTTGAATTTAACAAATTGCTTTCAAGCAATCAATTTGGTTTTAGACTTGGTCTAAGTACAGAAGACACACTATATAGAGTAACTAAGTTTATAAGTAATTCTTTAGATAAAAGAAAAAAAAATTTGCAATTTTTTTAGATTTGAAAAAAACATTTGACACAGTTAACCATACTGAATTAATAAAAATTCTCCCTAATTTTGGAAAAAAAAAAAACAAAAGTCTACTTTGATTTACTAATTACCTAAAAAATAGAATACAATTTGTTAATATTAATGGTATATTAAGTGAAAAAAAATGTTTCTCTTGTACAACTTGTGCAACTTATAATGTACCTTATATTAAATTTGTAAGCATTTCTGTTAAGTTTAATAATTTTATTCACCAAATACCTACTAAATAAAAATTAAGTACAAAACTGACAAAGTTAAAATATTTTATAAAAACCACTTATATATTATATATATTGCTTCATCTTCAAACAGGGTGGACTTAATTTTATTTTAATCCTGATTAAGTTATTATTCTTATTATTGTTTTTAATATACATAATATATATTAGTATAAACTATGAAAAATACTATGTAAAAATATTGATTTCTAAAAATGTTTTTTTTTTTTTATTATTATTCTTTAAACTTCACACATGCTAATTTTATTATTTACAGTTACAACTTTATAAGGTTAACTATTAAAATGTGTTTATAATATTTAACAGTAATATAAAAAGATAACGGTTTTTTATGTATACATTTATACTGATTTTATATTCTGAGTGGAACGAGTTTTACAATGGTGTTTATTTTTTTTTTATGTGAACACTTTTTCTACCAGAAAGCATACTCCGATAATCAAGTATAGCATCTTTTATGAAAAGAAATTTTCTCTGGGTAGTTCTTTAAAGAGGTCATTTTTTGAAATTCTCATTAATATTTGAGATAATGAGAAAAACCTCGGACTTTAAGTTGAAAAAGATTGAAAGATTAAAAATAAAGTTGTCATTGGCAACCGTTTTAATTTATTTTTTGCTATTATTAAGTTTTTATTATTTTAATCTATTTTAAACAATCATTGTTGTCATAGAAATGCACATTGTTTTATTCATTTTACCATAATATTACATAATATCATATATTGTATTGTTGACAAGGTAACAACTGAACTCGGCTTAGAATCGTTTTTCATTAGCAATGATTTATCGTTGCTTATAGATGTACATTCAATTCCCGTCTGCAGCCTACCTTCTCAACTTCACACCTACAAAAGTGGCTGCACCCACGTGCGAAGTATGTCCGTTCTTTTTTACCTAATTATTTTAATAATGTAGTTGTTAATGTGTTGTTAACATTAAAAAAGTAAAACCACCCTCAAAATAAAATCCTGGGCACACCCCTCTATTAAACTGTTATATAATGATACAAATAATATTCTTTAGTAAAATCCTAAATATCATTTATATTGGTTATTCACAGTCTCGTATATAGGTATTTATTTTAATTTACCTATATACCTATAAAAATATAGATAAAAAAAAAAACATCAAACATCATGAAAATAAATAAATAATATTTATTTAGTATAAAATCGTTAAATAATTATAACTATAAAGATTATTTATATAGCATGGTAATATATAAATTTAAAATTTTTAAATGTGACGAGAAATAATTCTTTTAAGACTCGTTGATCAATAATGTTTAGTATATGCCCGGATAGCTCAGTCGGTAGAGCATTAGGCTTTTAACCTAAGGGTCCAGGGTTCAAATCCCTGTTCGGGCGGCTAAAATTTTTTCATTTTTTTTTTCGAACATTTTTCTATTTTTTAATAAAGTTTAATTGTTATATTAATAATTTAAAGACTGCGTAAAATATATAAAACAAATTATTTTATTTGTTAAAAATAATTTCAACAGTAAATGTACAAACAAAACAATTTCAAAAACTTGAGAGAAGCAACCTTGTTCCGAGCTCCCAGGCGTTGACACGTTGTTAATACTATTATTATCATTATGCACTAGTTACATATTTAAACACTTATTAAGTAATTAAATAACAGTAGGTACACATTTACGAGAGAAAAAATATTAATATATTGTTATATTATGGACTACGTCGATAATAATAAATGATGTCGCGCTAATCGTCATATTGTGTAGGTTTTAGTATCAAATACGATTAATGATAATGATAACCATAGACATTGAAATTATGTCAAAATTACAAACTGCATGACCGATAGTTAGGTAATATTAATAATAAATGGTGAAATTATTATGGGAAAATCAATTGCCGCAAATAACGTATAACATGTAAATCACGTCAAATATAAATAATAAATAAACAAATATTGTACAAATAATTTTAAAGTCAATTGTTAAAATTGTTACTTTTATATTGATTTTTTTTTTATGTGATTTAGGTAAGTGAAATGTTGATGAAACCTAATTCCAATAGATTTATTGAAAAAGATTTAAAATCATTTAAAATCCTCTAATGGAAATTTTATTGATTATATAATATGATTTAATTAAAACTTTTTTTTAAGACAATAAAAGTATTCAATGTCGTCCATTTTAAATAAAAATAATTAAAAAGTGATTTAATAATTTAAAAGCAAATTTCATTATCTATATTTCATATTGTATATTTCGGATGATAACGATAGTGTTCTAATCAAGTGCGAAGACCATAGATAATGCATTATATATTATCTATAGAATAGACAGACCCATACAACAACTACAAAATATGCCCAAAATATTTTTCCCCTGAATTGCAAATGTGTGAAAGCACAAAGTTTTATAAGGTTTTATATTAGTTTATGTTAGTTTTAATTGTAGAACAGAAACTTCAACACAAATGTATTTCATTTATTTTTATCTTAATTTAAATTGATAATAACATCCTCGTTATCAATTGTAAAACCTAAACCTAAACCTCGGTACTAGACGGTAAAAAAAAACGGTTCATATCACTAATAGAATAAACGGTTCTTATCAGTACCTGACTACTTGAAATAAACGATACAGTTACCTTACTTTATAGATTAAGAATTTTTTACTGCTAACTGTAGCATTCATTCATTCAGGCATACTTAATCAATACTGCTGTTAAATCATATACAATGGATAGAGCCACAGCCCATAGATTACATATAATATCGATGATGTACGTCATATTAGCGACGAGTCACCGGGTGAGTAGCCTTTAGTGCGCATGCATTCCAGCGACCTGTCGTATATTTATCTCAAATTATCGACATGTATATTTTGTTCTTATCTATAATGTATTATAGGTACTTTATACAGATTTCAGTTTATTATCAATTCAATAAACTAAAGGTTTAATTCATTAAAATTTATATTATTATTATCAGTTATTTAATAATTATCGCATCATAGGGAAAAATATGCGACTAGTCGCTGGCACACATGCGCACAAAAGACCACTCACCTGGCGACTCATGTCGCTAACAAGTACATAAAAATATTGAACTGTGGCTTCGTCCATTGTGTATGATCTAAGATGCTGCTACTAACTGTGACTGGCGAATAACATCAATTTGATAAAATATGGAAATACAATATATTATATTATTATGTCCACATTAAATCATTAAACCCTAGGTCTATATTTTAAAATAGCCAATGTACCTATTTATCTATGTAAAAGTGAATATGCCATTCGTGGTGCTTTGCTCCACACATTCCTTCAGTAATATACAATAGTCGCAATAGGTAACAAAACAAACGAAAATTATTTTCTCAGTTTAAAGATGTTTATGGCGTAGTCACTGTTATTGGTGGAACGTTGGAAAAGTAGGATATAGACGGGAACTTAATGTATATCTGTAAGCGGCGATTGACTATTGTTAACGAAGAAACGATTCCGAACGATGTTCGGTTGATAGTGTTGCTTTGCCAACAATATAAATATCATATTATCGTTGCATAATGCATAATGCATTTAACATTTTCTTTAATAATATTTGTTGGTATCTATTTTCCCTTTCTCCCTTTCTAAATGTCCTCCCCAAAGTACCACCCCGGTCGGATTGCCTTACAAAAAAAGCGCTACACTTGTAAATCGGAGCAGTATTTTTGGTAGAAAAATTGTTCACTGATAAAAAAAAAATAAATAAACATCATAGTAAAACCATAAGCTTCTTCGCTCCGCTCGGAATCTAAAATGTATTAAAAGGTACCCAACTACAATTCTATCATATCGCATCATTATATACCTATATTATGGCAAGAAAAAAAAAAAGACTAAAAAATACGTTCTTATAGTGTATTACGGAATTCTACAATGAATTTTCGGTTTTTTTTTTTTTATAAATTCAACGACTCCGTGAATTGTAATATGTTTCGGTACCTTTACCCTAACTACCGTTTTTGGTATGTCGACCGTAGTGACAATTGAATACATCCGACGTGTATCGAGTGTACGGGTCTCCGCGGACGTGTGCCGCCGTTTTTAATCGAATCGCGGAACCGTGAAACACGTCCGTTTCAGTGTGCACACTGACGGCAGACGCGAAAACGTTAACGCGTTTATAAAAAAAAAACGTAGGCGCCGAACGGACGCCACGATCCGAGCCGTGCGAACGGCAATAACGGACAATCGACCGGCACAAGTCCGCGGACACATTACTCCCGATCGAGACCACCGTCGGTGTACACCGTACCGTTCGGCGTTTCGGTGCCTACCGCGGTTACCGACTACGGCGAATCCCGCGGGTTTCTGTGCCGGCACGCATATCGTTGCGTTTAACGGTCCCCTCGCGGTCGCCGTCACGTCAGAATACAGAAAAAAAAAAAAAACAGCGGCTCGGACGCACAATAACCGACTGGCGACCGAAATACTATAATAATGTTTTATTATTATAACTCATAATAATGTAGTCTCGCACGTCTGCTGCCTTGGTCGACGTGCGCCGTTCGGCAAGTCACGGCGCGATCATAATAACAATGGTACGACATTGTAGCCAATCGTGCGGCTGCAACTGCTACGTTTCCGCGCGGTAAACAAGACGGCCGGGGCTAGGTTAGGTATACATACGGTGGATATTTATGATTTTTTTTGTTATTCGTCCGATAAATATTTATTATTTATGAAAATATTACGTGTTTTTCCGGCGAGTCCGTAAGATAGCTATGAGAAGTGTACCTAACGGAAATCCGTTACGATTGCCGAAGGTTCAGAATACATTATTTTTATTTTGAAGTTTTTTAAAATTACTGCATATTTTAATAATTCGAATATCAATTCATTATGTTCGTTCGAAGTTATTTTATTTTTCGTTTAAAATAAATGTTAATGATAATTTAAAATAAGCAATTTTCTCGACATTTTCGGGATAGTGAAATTTAATCGACTGAAATACATTCAAATACATTTACAAAGTTATTGCACGTTTTATCACAAATATTTATTTTTTTTTTTTTTCTAAATTATACAATTATACAAAATATAATGGTACAATAAACATATGTAATGGATGATTTTTTTTTTTTTATATATTGTAGTAGCTTGAATGGCGAGAGGGAAGAACCGACCATGTGAAGGCATTTTATTGTTTGTCCATTTATTTTTTAATCGTGGTATTAACAAAAATGTTTACGGAAAACCGTTACGCGTAGGCAAAAACTACTCGGGCTATGGAACCAAATTTTCACTATATTATAAAACAGAGAATTATTTTACGGTACGACGTTGCTTTTAAGTTTTCAATATCACTAAAACGAAGTAAGTTATTCAAGTTAGAAAAACTTAAAACTATTAGATTTTTAAAATAATAATACCTTTTTATTTTTTAATCGTGATATCGATAAACTAAAATGAACGCCATTTGTTTTATTTATGGTGACAGTTTACTGCCCACGTAAAATCATTCTTAAAGTCAAATTACAGGGGAATGGCAAAAAACTTGCACTTAGGGTTTGTTAACACTCTTATATGCCGTATAATAGTTGTTCAAGTCTTGCCAACTCGAAATCTTAAAAAAAGAAAATAACTAACATGTTTTTCGATAGGAAGTTCGAGTATTTATTTACTTATATTATGAATGCTTTTTTTTTTAATATTTCTAAAAAATCAATACGTAATAATATTACAATATCGATGTACATTTTTGCATCTAAAAACCAAAAAAAAGAGCTGATACTGCTGATGAATGTATCAATGTACCTATTGTAGGTGGAAAGTTAGGATGATGAGATTAGAATACATAAAGTTCTTCAATTTATATTTGTATGCAATGATAAATCATTGCTAATAGCGCACGATTCTGAGCGAAGGTCGGTTGAACATGTTTTAAAATACCGTGATTTTTATGATTTTCGTAGAAATTCAAACTTAAAATACTTACAAAAAAATTTATTACGCATAGCGTTCAATTTTTTTTTTTTTTTAATAACCATCAAATTCAATGACGAACCACGTATTAAATTTTCAAACATTTTGGCTCAACAAATAAATGGGTGATCCACCGAAATATGTATCTCTTAAACATTTTGAGTCACCACGAAAGTATGCAACCTCCACTCAAGTGTGTGCACTTGGTCTATGCTTGAGCATAATATTATACCGACTCGAATAAAATTAGGTACTATAATAAATATAAACATTTAACATTTACGCAACATTTATTATACATATCACATTATATTAGACGCGCGTACAATATATTGGCGATGATGCAATAATAATATAATTATTACACATTATGATTTTGGTAAACTTAAAGTTATATAGGGCCTATTGACATGAATATTATATCTATTATTGATCTCCCTAGCCAATATTGTTATAATTCCTTATATTTTCGTATACAAAATGAATAAAAACATTTTTTTAATTTTTTTTTGTTTTTTTATACTAATTCATAAATTATTATCATTCGTAGAAAATATTAAGTATTTATATATTCTATGATTTCTCATTTACTATTACACATAACTTTAAACAAATATTGTAGATAACAATACATTTTACAAAAGCACCGACTGTACACTTGTATTTATAATATTGAGTTTTAGTACATTGTACACGTAATTAAATGATCCGGTAAGATAACATTTCTTAAAATTTGAGCATTATAATATATTATTCACTCGTACGATATTATACAAGTAGTATGAGAATAAATTAATTTGTTTAAAACGTTGGACATAATAATGTTTTATTAATTCAATTCAATGTTGGTAAAAATAAATAAAAAAAATAATAATAATAACAATAAAAATAATAATTTATACTTATTCTATAAAATATATTTATTACCAATTAATCTATGTAGTATATTATATTAAAATATACTCTGTTCGAATTAAGAATGGACCTATTATAGTCTTCAAATAACTCATCCGCGAGATAAAATCGGCCCATTATAATAATTATATATATATTGGTCAGGGTCAAAATCCCGACAGCGAAATCTCGACAGTTAAAATCACGACAATGTCTAAATCCACTGATCAGAATGACGCTAAAATTCTTTTAGTTATCTTGTGTTCCCACACAGAGTATTTGTTAGATCCAATATAATGTGAACGTGTACTCTAAGGTACAAAATTAATTCATACGGTATATCTGTCGGGGTTTTAACTGTCGGGAATTCTCTGCCTGAATTTTGACCACCCCCCTATACATTATAATTATAGTAGTCAATTCAAATAGAGTATACAGTTATAATTTATTTTATACATATAATATTGTATTAAATATATTGTTATAATATCACATAAATTAAAAAAAATAAAAAAATAAAAAATCGTGCGAATGTGTGTACCGTATATTTGAGTGTGCGTGTGTACAATTGACTACCAATATTTGAATGAGGCGAACTATATATTTAATAATATGTACAGTGTTTTAAATACTTAGTACATACGCGATATACATTATACATAAATAATTTTTATTAATTTGGCCCCAATACATAAGTTGAGCGTATTATGATAATCGAGTCGTCTACCAATATGATTGTATTATGTATAATAATAATAAATATACGTATAGGTGTATAATATAGTATTTTAGCTGGGTACGTATTATGTATTTATATAGGTGTCATGGGATAAACGAGCGTTTCAACAGTTCTCACGCACATTACACCTCTATATGATACTTGTCCGTGGTACCTATACGTTGGTACGAGGAAATCTAGAGGGGAGGGAACGAAATTGTAATGCGTTGTAATAATATTCTTATGCACAGTACGTCTACCGGATATTGTATTAATTTAAACGAAAATTATATATTTTTACACGTTATACATTACATTGTCATAAATGCGAAAAAACCACGGGCAAAAATATGTGCCCGTCCCTCTACCCTTAACTCCCTACAATGGACGCCCGTGTGTACTGACGCGGCGTACGCACAACAGGGCACGAGGCTACAATGTTATAATAATTTATAATACAAGTCAATAATGTAGGTATGATGCATTTTGTATATATATATATATATGACAATTTTCATTATGAGACCATCAAAAATGGATTCAACAAACTTAGCCTATAATACCTATGTATATACTCTATGTGTGCGCACGTATATATTTGGTTGAACGAAAGCTGTCGCATATAATATAATCACGCATGATTACATTATGTGTAACTCGGTCATTATGCACCGTGGTCAGGCTGACCAGACCTAACTTAAACTAACCTATAATTTTTTTTTTATATAATTTAACATAATATAGGTAGCATGTATAGGTATAATACATAATATATAAATATGAACGGCGAGGTGCATTGTTATAATTGCGTGTGCACGGCGAAACGCACTACGGGCGAGGCATCGCGGGAACAGCGGACACCAGTTCGTGGGCCGTGGGCCTAGACGAGCCTTTCGGTTTGCACACGCATCCGCTCTCCACCAATACGTAGTCCTGGCCGGTGAGCGTGACTGGTCCCAAAGGTATCACCAGAAACAGGTACGGCACGTACGTTTGCGTGCATTCGCCCCTGACCATATCGCACTCGTTCGATCTGATGGAAAACGGAAGATTTATAAAACGCGCACCAGTATATTATACGGGTACAAATCTTGGAGCATTCATCAGGTGATCCATTTAAAGTGGGTACACTCATTATCTCGGAAAGTATACACTTTTTCTGAAATTTGTTTTCTAGAATATTTAAGAAACAAGCCGCTCTATAATTTTATAGTTATGCTATTCTTTTGTCATCCCCTGTATCATTTGTGCGGCGGCACGGCGTGCGGCGTGTTAATAATGCACCACTACTCTCCTTCAACCTAAACTTAAAAGTAGAATATTTCGTCAACGGCTTGACAAAAATCAAAAATTTCAACACTCAAATCCATCTATTTATAGAATTTTTAATGACAGATTGTATTTTTTAAAATCAAAAGTAAGTAGTGGTTTTATCCCCCCAAAAAAAAGGGTGACAAAAAATAACATAAACACAAAATTATAGAGCTGCTTGTTTCTTAATTTCTTTTCGAGATAATGAGTGTACTCATTATTATGGCACAAACTCGAATTATGCAATGGGTTTGAAAACTTACTCGCAAACTTCGTAAACGACTTGCTGCAACAGATCTGGGAACTTTTGAACGATAGTCACGGGCTGCCCGGAAGTTAGTGACACTCCGTACATAGGAGCAGTCGTATTGTATCTAGTGCGACACAGCCTGTTTGGCGATTGACAGAGATCAGCACGATTGGCTGGTGTCGATCCGTAATCACGAGCTGAAATCACCAGAAAACCGTTTTACAGATTATTTCTATATTAATAATGGGTATGGTTTTACATATTTTCTCCAAATTTTCGAAATTGATATTCCGCCAAACATAGTTCATTTAGTTTTGTTTGGCTTTTAGATTTGGATTTTATAGGTATCGAAAATTTATTCAAATAAAAAGTTGCTGGTACATATAATAATAATTTATGCGTCGGTAAAAGTCAAGAGATACAGGGACAAATATCTAAATTGTTGACTATCTATATAAAATGTCCTACGAAAATTCGAAAAATGTAATAACTTTCATTCTATTCAATGTTTGTTTTTTTTTTTTTTTTTAATCATTACTAAAACCTATGAATACTTATTTTATGTTTTGTAAAAAAAAATTAAAAATTTTAATTTTAAAAAGAATCGTTTTTAAAATCTAAGATTTTCTTATTTTATAATTTATAAATATATTGAAGCAGAATTTTTTTTGTTTCAAATATTTAACTTATGATCAATCGTTAAGTTTCTAAAATTTTTTGAAGTATTTTGAATTGTTCCAAAAAAAGAAAAAAAAAGTAAAAAAGTATAATAATAATTACGACAAAAATTATTACATTTATCGAATCTTCGTTGGGGCACTTATATTTATAAAAATATTATATAATTTGTCAGGTTTCAATACATTTTGTAAAACGTTTAAAAAATAAAGCAGTATATAGTAATACCTAAATAAAATAATATAATGTATAGAAAATTAGGAACATTGCTATAATTGAATCTTGTTCTCATAATATACATTAATGATTATCAATAAAAGTGTATCGCTCCGTATCGGATACAACAGATATCTATTTGAACAATTTCCTATACTTAGGATAGAAAATTATATACATTATTACATCGAATTCATAGGTAGTTATTTATTTTGTTAAATATCCGAATAAAACTCGATTGGTTACGGTGTCTCTATACCGGGAAAACCGTGTAAAACGTTTATTTCCTTAAAAACGATCCCAAGATTTACATAATATTATATATAGGTGCGACAGATTGACCGATATTTCATTGCAATTGTTATTGCAGATCGATTTTGATTTTTTTTTATTTCCATTAAATTGGCGTAATTGAATGATCGAACTACGCGGAAAAAAAACAGAACAAACGTCAATTATCTCGTCAATGGGAAATTAGTATAAAAAATAAAAGTCGTGTATCAAACGATAGGTATAACCGTGCCTGATTATTGTGTTTTTATTTAACACGATACAATTGTATTCGTCGAAATATTGACATCGTTTTTTTTTTCAGTGTTATTATACACTTATTTCGTTCGGGATTTTCTTTTCATTGTTTCCAATTTTTCTTCAAAATTTAAATTAAATATATCATGTTATATTTTTAATTTAATAACTTAAATGTATGATGTGTTAAAATTGTCTAATGGAACGTGACTAATGTGGAAATAATTGTAATTTTAAAATCAATCGTCTGATAGAATATTATTGAAAACAATTGTCTTTTAGGTATACATGTCTATATCCAATTTGTGACCTATATTTATGCCCGATACGTTATTGGCTTTTAGTAGAAAATTTCATATATTAATTATTGTATTGGCAAATAACTAACACATTGACACATGTCCTAAATTCGAACCCTTTCTGCACCAATCACTATATTTAGTGGCTGATATTTCCATAACGGTTTAATGGACTAGCCCTTATTCTTACACAAAATATGTATGTAAGATAGATAAATACAAATCAGAAGATAACTAATAAATATCGTTAAAAAGTAACATGTGCCTTTCTACAATAAATTAGTGATTCAAATGTATTAACTAGAACTGCCAGACATTTAAATTTAAATTACTTTTTAAAAAGACCTCAAGTTTTAAGCAAATAATAAAACTAAGTTAAAATAATCTATTAAAAGAAAACCTAAGTAATTTAATATTCTATTTTTCTTTTTACTGTATTTAAATTTAAATTTATCAAAAAAAAAAGCAACTAATAATTTACCTTTTAACTTTTTTATTAATTATTAAATCCCAGCTTTGAACTTTTATCTTTAAAACTAATAAGGATGCATAGAAATATCGTGCAGCCAATAATACGTTTTATTGTTTATGTTTAGCCGTTGTAATATATTTTTAAATTAATAATTTCGAATTAATTACTCACCAGTTCTGCTAATTGTATAATCTTCATTGTGATTATTAAATTTATAGGTTTTCAAAAGTGTCTCCCGTACTGTTTCGGGACTCGGTTTCGAGGATTCGGTTCGAAATGCATCACGTCCTGTCCTCGACGATCCCCAGTTATGGGTACGCCTATATGTACCGGCTACAATTGATCTGTAAATTAAATGCAGATACATGAAAATAACTAAAAACACGAATAGCAAATATCTACGTTTGGCGGTCAATAGATAATAAAAAAAAAAACGAAAAGTCATAATAATTAAACCATAAAAGGGGCATCTGATGGCGTATAGGTATTTTACAAGACTTTCACCGAGTAACTTACTTAACGGTTTCGTTGAACCGTACATCGATGTACGAGTAGAAAGATTTTATTGTTTATAACTTTATGTATATTTTTTTAACTATTTGTTAACTTACTCTGGATAAGGTTTACCATTTGGGCCGATGCAATCCAAATTGTCGGATAGTGCATCGCCTCGTAAGTATTTGAGAGATTCACCGTTACCACCACAAAGTTCAGCCCACGAGTACTTGCACAAGGACAGTACATAAATCATTCGTAATATCTAAAACACAAAAACGGATTTTCAATTAATAATTAAAAACTATATACGTTATACATTTATTCTTGTCGTTATTATGTCAAAATATAATTATTATTAATTTTAAATACCCTTCAATCGATTAAATTCTTATATTAGCATAATGTCTATAACGTAAGCAAGTTGAATAATTAGTAAAACATTGAACACGTATTAGTTAAAATTAAAATTTAATGTGTTCTATTAATTAATAAGACGAATTCACAATGTTTTGTATAAACTAAAACCCATCGAAAGGTGAAATCTGACGTATATGAATATATATCTAAAATTTAATATATAATTAATTAACACATTTTAGTATTTTCAAAAAATGTATTGTATTTAAGTATAACGATTAAAAAAATCGTTTAAATACTATATATTTTCATTCTATCTAACATTATCATGATAAATATTACTAAAATGAATTAGGGACATGAACAATTGTACATCACATCTCTGTGTAAGAGCTGAAAGAGAAATTAGGAACACGAGTAGAATGAAGAATTGTTGTTAATCAGCCTACGGGATGCTAAACTTAAATAAAAAATAATTCAATTATTTGGGCATAATATAAATAATACCATATTTATTTTATTTATTTATTTTTGTTAGTTGAACATAATATTTTTGGTACATATTATACAATTACAACGCTACGTTACTACTTGTATTATGTTTAATATTATAAAAATGTAGGTAATTTATATAATGCAATCATGTAGGTAAACATATTAATCGATAAACTCGATAAAAAATTGTTGAACTGATCGCGCAAATTGTAAATTTATAACAAACTGGTTTTCGTACAAAGCTGATATTATTAAGTTCATTGTCCGGAATTATATATTCAGGTTATAACTATGTATATATTATATACATACACATGTATATGTGGCAAACTACTACAACAAATTTATGTTGAAGTAGTAAACAATTATAATATATAAATTATATGCACGTATTATATACTAAAACTTTTTTAAACATAAAACTTAATTTGCTTTTTTTTAAAACAGTTTAAACTTAGCTCCGATAAAATATTAATGTTTCGATGACACGGCAATAGAGAAAAATAGTAAAAATCAACAAATTAATTACCAAACATAATATGACTGAAGTGAACACCTATACAGCTCATGTAATAATACAATTCTTATGATAATTTTTTGGTGTAGTATGGTCATAGAACAATATAACATCCTTGTTAAATCGTGAGAACTATAATTATTTAAATAACCATAGCCCATTGTAAGGGGAGTGGTTAATCGGATGTTTGATTTTTTCAAAACTGATATTTTCGGATTTTCAGGAAAAAATGTTTATAATACGTGTATCTCTTGAAATATGAAAAAAGCACTAAAAATTCGGTTTTAAATCGGTTGATTTTAATACCAAATAATGGTTTTCGATTTCGAATATCGGATCGGATCGGGTATCGGTAGCAAATATCGGAAAAAATAATATTGGCTCGCCGATAGAAATCGAATACATCGTTAATTAAACGCGTAAAATAACGATCGCTAATATATAAACTATACACTAATGACTATTGATTCTTCACGATTGAAAAAAATATAGCCACGTACAAAATTTGAAGGAAACCGTTTTGTAAAATTCGACGTCCGATGCATAACACCTAGATATATAATAAGGAACGTGGCAACGGTTGACCTACTGTACCTCCGAAGACTCTCTATATTATTATATAGATAGAATAATAATTAATCGTGTAATTACAAGTCAATAGTCGGTGGCGGTCCTCCGGCATAATATTATGATTGTGTGTTAAGTATACGCATATTAGGTATAATATAATAGTCTGTGCCCGTGTGATATCTGGACCGAATTGGTACATTTACAGTGGTCTCCAGCATGTTTCGGTATACGTTTGAATATTTTTACACGCAAATAATGTAGAACACGTTTGGGAACATAAATACCACACGATAATCACGACAATTATTATACACAAACATACTGAATCATTGGTACAAAAATAATTTTTAGTCGAGTGGACTATAGAAATACAATTATTTTAACTTCTCGATCCGAGACCACGCGTGATTATTGTTTTTATCGTGCTTTTTTCTTATCACGGTAGCCGAACTGATTTATGATTCTTTATCCGAGTTTCAATCAACTATTCACTTCTGTCAAACATTATTATATTATTATTATTGTAAGAAGGTACGACACGGTCCAAAGGCGGGGATCCGGACCCGGGACCAGTGGCGTTATTTCAATTTTTGAGAGAAGGAGGGAGAAGGGGTAAAAGGTTTGACCAGTCGATAATAAAACCGAAAAAAAACCGTTCGCTAACTTATTCATCACAATTACATTTTTATCTCAATACAAATATCTTTATTACATCATTCTTTTACTAACTATTATAGGCATAAATAACCCACTTTTTTAGGAACGATAATAACTAAATAATTAATATATATGTAGAGGAATATCTAAATACCTTAGTTACCTATATTAGTTACTATATGAAGACTTAGTTTGAGGAGAATTTTACATGTATTTACAAAAAAAAAACAAAAACAAAAACAACTATGTCACCATAAACATAAGTATAATTATAGAATAGATTAAATAAGAATAGACACTCTCCAAAAATTTACATTAACTCTATCAATGTTAACAAAATGTACAATAAAAAAATATTGTAAACAATTATCACACTTATTACAATTATTATCGCAAACAAATTTTAAAAAACTGTATCTCGGAGTGGTCGTATGCAACATAAATCATAAAACATAATGGCATGAATCATGTTTGCAGGCTTGTGGTCCAAAACTAGCCCAACCCCAGCCCATACCCGGCCCGACAAACCCACTAACGACAAAGGGGTGCAAATGCCTCCCGTGCTCCTCCTCAAATTACGCCACTGCCCGGGACCCACCCCTGGTTGCACCACTTCACTAAATATCACTTGGTACTTTCGTACCTCCAATTTGTATGACCTATCCGACGTGGATAGACGTGACCTATACCCGAACCCATAGCATTTTTTTTATATCGATTATAGGTTTTATGTTTACACTCTTAGCGCACTTTTAAGAACTTCCTAGTCAGAGCAGTATCAGATTTGAACCAACAGGTTAGGTTAGTTTTCCGTACTGGTGTGTTATATAAAGTACATCCAAACGCGTGATATTCATCATTTTGTACTCAAACGTGTAATTTGTTGATCAATTTACCCAAACTTGCAGTAATTGCGGCCACTTCTATTATAGTTCTCGTTTTTTTCGTGGGTAAAGCGTGTTTGGAGATTAGAAAAAAAAAACAAATAATGATAAAACATCGTGCGCATAACGGTATGCATCGTGATTGCCAGTATTCATTTTTTTGTTTTCATTTTACTATTTCCAATGTGCACATGGAAGCCTCTTCATATATTATTATAGTACGTACACCGGTACATCGATATCGGCGTCACGATGATAATATAATTTATTATACCGCCGAAGACACGGTGACTGGAACATTTTTAGCAATGTCGCCTGAGAAAAAAAAAAACTAATAATAGTGTAAAAAAAAAAATACGTATAAATTTAAATAATATCCGCACGTACGCGCGATCGCAATATAGTCTCTCGTCCGATCGTTTATGCCGCACCTGTATTAAGTATATAACCTTGACCGCTACGTGTAATTACAACACACACACACACACTCGTATCATTTTACAAACCCACGAACACCGTATACAGAGTGTATCAAAAATAAAAAAGAAATAAATAAATAAAAAAATTGTATCGGTCGAACTGCGTAAAGCCAGACGACAGTCTCGACGTTTCCGGGCGATTTGGAACGCAAATAAATTATAAACGTCACTGTAAGAATCCTCGGCCATAAAATGCAAACTCGACGAATACCCGTAGTAAACTGTGTGAAGCGATTATTATTTATTTTTTTTTTTTGTATTTCGGATTCTAAGCACGACGATACCATTACGACCGCGGCAAAGTCCACGAAAATTCACTTTTATTTTTCGACGCGTCCATATTATAATAGGCGTCCACCCGGATGCGCATTGGCCGAACATCGATCTATCGGTTTTATTATTATTATTCGCCGATAATATGGTACCTGTTTACGAATCATCCGGTGTGGGAAATGCGCTCACAGCATACGAATACGCATTGTACGACGACACATCACCGGTCACCGTTTGCAGCTTTCGGTAGCTTCCGGTATAATTAACGATTATTATACCGCGGGCACGTTCCGTTTTCCGTTTTTCTGCGCCGCGCTCGTACGCTTCCGTACGTCGCATTTATTACGACCGCGGCGTATACGCGTACGACCGGCCTCCGGTAACGGGATTGCCGGAGACGCGCACCCGGCGCGGTCGGACAGAGATCGGGCGATACGGGATAACCCACATATTGTACGGCGGCCGGCGAGAGTTCGTCAATCGACATTCGTACCACGCACGAACTCTCGGCTGGCGGCTGGCGGCGGCAGCGGCGGATACCTGGACGGTGATTCACGACAATCGCGCCGCCGCCCGAGACCCATTGACCCATATACACGGATCCTCGGAGACGACGACGGCGACGACGTAATCGTTAGCATTGTTAACGATATTGTTATTTATTGTTGTATTGTTTCAGCGCACTTCGGGAACCGTGTCGGCGTGGAGCGCACGAATTACACCGAGTCCGAGAGGCCCGCAGTTCCATGCCGTACAATAAGTAATAACTACGATAATAATAACAACGAGAACGAGAACGGGACATAATAACTCCGCGGCCGCCGCGCGGATAATCGCGTAACATTACAACCGCGGTCCGTCGCGTGCGTCTACGAGAGCCGAATTTACCTCGACCGTTTCGTCGCTAACGTCGCTAACGCCGCTATGATCGCATTGCGCGCCTGACCGAAAACCGTACGGGTATTACGCGGTCTTATCGTCCGTACGGCGTTTTTACACTTACGGTCAGACGTACCCACCGGTCGTCGCTGGTATGCAGGTGTACCGCGACGGTTTCATAATGCGTCTGCGCTGCGACTTTATAATGCCATGTATCGTTTGTTATAAACTGCATCTACAAATACCCCGTCGTATATTTATGTAATTATCGTTATCATACCTGCGGTTCGATCGTCGTCGTCGTCGTGACACTAAAAATGTGTAATGATACGAGGTCTGGCTATTAAATAACGAGACTGCTTATGGAAAACGCTTTTATTTTAGAAATTATTCCGCAACCGAATGTTCCCCTTCAATATGCTCTCCTCCCATCTTCACACACCGTTTCATTCGTTTCTTCCGTTGCTCGAGGCAGTGCTGGAAGTCTGTTTTCGCAAGACCATTCAGGAGTTCCGCCGATTTTTGTTTCACCTCTTCCATCGACTCGAACCGGATTCCTTTTAAGGCAGACTTTATCTTCGGAAACAAGTAAAAGTCGCAGGGTGCCAAGTCGGGTGAGTAAGACGCGTGTTCGAGTACTGGAGTGCCTTAAGCGGCCAAATAACGCTACACAGACAGCGCGTTATGGGCAGGTGCGTTATCCTGGTGCAAGATCCACGACTTGTTTTTCCAAAACTGTTGCCAAAATTGTCAAATAGTAATGTTGGTTCACAGTTTCACCCTCTGGAACCCATTCAGTCATCACGATGCCGTTGATATCGNAGCATGGTTTTGAATTTGGATTACGACTGAATTGGATTCCGGTGCACTCTCGACCTTCAGAAAATAATTTATGCCACTCAAAAACACGCGCCCGAGATAGGAAATCCTCACTATAGGCCTCTTTTAACAATTTATAGCACTCAGTTGGAGTTTTTTTTAGTTTAACGAGAACATTTTACGTTTATCCGTTGCTCATGTTTTTCGTCACATATCGTTTTCGGCAAGAGAAAAAAACATGTTCGTTTCTAAACGCTACAGAAAAAATACTAATGCATCAACAAAAACCCAATTTTGTACTGGCGTAATAGACACTTCCAGCTAGGCAGCATTTTTAAACTGTAATATTTCGAATATTCGTAATACGTTTGAAAATCAAAATATCAACTTATGTAACTAAATATATATACTTTTTGTATTTTAACACGTCCAATTTGGAGGGGGGGCTGAGTCCATTTGGCCCTCCCATTGGGTACACTATTGTTGGTAGGTGAAGTTAACAATATTAGTCGTGTTTTCCTCCTCGTATAAGCAGAAATCAACCAAAATCAATGTAGGTATCAAGTTATCATTTTTTTTTTATTTTTTTTTTCATAGTAAAACTGTCGTGAATATTTTCAAATAAAATACCACCGGGTGAAAAATCCTCACTTGTAAAAATATGGTGTGAATAGTGCTGAGCATTTTTACTAACAGAAAAAGATGTCTGAAAAATCTAAATTGATATAGGTACTTAGATATATTATTATCGGACGAAACGTGTACATAATATTCGTTTATTACATCGTAAATTAGTATAGGTATACTGGTAAAAGTATAGTAATTATATTATTATACTTAGTATATTATACTCTTTTATGCGACATAACGGAAAACTATAACACAATGTACGAAAACTAAATTAGTTTTCGTACCTGTATAAATTTTAAATTCTGACTTTCTAAGCAACGGAGCAGCAAAAAAAAAAAAAAAAAAAAAAAAAAGCTAATGGTTTTATAATTTGAAAACGCATACTGTATATAAGTATATAAATATATATACAGATAGATACGTGTGTATGGTACGCATCATGACAAGTTCTATATATTATTATATTATTGCGTTATTGCGATTCTCGTGAGAATATTGATAGGTTTATCTGTATAGCAGTCATCGATGGACCGGTGAGAACATTATATTGTCGTTGTCCCGCAGAGTAACAATATAATAATAGTAATAATAATAACAATAATAATATAATATAGTAATATACGATATATTTTCTTATTGGGTATATTTCAATTAATACCCACTGTTTGACGATGACAAATGTCGTCTTACCGGTAATATGCTTTACTACGCGTCACATCCGAAACGTTTCACAATAATAAAAGAATGTCTTGCAGAAAAATCGCCGGTGAACTTGGATTACAAAATAAAACACGGCGAAAAAAAAAATAGAACGGTCCTTGTCCGCCCGCGTCAGAAAACAAGAAATAAAAACTCGTATGATGATCGGGTTAAAAAACCACGATATCAATACGCTCCATGTCGGCGATGCAAAATTTAATAAATATTTATTGCGAAAATATTATACTTCTGCTGTTACAAAAATTACCCAATTAAAAACCTCGGAGCAACAACCAGCAGATAAATTATCCACTTCTTGAAATAATTGTTTGTTGAGGAAAAAAATAATACCTTTTTACTTTTTTCGATTCGTCTGATATTGTTGCCACGAAATAAAAAGAACCAATTTTTCCTCTGAATTATGCCGTCAAAAGGCACATTTTTAGAAATTGTGGAATCTGTAGTCCGTTGCACCAAGGTTTTAATGAATTATTTTCAATTACGGATTGATACATCGATTCAAAACATAATATAATTTCTATATTTTATTAATATGTTTAATGTTTATGTAAAACAGACCGAACTCATCTCCAATAAAGTGATGAAAAAAAACTAAAAATCGAAAATGAATACCGATTTTTAAAATTTTTTTTAGTTAATTATTATTTAATTGTATTTATTGTTATAGAGCCAAGTATATAATGAATATTGATCGGTTCACATTAAACTATATTCTGTTAATACTATAGGCAGCTGGTATACCTATATTTAAAATAACATTTCAAACGGTGGAAAATGAATGTCGATAAAGACACACTAACCTACAGTAGCGCATTATTTATTGTGTTTTCGGTACCCCGTCGTTTTTTAATCCAGTACATATAAAGGTATACATTTATTTGTGTACGTACACATGTACTATACGTGGTTTATACAACACCGGTTTCTCTCCCCGCCGTCGTACCTATTCTTTTATGTTGCAAACTGCTAATCATCCGGCCAAACGCCGTCACACTCATTATTTGCGTTTATAATAGCAGTCTGTATAGAATTTATAATATACAGCTTGGTAATGCAGGCGGTGTTGTGCTGCAGCAGCAGTACACACAAAAGAAAATATAATATTTTATTGTCGGAGATTATAGGGAGTTATTGGTTTTACAAGAAAAAAAAAATTAACCATAAAGGTGTTCGTTTCGACGTGTGTTATTTAGCAAATTCGTCGGTGTCGTGTTCCGCCGAAGACTCCGTCATAATATTGCCCACGGGTGAAATTATTCTGTTATCCGTTTATATACAGATGGTGTTGACTAAAGGGTGTTACAAATCTCCAGGACAGAACGAGTGACAAATAAAAAAGTTATTATAGGATAAACGAAAGGAGATTATGGACGAAATGGATAAGCTTCATCTTATGTAAGGAATAATAATACATGGGCGTATAATTGAAGGAAAAATCTAAGGTAAATAATCTACAGGAAAAGGAAGACCAAGACGGGCGCACGTGCCATCAATTGATCAAAAACAGTTGATCGTATACGTTAATCGACCGAACAAATATAATTTAAAATAACTAGAAAATTACTTTTGAATCCGTCCGGTATATCTGATCGTTTATAAGTGAGATAAGTTATTGCAGTGCGTTGTGTTCAATTTGTCATCATGCATTGTTCTCTGTTGTACGTTAAAGTGAAAAATATTGAAATATGTTGTTATGTGAAGGATTTGTATATCTACATGCATATTACATGTCATATATGAAAAGATTTACAACGATATACGTGCTTGACGCCACACCACAGAAAATATGGACCATCTTGAGTGGCACGAACAGAGCTTTTGAAAAATTTAATTTTTTTTTCCGATCAATGGACGGGATGTGATTAGGGAGATATTATTAAACCAATCTACGGATTGTTAAAAAGAAATTCACAAATACCTACCGAAAATGATTACATTTAAGATTGTAACGATGTTATACGGAGCCCGATTTATAGGATCCTATATGGAAATATTTTAAGAAATCCGTGAAAATTTACCATTTTCAACATTATACCTTAAAAATCCATTACATTTTTTTTAAATCATATAAAATATGTATATTATATACAATAAAATTGGCGCGATTGTTTATTTCTCTTGGTTGTGATTTCGATTTGGTCAGGTAGTTCGATTATCCGCAATGTTTAATCGGATTTTGAAACCGAACACCACTGGTAAAATAGTATACAGATATAATAGGAAGGTATAATGCCAATTTTTTTGTGTATAACATTTTCAAAACAATATCGGCCGAATACGCATTATACTTACTTGTATATAATAGTATATATATTCCGATCATCCTTTTATAGTAATTATGATAAATTACGTATAACCGTCGTCATCGTCAATCACAATAATATCTAATCGTGTCACAGCACGACGGTCAACCGTAATGATAATAGTAATATGGGCAATTGCGGAGTTTAATAGGCGAGAAAAAATAATAGCCACAATCTGTGCGAGGTATAATAAAAAAAAAAAAATCGTACAAATCGACGGATCGCTTCGGGTTATGTATCTACGCGTAATATACAGCTAAAAAAAATATGCAACCAAAAATTATTAAGAAAATAAAATAATATAAAACCGTTTGAACATGACGAAATATCCATAATAAAGGAATAGTAAAATATGAAAACACTCACGACGTGTTATTCCAACTCAGAAAAACTGCAGTACGCAGCCTCGTGATTTTTCAAATATATTGTAAACCGCAATAAATTAACCGCAAATTTCGGAATATATTTTTATTTTTTATTATTATTCTAAAGAAAAAAATAACCAAATGGACTTTTATTCGACTGGCATAAAATTATGGTAAATAATATAATGAACTATTGGAATTAAAATAAAAATATAATTAAGTGGTTCTGAATTTCGTAGACGAGTCAAGGAAAAAATATTAAAACATACTAATTATTTTCCAGATACCAAACATGCAGGGTTCCTTCAAAAAGATGAAAATTAAAGTAAAATAATAAATAATAAATCTATATTTATAACAAAACATAAAAAATATTAGATAAGTAGAATTTCAAAATTAAGATCCGAACATGGAAGGTTGACAAGGAGAACTGGAGGATTGGTTGCGTGATGGGGCCCTATAATGGCCTGTAACACTCAAGAAGAAGAAATAATGTGTCGTTCAAATTTGTGACAACTCAATAGAGTTCAATACAAGAATCTAGTTGATTAGACTAATTAATCTTCAGTCTAGTAAACAACTTGACTAGAGATCTATATTCCGTTTGTTAACTGTTAGACCCTACATCTCGACACGAACAACGGACTGGTTAATTTTTTAAGAAAAATATTATTTAGGAAATTAATAATATATTCGCATCTCGGATTTCGACTACCGGCATTATTAAGATTACCGGTTCTCCGATATCCATCACGACGAGATTCTGTGAATGAAACTTTTACAATCGAACCCATTGAAAATAATCATAATTTTTCCTGAGTCACGCATGATGACGCACGTTTATATATATTATACGGACATTGCGGTCTGCCAGGATTCTTGCGGTCATTCGTGCTGCAGTCATTGAACTTGCACTGTTTTTGTTTCCCAGTCGTTTTTCTACATGAACGATGCTAAATAATTTGGTTAGGATTGCATTTTTTTTTTCTTCCTACTATTGCTTCCTTTTTATAATATAGGTATAGGTATACATATCTATATATATATATATTTTTTTTTTCGCTTCATGACAAACGTGCGTGACCGACAACCAATTAAGAGCTTGTTCATCGTTAATCGGGATTGCAAAAAAAAAGAACTCGTTCTAACCCCTCGTCGTCAGCTGCGTTCCAATAATAACAAAGTTATATGGAATTTTGATTATCGTTTTTATGACTGCGTTGGCGGTATTTCGGTTAGTATGTATTTATTAAGTATGTAGAATCGAGAAATGATTGTCGAAAAAAAACACACACGTCCCGTACAACTTTGGGAACAAAATGATATGATATGATTATTATCAATATATAATTATCAATACATCAGCGGGTTTTGGATTTTAAACATTACATACATTTTCATATTGACGCCCGAGGTGAATATACATATATACATATATATATATATTTTACCAGTCTAACAGTGATTATTGATTACTGTAATATTTTACTGAAGTGGAGGGAGGGTGGTAAAATTTTAGAGGGGTCAATGAAATTAGTGAAATATTACCCCTAATCTCCACCGGTGTCTTTGCATGTTTTAGCTTAAAACCATGGTTTACAGAAAAATCTCTCTAACTCCATATAAAATATTATAACATAGAATAGTCCGATTTTGCTGGGAAGAATTTTTATGCAGCCCGCATTGAACTCTTTTTTTTTCAATATTTCAATTCCAAACTAATTATAATAATACGTCTTAAGAAAATAAGAAAGTAAATTTAATGTCTTTTTACCAAATATTTTATACCATTATTTAAAATTAAATAAAAATCAGAGTTCAATACTTTGTAATTTTGATTAAAATAATTACAAATTGTTTATAAACTATATATATTTTTTTTTTTGGTGGATAGTATAAAATCTATAAACATTAGTGGAGATATCGTTAAGACTATAAAAATGTTAAAAATAAAGTTAAAATTTTCCAAATTTTTAAAAATCGCCACACCGGGCCTCTATGGAAATCTCTTCAATGTTTGTTTGTCATCATAATAATAATAATTGCATAACACGTAAAAATTAAAACAATTAAAATTCTATTATTTATGTATAAATTATAAATATTGAAATTGATCGTAATTGTAGGAAAATTAAATAAAATGTTAACACGTACTGTAATGGGTCGAAACACTCGAAAAGTAATATTATAATTTTCAAGAGTACCTATCATATAAAGATAAAATATAAAAATGATTGCTTATAGGTACCTGCTACCTATAATATTTTGTCGTTTATAAATCGACTACAAATTCGCTATTAAGCATTCTACTATTTAAAACGAATTAAATTTTATATTGTGTATACAGGATGTTCCGCGATGGTCTGACACTTGAAATAACTTTTGTTCAATAATTCAATATTGTGTTTTAATAATTAGTATGTCTCCGCGCTGCAGTTAATATTATAAATTAAGCATTTTTTTTATTTTTTTTAGACAAGGAAACATTAAAATTAAAAGTTAAAAAGTTTACTATAATTTTTTTTAAAAAAAATTAAAATAGCTATAGCTAGTAAAATATATTTTTAGAAAATTTTTGGAGAATGAAACTTTTATTTATGTGTGATCTTTTATTTTCTAAATTATTTTGAAATTTTTGTAAATGTGGTTATTATTATGGTTTATAATCTATAATATTTAATCAGTAGTCACTATAGTAAGCAATATTATTGCATGATTATTGACTCGTGGAAAAAAAAAATTCTTGTAATTTTATGTGCTCCAACTATTGATATTAAAAATATTATAATAGATTATAAACCACAATAATATGCGCATTAGCAAAACCTTCAAAAAATTGTAGAATATATAGAATATAAAAGACCATACCTAAATAAGAGTTTCAACCACCAAATTGTCTAAAAATCTATTTCGGATTTTTAAAAAGTTATAATATAATTTTTATTTTTTTATTTTATGTTCATCCACCTAAAGAAAACAAATTGTAATTTATTAATTGGAGCGCACAGGTATGCTAATTATTCAAATAAAAAAATATTGAATAGAACGAAAATTATTTCAAGTGTCAGTTCATCGTGGGACACCCTGTACATACACGGAATATTACAATTGCAAAGGATTTAAATATCGTTTGAACTCGATTCTATTGTACTCATTTTGATGGAGTATAATATATCCATCTAATCATCTAGATTAATTTAGTGTAACGATCCGAAATTTCTAAATTTGAGTATAATATAATATCCTCGGTCATTACATTATTACTATCTTAAACGTTCATTGCACACAAAACGTTCGCAATTAAATTATTTCGAATTACTCTTTTATATACAAATAAAGGATTTAATACGTAAATATAGTTAATCTTTGGTCCCAGGGAAGAAAGGTCTAAGTCAACTTTGTATAATTGTAATAATATTCCACCCAGGGACGGATTCAGAGGGCCTGGTGATATAAGCCTCCCTAGACATATTGTTTCTTCGATTTTTTTTTTTTTTTATAATTCTATAGATCCTGATATTACTATATTCCAATCACTGATATGTATGATAAAATAATATATTATATTTTAATCGTATTTGTGTTGTAAAAAAATTGTTGGCCCCTCCATCCCCCCAGATCGTTGCTCTAGATCCGTACCTGTTCCACCATAAAATATTTAAAATGCCTGTACACTATTTCAAAAGTTAGTACTCACTACTAAATGCACATAATCAATATAATAATAACTATAATTATAGTTAAAATAATAAAATATACGTTATGATGTGCTTTGAGATTTTATCAAGTTTATTATGTAGTCTTCTATTTGATATAAATAATACCAACTATAAAACACGCACAAAATTAAAATATGTATCCACTATTCATGAATTTACGAAAATCGCAAAAAGATAGTTATTCAAAAAGAATAACCTATTAAAAACTATCGTATTCGTTAAATATTCGATCTCGTGAAAGATCGTTCCATTCGAAGAGCTGTAGTCAATTTTGTATAGTTTTCGGTAAAAGCAAATTACATTTTTAAAATGTCTAAATGTTCCTAACCTAAATTGCCGTTTTAAATGGCTAAAGTCATATTATTATATTTGACTAATGTCTTTTATGTCATGCAAAATAAGCATCATAGTGATTTAAGAAATTTGAATTTTCAGTATAATACGAGTTAAAATACATTTGCACTAATGGCATTTAGATCAACAAATGAAAGGAAAAAAAATGGCATTAGACAAAATTATAAAAAAAAAAATCCAAACATTGACTAAAGCTCTTCTTTCCTGTAATCAAAGAAATATATCAATATTGTTAACACTAAAAAGTAGGGAACGGGAGAACGAGAAACGACGTCAAGAAGATAGGGACAATTTAATTGTGAACCAGAGTCTACATTATATATATATACAGGGGAGATTCGAAGGAGTGTGGGGTAAATTATAGGAAATAATGACGATAGGACGAGGATGCACGGGTGAAAATAAGAGTGAAGAAGAAAATCGGACGTCGAATCGTCTCGGTAGTTTTTTCGGCCCGTATAAAGAGTGAATGATTTTAATCGGTATTAGGCAATTTGCAGTTGCCTACCAGAACGTATTAGTTATATAAAGTAATGCGGTGATGCGTTTACCTTGAACGACGACGACCGGCGATCGGTCCCTTTGGCGGTCATGGTGACGGTCGCGGTCGAGCGTTGGACTTGTGTCAGCGACGGCTAGACGTGATGTTGGCTGCTGCACACGGTTGGCGCTCGGCGCTTGTGGACGACGGACGGCGGGCGGTGGTCGCGCGGCCGCGGTTACGAGCGCTTGGCTGGACAACGACGGCAGCAAGCGGTCATGATTCGCGTGGTGCCCTTCGTGCGTGTTTTTTTTTTTTTTATTATTTATATCGCTTACGGGCGACGGAACGTATCGTGTGTGTCGTCGCGACAGCCGCGGCAGCAGTGAGTCGGGCGGTCGCGGCGATTATCGCGGATGATACCTACGTATATATATATATATTATATTTCTCTCTCTTCGCTGCGGCGAAAATCTTCCGTACGGACAGTGACGCGAGACGTCGTCGTATTACAGCAGTATGCAGCTGCGGTAAACGCTGGCGATAACGTGTGTTTTGGACCACGATAGAAGACGAACGCGCGCGCGGCGGCGGAAGAGTCAACGACCGGCTTGGACTTCGGATGGCTGGTGCTGGTGGTGTTCTGCGGCTGCAGCGCCGGAGCCGTCGAACGCGATCGTGACCCCTACCTTGATCGTTCGCAGTCCACCCCACTGCCCGTAGTCTTCGCCGCGACAAGACAGGCGGTCCTACCCGCCCCGCCCGCCCGCCCGCCGTTCTACAACCGGTCTATACGCGCCAGCGAGCGCGCGTGACGCGGCCGACGCACACCTGAGTACCCGTCGCTACGGCCGCGCTATTTAATTTCATACGTAGTTGCGCGATCGTAGATACATATCGTATGCATGCGCGTAAAATCGCAACATACCATGCACAAATCCATAGGGGAAACGTATGAATTGTTTTAAATCACGAATCGCGGGGGGAAAAAAAAAAACACACTCGGAAAATATACTTACGGACGGACCTACGAAAATTCACTAAAAACAAACCCGCCGAGCGAATCCGCCCATCGTGATTTTAGTTGACATTTTTTTCTACAGTAAACTATGCGTTAAAAGGCACACAGTGAAGTTGAGTGAATTTAATAAATCACTGGGGAAATTAAGATTCCAAACCGAATTAACCTAACCTAACAAGCAACATATTATTATGAATGTAAATACCCAATAACTGTAGAGTTCAATCTTCATCTCGATTTTTGAAAAATTCTACTTCTAACGAATCATATCTAATCATGCCAACTATACAGTTTCTATACTTATGAATTAATCACGCACCCCGGAATTGTTTGTTCTGTATACGTGCCTGTCAAACAGTTTAAATTAAATAAACTGTATTTGCTCAAACCAATCGGAATTAAAAATGTTAAAATTTCGAAAATAAATATTTCAGTGTACATTTTAAAGAAAATTTGAAGAACTGAGACGTTATTTAAGCGTCAAGCAGATGAAACCTTTCCAATCCTACTGAATCCATCACTGTGACATAAAATAAAGTGACATTTACTTACCTATCACGTATGTATAATGTATAATTTACTCGTATTACAGACGTCTTTTTTGTTCGTATCCGTGTTTTCTGTTGTCACTTCGTCAATGTATCAGTGTATTACAATGAATTTGCAAAAAAAAAAAAGCAATGGCCACGAATGCAAGTAGCATACACTGGTCGGTCTTGAAATATCCACCATACATAGAAATTAATTTCAACTATAACATTAATAAAATCCTTAATATACCTGATATTATGTTTTACACAACTAGTAGAAATATACTGCAAGGTGATCCATTTAAGTGGGCACACTTTTAATGTTTCCGACATAATAAATGTACCCACCATAAATGGATCACCTTGTGTTATGTTTTGCTGTATTATTTGTCCGTCGGTAATATTATCTATAACTATTTAATTCGCAGAAGAGTTAAGGGTCAAAAAATACCTATTAGATTAGATTTAAAGATGATAATAATTTTCTAAAAGGATTCAAATGAATCAATAACCTACAAGAGCTCTGCGTGTTTAACCATAAATCAAAATGAAATAATAGACGTCATACAATAGTATTTTTTAACTCATTGATATAAAAATGACGATTCTACTAAAATTAAATATTTGTATTTCTGTACACACGGGAAAGTTACAAAAAAAAAAAAATAGTTTGAAATTCCTTGACAACTTAAACAAACATACCAAAATTATTTATAAAATTATCCTTTGCTTTGTTTGATAGCAATAAAACGTTGATCGAAATTAAGCTCAGTAGGTCTGGTGTCTAGACTCTATAGATAAAATTTCTTAGGAACGAATCACGTAGGTACAATCATGCAGGATAAAAGAGTGAAATCGCATGACATACATACATCGAAAAATATAATCGCATTTATAAGTAGATTAAAAATAGAACTATGTTATATTATTATATATTTAAGTCATTTATAATCAAAATCAAATTTGAATTTATTTAAAATAATAATTTGTTCAACTAAAATAAAAATATTTATAAACAGACAACCACATTTTCACTTATTCAATGTGTTAACTAATCGTGATTTTATTTAATGTTACGTGCTAATGAACCAAATGAACGAGTAATACAGTCAATGTCAATTATAATGGATATACCTATACTATTTAAACTACTAAGAGAGAAGGTATAGGTAGTAAACAACCTGTCTAGTGTTTGAAACATTATATTTTACACCCGAATAAGAAATACAAGACAATATGGATGTAAGTAATAAAATTATTAATTGCCAATAATAATAATAGTAATAACAATAATAATAACAATAAGAAACGTATAAAAAAAAAAACAAAAATTATCATGATTTCATTTTAATCCACCATCATCTTTACATGACAAATTGACCTTGACCCTAAAATAATAATAATTCCTATTTCACTAAGAGAATGTTGTGAATATGATTGAAGTATACTTTTCGACCACTAGAACCTGCAGTAGAATCAATCAAAATAACGTGACATTAAATTTAAAAAATATTTTTGACGATAATAATAAAAATAATATCATTTCTATCATTATCCGAGTGTAGCACGATAACAATGGCGTTAGTGTCATTTCATTAAAGAAGAAAAAGGTTGAAAGTGTGAAGATATTGAGTTAAAATTTGTATATATAATTTTGCATAGGCGTTAGTAGGTATTTTATGAAAAATTAGACCAGACTTCCACATTGCCCAAATAACTCATTTGTTTCAAACGATACGATCGACGTCGAATAATTGGACACAACAAATTTCCACAATAATAATAGAAGAACCAAGGTCTCGAGAGAAATTTTTCGTACATAAGGGTCTATTAGAACCAATACCAATCTAATACAAATCTAAAGTTGATACTGAAAATTACTTATATTTCACAGCGATAAAAGTACCAATTTTATATAGATTACATTTGCATTTGAAAATTGGGTAAAAATTGTATAGTAAACGACATATAATTTTTTATTTTGTCGGAAAAGTTTACGTCTAAATATTTAAATCTGAAATAGTGCTCCTATAGGGAGGTCATCTTTTAATTTTCCCTTGGGGTTTTCGTAATAAATGGGAGAAACGTAGGAAAAACGGGAAATTTTACTAAATGTATTATTTTCAAATCATAAATATTATGGTCTTTTAAAACATGTATGAACCGAGCTTCTCTCAGAATGATTTTTCGATAGCGATGATTAATCGTTGCATACAGATATGCATATATATATATATATATTTCCTCTCTACCTTCCCGACTTTTTACCTACAACAGTGGCCCACCCATCGTGCGAAGCATATCCGTTTGTTTTGTAATTTATTGAATATAAAGAACATGTTTTAAATATAGGTATAGGTATAGAAGGTTTTTCTGTTTTAAAAATATAATATGCATATACAATTACAATGATAACAGCGGGTGAGTTGTAACAATAACCCAAACTAACCAGATACTATCAAATAATATAACTAGATAAATCTAATTGATATGACTATCAGGAGTCGGCATTTAGCTTAAAAACGGTGAGATCAGTCAAAATTTGTCAATGTGAGTCGGTTCAAATTTGTCGATTCAAATATTGTGAAAGGCTGCTGTTATTTTTCAAAAATATTTGTATGCAGAAAATAAAACGCTGAAAAATAGGTAAATTATATTTATTTGTCCGAAAAAAAATTCTTATGCTACAATAAAATTTTTTTTTTACCTATTATTCGATATATTGATGCGCAAATGATACGCTGTCCGACAATCGTTTATGCGCAAATAATTTACGAGTTTTTTGGGCAGGTAAACAAATGACGATCAAATGATAACCACCGATACAAAATACCTACATCCGGGTTTTTTTTAAATACTATGCGCGTGTGAAATTTGTGTCTAACGTTAAACCATCAGTGTTTTCTTTGTGTACAGATACAACGGCGGGATGAAGGAATTAGTAAGTTCAACAAACCAGGTGGGGGTAATCGATTTTTATTTAAATACAATACCTTATTATACAATCAGTATGTCGGTGTGAAAATATAGATTCACACCGTCAGTGTAAGATATTATAAATTTATGTGCAGCAAATAACCCATGAATAACATTTTATATTTTATATATTTGGATCGATATTTGTTCGATAATTCCGTGTAATATTACTGCGATTTTAATAATGTAAATAAAATTTGTATTTATTAAATTATTTGTATTTTGTAACGTAGGGAAAAATTAAATAATAACTGCTGATTGGGTATCGATAAAGATTACAATTAAAACCGTCTTATTATTGATAAGATTTGCTTGCTTATCGAGTTTGATGACCTTTTTTTTCATTATGCTGTTGAAAAAAGGAAGAGGGCGAGAGATTTTTAAAAATCTACAAAAGGAGCGTTGAATAATAGAAGTTAGAAACCGCTGTTCTATAGCGAATATATTGGTATTCTGTATAAACACTAATTTTTTACCCCTCCTCATACCCTTATTTTTACTTGAATGTTGATAAACGTATATAGTTTTAAAAAAATATTAACTACTTCTCAAACCTAACCTTAAATTATTCATTTTTGCATACTTTATAAGAAAGTTATTTTTTTAATGGTTATTAGATAACGAGGTTAGTTTATATATTTTCATTGGCTATTTTATATTTTCCTAAATGCTATTGAATTGGATTTTTTCTTTTTATTATCTTATAGATTATAGGTACCTATCTATTATAGCACGTATAATTTCATTTAAACATGCGCATATTATAGTATAATACAGTATAATAGTATAATTTATAATAATATACGATATTTCGATAAAAAATTATTTAGAAAAATACTGCCATAAAAAATACATTTTCTGCACCATTGTCCACCATTAATATAATATTTTATAAAAAATTTATCATATTTATATCATATAGATAGATTGCCTGAATTATATGTATTTTATTTTATATAGGTTTTCTTTCTCTTGACACAAAAATGTTCAATAATAATAATAGTTAATACTGGTGATAATTCAAAAACAATTTCTCAATCCACCCGGAAAACCGTTGGCACAAAGTGGATGATTTGTTATTATTATTTATGACACTTATTAA